TTTCCTGTTCATGTTTCCTGGGGGAAAGGGTCCTTGGGAGACCTGGGGGTTCAGCTCCTCCCCCTCACTGGTGCTCCTGCTTGTCAACCCCTTGGGAGCTGGGGCCTCCCCAGAGCTTGGGAAGGAAAGAGGAACTGCCCCTCCCCGCCCACCCTCAGGCCAGGGGGAAGGAAGAAGCTGGGGAGAGACCAAAGGCTCCCCTCCCCCAAGCGGGGGATCCCTGCAGGCTGAGGTTTCCGGTGTTGCTGCCCCCCCCCCCCCCAGCCTAGCAGGCTCTCTATCTCCCTATCTTTTTGTCTTGAGACTTCAGATTGTCATTATCACACTTCAATAAAAGCAGTTTAGAAAAAGCATGACTAATATTTCTGTAGAAACACATACACACAAAAAGTATTTCTATACAAGCATATTCATGCATACAAAACACTAAGGTTCACTTCCAGAGTGCTGGGATTACAGGTATGCACCACCATACCTGGCTTGAAGGATATCATTTGTACCCTGGAAAACATTTCACTTTTATTACTTCCCTTGTGGCACTTTCTGTAACATCTACTATACACCATGAACTGTGATGAGTTTTAAAATATTAATTCCATGTGCTATAATCTTATTATAAAAATGTGACAAGGAGGTAAACTTTCTGGAAGTCCCACATACACACATTCTGTCTCTGTTGGGCAGGAGAGGCAGATATTACATGTTATTTAAGTCTCATGAGAACTGGAACTGTTGTCTGTGAGGTTTATGTGTGTACATTGTTGCCCCTAGAAACAGACTTTTCTTTTGAGTATGTATGTTTGGTGCTTTTACCTAAATGTGTCATGCTTGACATAGTTTTTAATTGAAGTACAAAGAAAAGAAGAGCACACATCATCAGTTAAATATTTAGATTGAAGAAGGCTGCCTGAGCAAAGATAGGCTGGGTGCCAGTGGCTCATGCCTGTAATCCTAGCTACTCAGGAGGCTGAGATCTGAGGATAATGGTTCAAAGCCAGCACGGGCAGGAAAGGCCGTGAGATTCTTATTTCCAATAAACCACCCAGAAAACCAGAAGTGGTGCTGTGGCTCAAGTGGTAGAGCACTAGCCTTGAGCTGAAGAGATGAGAGACAGTGCCCAGGCCCAACGTTCAAACCCCGCAACTGACCAAAAAAAAAAAAGAAAATGAGAAAAGAAGCAGAACATTCTCATCAACCTCCCCATCACTCCATCACCACCAGCCTGACTTCTAACAGAGGCGGGCGTAAGCTGGCCCAAGCAGTGCTTTTATTTTGTGCTGTCTTTCTATGTCTGTGTCTGTGCCTCTGGTAACCCAGAAAGCCCCAGAGAGGTGGGTTGGAAAAGGCTTTGGTGTTTGTGTATAAGCACATTGGGACCCTCAGGAAGGTGAAAACTTAGGGAAAGTGATACATGTTCCAACATGCAAATATGGATTTTCTTTACACGAGGGGACTAGGGAACAAACATCAAATGTCAGGAAATGCATTGTACTTGCTATGTTTAAAATCAGAGCAGAGCACTGGTGGTTAAGGGCTGAACTCACAGTTATTCAGGAGGCTGAGATCTGAGAATTACAGTTTGAAGCCAGCCCAGGCAGCAAAGTTCATGAGACTTCTTTCTTTCTTTCTTTCTTTCTTTCTTTCTTTCTTTCTTTCTTTCTTTCTTTCTTTCTTTCTTTCTTTCTTTCTTTCTTTCTGTCTTTCTTTCTTCTTCTTTCTTTCTGTCTTTCTTTCTGTCTTTCTTTCTTTCTTTCTTTCTTTCTTTCTTTCTTTCTTTCTTTCTTTCTTTCTTTCTTTCTTTCTTTCTTTCTTTCTTTCTTTCTTTCTTTCTTTCTTTCTTTCTCTTTTGGTCTGTCATAGTCCTCCTGAGTAGATAGGATTACAGGTGTGAGCCACCAGTGCCCAGCTGAGTGAGACTCTTATCTACAATTGATTACAAAAAAAACCTGAAGTGGAGCTGTGACCGAAATGGTAGAGCTCTAATCTTATGCAAATAAGTTTCTAGACAGTGCCAGGCTCTGAGTTCAAGCCCAGGTGGCCGCACACACGTGCGCATGCACACACACACACACGCACACACACACACACACACACACACACACAGAAATTAGAAGTTTGACTTGGGGAGCCCAAATGGAGGCTAGGAGTAAGGGGTACTGAGCCCACCAGACTGGCAATAAACAGCCATTTCTCAGGACTCTCCGGCACTGCTTAGATGAACTGTAGGCCTGGGTAAGTTACTCAGCAATTTGCTCCAGGGGCACATACTAAAGCCATGTGTGTCAGCTCTGGGAGAGGGGAGTGCAGGACTTAGCAATGACCCTCCAGAACTGGAGGCAGTCCCAATGTCTGTGATGCCCACCCCAAGTTCCTAGGTAGATAAACCAAAGTGTCAGTCATTAAGAAGTGTTTGTAGCAGTCCTAGCTACTAAGGAGGCTGAGATCTGAGGATTGCGGTTCAAAGCCAGCCTGTGCAGGAAAAGCCGTGAAACTCTTATCTCCAATAGATCACCAGAAAACCGGAAGTGGCTCTGTGGCTCATGTGGTAGAGCACTAGCCTTGAGCTGAAGAGCTGAGAGACAGTGCCCAGGCCCAGAATTCAAGCCCCATGACCACTACCAACAACAACAAAAAAGTCCTTGCAAAGCCATCATAGCCACGAGGCAGGTGTCTGCAAACCAATATGGAAAGGGTTCTAAGACATGTAATCATGACTGGCAGAAGTAAGACACTATTAATATCTTATGATATCAGTCATAATGATATAATCATTTTACATTCTGTGCAAATGTTAATGGAAAGTAATGCTTAATTTTGTATTACTTGGAATCAATTCAAGTAATTTAACACACCAAGATGCACAACAAAAATGATATTGTATTTTATCATATAATATTAACCTAAATATGGAATTATGTAATACCTTTTTGATTCATATAATTCAACAATATAATATAGAGTTACCTGCTATTTAATGTAATTTCTTTTTTTTTCTTTTTGCTTATGTGGTGCTCAGGAATTGAACCCAGGGCCTCATGCATGTAAGGCAAGTGCTCTACCACTGAGCCACCTTCCCAGCCCCTTAATGTAATTTCACTAACACCAATATTTCTGTGACTTCTGACAACCTGTTATACATTGTATGATATTTTTTTAAGAATGAGGTCTTAAAAATAGACATTCAAGATCAGCAAAAAAAGGGCTGGATGTATGGATTAGGAGGTAGAGTTCTAGTCCTGAGTAAACAAGCATAAGAAGCAAGCTGAGTGAGTGTGAGGCCCTGGTACTAGAAAAAAATAAAAATAAAACAAAAACAAAAACCTCCCACAAAATTAGACATGGTAAAGCTATGTGTTTTCATTTTGTGTGTGCGTGTGTGTGTGTGTATGCTTGTATTGGGGCTCAAACCCAGGGACCTGTGTGCTTTTTCCTTAGTTTTTTTTTGGTCTGGGCCTGGGTGCTATCCCTTAGCTCTTCAGCTCAAGGCTAGTGCTCTACCATTTGAGCCACAGTGCCATGTCTGGCTTTCTGGTATTTTATTGGAGATAAGAGTCTTATGGAGCTGGGCGCTGGTGTCTCACACTTGTAATCCTAGCTACTCAGGAGGCTGAGATCTGAGAATCGAGGTTCAAAGCCAGCCCGGGCAGGAAAGACCGGGAGACTCCTATCTTCAATAAACCACTAGAAAACCGGAAGTGGCGCTGTAACTCAAGTGGCAGAGAACTTGCCTTGAGCTGAAGAGCTGAGGGACAGCGCCCAGGCCCAGAGTTCAATCCCCATGATTGACAAAAAAAAAAAAAAGAGTCTCATGGACTTTCCTGCCCAGGCTGGCTTTGAACCGTGATCTTCAGATCTCAGCCTCCTGAGTAGCTAAGATTATAAGTGTGAGATACCAGTGCCCAGCTTCCTTAGCTTTTTTTTTCCCCCTCAAGTGCTGTACCACTTGAGCCACAGTTCCACCTCTGACTTTTTGGTGGTTAATTGAAGTTAAGAGTTTTATCAACTTTTCTGCCTGGGCTGACTTCAAACTGCGATCCTCAGATCTCAGCCTTCTGAGTAGCTAAGATTACAGGCACTCGGCTCATGCTTTCATTTTCTGCTCTCAATAAGATGAATCAAACCCAGACTATCTGGCAGAGTCCTTACTTCTCAACCTTGTGTGTTGTGTTGCATGTGTGTGCAGTGTGTGTGGTATGTGTGTGTGTGTGTGTTGGAACGCACTTTGTAGCTCAAGCTGGCCTTGAACTTGTGATCCTCCTGTCTTGGCCTCCCAAATTCTAGAATTATGGAAATATGCCACCACACATGCCCATATAATGCTTTTTTTTTTTTTTTTAAAGCCAGGAGACTTTATTTATGTGTTTATTTATTTAGCCAGTCCTGGGGCTTGAACTCAGGGCCTGGCCACTGTCCCTGAACTTTGCTCAAGGCTAGCACTCTACCACTTGAGCCACAGCACCACTTCCGACTTTTTCTGTTTATGTAGTATTGAGGAACTGAACCGAGGGCTTCATGCATGCTAGGCAAGCACTCTACGACTATGTCACATTTCCAGCCCCAAATCAGAAGGCTTTAAATGGCACACATTCAGGTTCTCTTGTGTGATATCCAGCCAAGGTTTTACTGCCTAGAGCCTCAGTTTGCCCTTTGTGAAACAAACCTTACCCCCCACCTTGCAGTTTTAGCCAAGGTTTGAAGTCTGTGGGCGTGGCTCCGAGCGAGGGGCGTGGCTCCGTGCACATTGGTCCAATGGGTGCGAGGCTCCGAGTGAGGGGCGTGGCCACGTGCGCCCCGGCCCAATGGGTGCAGTGGGGGGGCTGGGACCCCTTGCCAGCTCTGTCCAGCACTCGTGTCCTCCTCTCAGTTCCATCTACCTCGCGGGTGCCTCTGGCGTCCCCAGAGGTCTCCGACTTCAACCCGCCCCCAGCCCACCTGCCCAGCCTGCAGCCCCTTCCCTCCATCCCCCGACCTCAGCCCAGGCCTTCTGGAGCCCCGACATCATGGGAGACGGAGGAGAAGGCGAGGACGAAGTCCAGTTCCTGCGGACGGTACTTATCTCTGAGTTCGGGGGGTAGTCTCTGCGGGGGGGGGGCTATTTCTAAGGTATCCCTGAGTCTTTCCGTCATCTCTGTCGGTCCTGTTTGCCGGTGGTCTCTAAGAATCGAGATCTCTTCCTTTGTCACTTCAAGCGACTGTCACTTTTTAAATATCTCCTCCACCTTTCTCACCAGAGATTTAATTAGCAGGATTTGAGAATTTCAGAATGGGGAGCGGGATATCCTTCGGCTGCTTCTGATTTTTAGTGCTTTTGTCCACAAGTGGGGGACACTGAGGGAGCACCCACCCCCCTTTAGGCCACCCTGCAAGCAGACACTTGGGGAAGGTGGTTCTAATTCCTGGGCTTAATTTAGCCACCCTCCCACCCCCACCCAGCCCTCATTCTCTTCTTGCTCCAGGCTCTGACCCATTTAAATTCTTGGGAAGGGGGCTGGCTGGTGTGAGGTTGGAGGACAAAATTTGTTGTAACTCTTATCCTTGAGGGGGAATCCTTGGGGGTCTCTTGGATTCTTGGTCTCCCCCCCCCCCCCCCCCCGCCCTTTCCCTGCTTTGGGTTTGAGGAGAAGAATCAAATACGTGTGCTGATGGTTCATGAGACTCTGTGGGTGGTGTCTCTACCCATCTCTTTGGGATGTCCATTATCTCTGTCTCTCTGTCTCTTTGTCTCTAGCTCTTCCTTTTGTTCCTTGGCTTCAGTCCCTCTGTGTTTTGCTGTCCCTCTGGCTCTGTCTCTCCCTGAATCTCTGATCACAGGCTGGAGGGTTGGGGGGCAGGGATAGGAATTAGAACAACAGGTGTCCCTCCCAGAAATAGTCCGTTTTTCTGGGCCCTGGACAGAGAGGAGAAGAGAAAGAAGGAGGGGCTGCCCATCTCCCAGTCCTTCACCCTCCCTTTCAATGGTGCACCCTCCCAGTTCCACCTGTCCTCCAGTGGCTCAGCTGGGGGTGAGAGGGGGTGAGTCTGAGAGGAGATGATTCCCCTGGTCCAGGTCTGCTGACCCTCTACTGCCCTCTTCCCTCCCCCTCCAAGGCTCTGAGTCCATGCAAGAAGTGCTGACGCAGCATTCCAAACCCAGAATAGAACCCTGGTGGCCTGGGTCCGGTTTCCTGGGAGGGAGGAACAAACAGCTGGGCTGCTAGTGAAGGATGGGGACAGCTGGATGCGAAGCCACTGGATGGAATCTTGCCCAGCCCCAGCCCCTTAACAGATATGATGGGTTGGACCTAATAAGACCATAGCTGTGGTAGCCTATGGTCTGTACCCAGGCTTTGTGCCCAGGGCCTTGGCCTCTGGAAGTATCTAATTATATTCTTACTGCCTTATCTTCTGAGGTAGGGCCCTATCTTTATCTCCCAGAGAGATTTGAGGGAAAGCAAGCCCCAAGTGGTTAAATCACTTGCTCAAGGTCAAGGCCAGGAAGTGGCATCTCTGGATAGCCACGAAGGCCTAGTTATTTTGTTTTCACCAGAGGAAAACTGGATCCAGACATACTAAGTTAGCAATCTAGTGTTAGGGCTCCAGAGAGTCCTGGCCTTGGTATTCTCTTGGCCCCGGGATTGGGTCTGGTTTCCTGAATGTTATTGAACTCATGCAGCACTTCTTTACACTTTTTTGGGATCATATCCCACCAATTGCACCAATATTTCATATTGCAACCCAGTACATAAACATAGACTTTAAAAAAAAACCTCTGCTTTATTAAGGCATATACAATAAATTATACTCACTTTGGCATGCTAGTTTAATGAGTTTTGACAAACTGTGCAGACCCAGGTAACCACCATCAAAGCAGAGAATATTTATTTCCTTTACCACAGAAGGTCTTTCCTGTTCTTTTTCTTCTTTTAATGCTAATACTGGGGCTTGAACACAGGACCTCTCGATCTCGCTTGGCTTTTTCTGCTCAAGGCTAGCCCTCTACCACTTGAGCCACAACTCCACTTCCAGCTTTTAGCTACTTGATTGGAGTCTTGTGGATTTGTCTTCCCTGGCTGGATTCCAACCAGGATCCTCAGATCTCAGTCTTGTGAGTAGCGAGGATTACAGGAGTGAGCCACCGGTTCCCCGGCTGTCTTTCTCTTTTTGCTCAGTGTATTTTTGACATTTATCTGTGTTGCTTGTATCCAAAATGCATTCCTTTTTGTTGCCAAGTAGTACTGTATTGTATGACTATATTGCAATTTGCTTATCAGTTCATTTGCCTGATGGACATTTGGGTGGTCTCCAGGTTTTGCAACCATGGACAACCCCTGTGAGCATTCACACACACACACACACACACACACACACACACACACACACACCCCTATTTTTAACAGTGACAACTTCATAAAATGTAGATTGCCCTGAAGGCAGGACAGGAGGTTTGTTATTTCCTGTTCTTGCTCTATTTTATTTCAATGTTAAAGAAGGCTAGCCAGTCCCCCCCCCCCCCCAAACACACTCTGCACTCCCCTCCTACCTGGTTTCATTTCCCTTGGATGGTAGATGACCTCTTAACTTGCCCAGGCTGATGTTTCTCAAAGCCAGGCCCAAGCCAGAACTCCGAGTGGGGAGATAGCTGGATAATAATACAGATTCTTTGTAGGCCCCGGGCCTCTTTGAAGGAGGTTTTGGTGGTAAGGGGTAGGAAGCTGTGGTAGCAAAGGAGCTTTATTTTACTTTATTGTTGTTGTCGTTGTTATTATTATTACTATGTTTTGTGTGGATGTGGGATGGTATTGCACTCTTACTTAACTTTTTTTATTCAAAGCTAGTACTCTGCCACTTAAACCACAGTTCTATTTCTGTTATTTTATTTTATTTCCTGTCCTGGGGCTTGAACTCAGGGCCTGGGCACTCTCCCTGAGCTTCTTTTGCTCAAGGCTTGAGCCACAAAACCACTTCTGTTTTTTTCTGTGTATATGGTACTAAGGAATTGAACCCAGTGCTTCATGTGTGCTAGGTAAACACTCTACCACCAAGCCATATTTCCAGCCTCTGTTATTCATTTTTGGGGAGGGGAGAGGGATGGCTAATTGGAGCCTTGAGTTCAAATATCAAGTGAAAGTGTGAGGCCCTGAGTTCAAGCCTCAGTACTGGCACACATACAAAAAATTAGTCATCTTGAGGTTAATTGGAAATTAAGTTGGAGTTGAGTTCAAAGAATGCACATTCCATTTAGCCTTCAGTCATTGTCCCAACTGTTATGTTTGCTATGTCTACTTAATCTTTTCCTCCTCTCTATATTTTTTCCCCTGAGGAAAATACCTAGACCTGTGCTACTTTCAGTGTATAAGAATGGTGTTTCACTGGGTGCCCGTAGCTCACACCTGTCATCCTGGCTACTCAGGAGGCTGAGATCTGAGGATTGAGGTTCAAAACCAGCCTGGGCAGGAAAGTTTGTGAGACTCTTATCTCTAATTAGCCAGCAGAAAACCAGAAGTGGTGCTGTGGCTCAAGTGGTAGATCACTAGCCTTGAGCTGAGGAGCTGAGGGACAGCGACCAGGCGCAGAGTTCAAGCCCCATGATTGACTGAGGAAAAAAAAAAAAATGAACGTTGTTTCTTCCAAAACTACAATGCAATCAGTTACCAAAATCAGACGCAGTAGTGTTGATAGGACCTCATTATCTAATCCCAGCACTTGGGAGGCTGAGGCAGAAGGATGGAAAGATTGTGGCCAATCCATGAGCTACCAAATGAGACTCTGCTTTAGAGAAACAACACTAAACAACAACAAAAAATTAACTTATAAGCCTGTATATATTTTCCACCTTCTAATGGGTCATCTTATGGATCCTATTTGGGAGGCCTCTGGAAGCAGCTGGACTCTGGTTCAAATCCAAGCTCCCCCACCCACCTCTCTGTCTCTCTATCTCTCTGTCTCTCTGTCTCTGTCTCTGTCTCTCTGTCTCTCTGTCTCTCTCTGTGTCAGTCATAGAGCTTGAACTCGGGGCCTGGGTGCTGCCTCTGAGCACTTTTGCTCAAGTGCTCTACCACTTTAAGCCACAGCTCCACTTCTGGTTTTCTGGTGGTTAATTGGAAATAAAGAGTTTCTTGGAGTTTCCCTACACTCAGGTTGGCTTTGAACCCCAATCCTCAGATCTCAGCTTCCTGAGTAGCTAAGATTACAGGCGGGAGCCACCAGTGCTCAGCCAAGCTCCTTCTCTTAACAGATGTGTAGTCTTGGGCAATTAGTGTCCTCCCCTGCCACCAATCTCAGTTTCCCCTGGGCTGGAGTCAAGCGCAGTGGAGCATGCCTGTAGTCCCAGCTGCTCTGGAGACTGAGGCAGGATCTCTTGAGTCCCCAAGGGTGGGTGGGAATTCCTCTCCCTGGACAGTTGGTGCGGGGCTGTCCCCACCAGCAGGTCCTGTCCCTTGGTGTCCCCAGGATGACGAGGTGGTCCTGCAGTGCAGCGCCACCGTGCTCAAGGAGCAGCTCAAGCTCTGCCTGGCGGCTGAGGGCTTCGGCAACCGCCTCTGCTTCCTGGAGCCCACCAGCAACGCGCAGGTCAGTGTCCACGGCCCCGGAGGAGGGCAGGGAGTCTGGAGCCCAGGGCCCAGATTCAAACTCAAGCCTTGCAAGATGAGGCTGACAGCAGGGGGATGGCCGTGGGGGCGGGGCTAAGATGGGAAAGGGGCGGGACAGGAAGAGGGTGTGGCCTGTGGCTGGGGGCGGGGCCTGGTTTCAAGGCGGGAAGTTCCTGTCCTGAGATAGATGCCTGGTCTGAGGAGGGATGGGGCCTGAGGAGTGACCGGGTCTGAGGTGACTGAGGCTGGGATTTGAGGAGGGCTTGGGTGTGAGAAGGGTTGGAGTCTGAGGTGACTGGGGCTGGGGTCTGAGGAGGGACTTAGGCAGGGTCTGAGGTATTTGGGGGGCAGGGTTTGAAGTTGCAGAGGTGGAGTCTGAGGAGGACAGGTCCTGAGGTGGGAGAGTGGGGTCTGAGGCGATTGGGGGCAGGGCTTTGGGTCACAGAGGTGAAGTCTGAGGAAGGAAGGATGCAACCTGGGGTGAGGACAGAATCTGAGGAGAGATCGGGGTCTGAGGAGGCCAGGGCCAGGGTCTGAAGTCTCAAGGGTGAGGATTGAGGAAGGATGGAGTTTTGAGGTAGCAGGAGTTGCAGGCCCTAAGGGGTACACACACAGATTGTGGAAGGTCAGGCAAGGCTGCTGAAGGAAAAGGCACAGAAATCCCCCAAATGGGAGGTGGCCTGAGGGTTTAGGAACCCTGTTGAGAGGGAAGGGTTGGGGGCTCAGGAGAAAAGGCAGGAGACTGGAGGTCCATGAAGGAGGGGTCCTAACGGGCAAACAGGGGCTTGAGATGAGTTAGATAACAAGGGTTTGAGGGGAAGGTGTTCTGAGAGTATATGGCTTGGGATTTGGGGGGTCTGAGAGCCTGGGTGGGGCTAAGGGGGGTGTTGGCAGGTCCTTTTGTGGGTGTCTTAGGAGTGTGGTTGTTCAGATTACAGAAGGGAGTCTGGCATGCCAGGGAATGGCACTCAGGAATCTTCTGCCCTCCTTGCCCCACTAACGTCTGCCTGTCCCACTCCAGAATGTGCCCCCTGACCTGGCCATCTGCTGCTTCATCCTGGAGCAGTCTCTGTCAGTCCGAGCCTTGCAGGAGATGCTGGCCAACACTGTAGAGGCTGGCGTAGAGGTGAGGCTCTCCCCTTCCCTCCCCAGGGATCAGGACAAAGGGACAGGGATGGAGGAGGGCAACTGGGAGGGGGTGTCATTTACCATATGCTCTTCTTCCTCTCTCTGCCCTGCCCCACAGGCCCTCAATTTGGATAAGTGGGTAGGTCTAGCCTTGGGTGTCATCTGTCCACTCCTTCTGTTCTCAGGCCTGCTGCTCAGGCCCATTTCCTGCACACAGGGGCTTTGGGGGCTCTCCCCAACTCCAGTTGTCAGGGACTGTGGTCCAGAACAAGCCAGGCAAGCAGGAAGGAAGGAGTAAGGGCTTCTGAGCCCCTCATTATCCCTACCTGATCCTTTCTCCTCTTTCCCAACCTTTCCCCTCCAAACCTTGACCCCCAGATCCTCACCGCATGGGATGTCTTTCCTCATCTCCTTCCATCCTATGTATAGGCCCCCTCCGGTCCAGGAGTGGGTCCACCATGTGATCATGTGGCCCCATCACATGGTACCCTCGGCATGGGCATGTGAGAGCCATGATGGGGGCATGATGCCATCAAGGGCTCATCCAAAGGGCCGAGTCTCCTTGTGCTCAGGAAGGGGCAGTTGTGGCAGGTAGCACAGCTGGTCACCTTATTGCTAGAGGTCATAGCCACATGTTGAACACCTGCTAGTACTTTCCCAGCCCGTTGAGGCTACAGCTCAGCCATGTTATGATAGATGAAAACCCAGGGGGCTGAGGCCCATGAAACACAAAATCCTGGGGTTCCTTGAGTGTTCCCAGGCATGTCAGATGAGTTCTTCACTCTCCCTGGGTGACTTTGGGTTGATGAGATAAAAAGAGGCTGAGATAAAAAGAAGTTTCAGAGAATGTCAAATACTCCTTCCCTGGGCTTCTTAGAGACACAGTCCCTAATTCCATGGATGGGGAAACTGAGGCTCACTGAACTCCAGACTTGAGCCCAGTATTTGATGGAGATCATATGCCTGCCTGTGAATAGGGAAGATGTTTTATTTTGGGTGGGGTCTTGTGAATCTGGGGTTCTGTGCTTACTCTGTGCCTCCTACCCCCCCTACAGTCATCCCAGGGTGGAGGACATAGAACACTTCTGTATGGCCATGCCATCCTGCTCCGGCATGCACACAGTCGCATGGTAAGTGCATTAACATGGGGTTTAAGCAGGGGGTAAGGGGCAGGTCTGCCAGAAGGAGACTGATCCCCCTCTCCAACCCTAGTACCTGAGTTGTCTTACTACCTCCCGCTCCTTGACTGACAAGCTGGCCTTCGATGTGGGACTACAGGAGGATGCAACAGGTGCAGCGATGGGAGAGTGAAGGGCCCCTCCCTTGAGGCTGGAAGTCAGGATACAGAAGTGCCCAGAACTCCAGAGTCCGGCAGGACTTTGGGACAAAGGGACTGAGTGCATGAATGGACACATTTTACCCAGGAAGATTTGGTGGGGAGATTCTGGGTGGAGACTTTGTGGAAGAAATGGTAGCTTTATTGGTCTGAGGCCTGGGGAGCTGGATGGCTAGTGAAGAGCGTTATGAGTAGATAGCATCCTAACAGCCACCTTACCCCGATCCTGTCCCCACCCATAGGAGAAGCCTGTTGGTGGACAATGCACCCAGCCTCCAAACAAAGGTCTGAAGGAGAGAAGGTTCGAGTTGGAGATGATCTCATTCTTGTCAGTGTCTCCTCCGAGCGCTACCTGGTAAGCTGAACTCACCTCCAACAGTGGGTCCTACAGCTCCCAGGATTCAGAGCCTATGGGAGTAGCTCTATCTCTTCATTTTTAGTTTTCCCATCTGTTTCCTAGCCCCAAATATCTTTTTTTTAATTGTGAAAATACCATACAGAAGGGTTACAATTACATGGGCAAGGTCATGAGTACATTTCTTATCAAGCATTGCTGCCTCCTCCTTTGTTTCCCCTTCCTATCCCTTTCCATTCCACCCCACCCCCTGCCAAAGTTGTAATGTCTTGTACATCTCATTGTTGCAATGGGTCCACCTGTATCCCTATTTAAATAATTTGTTTTTTCCCTTCCCCTCCACAAAGTATAGCAACATCAAATACAGTGAAAACAGGGGTTATACTGTGGGGGAGGGACATACAAAGCAACAAAAAAAATATGGAATGCTTCATGAATTTGCGTGTCATCCTTGTGCAGGGGCCATGTTAATCTTCTCTGTATCGTTTCAATTTTAGTATACTTGTTGCCAAAGCGGACACCCCCAAACATCTTGACTTCCAGTGTTCCCAGCCCCTTATTTGAGCTTGCTTTTTGTATTTTTTTTTATTGTGAAAATACTGTACAGAGGGGTTATAATTACATGGGCAAGATAATGAGTACATTTCTTTTTAAGCATTGTAGCCTCCTCCTTTGTTTCGATCCCTTCCCATCCTCCCCCCCCACCCCCCCCACCAAATCCTTCCCCCCCCCCCCCCCCCGCTTTTCGTATTTGTGATCTGCAATTTTCTATCTCAAAAATTTTTTTTTTTGCATCCATCCTCAATTTCTGCCCTGGACTCTGGGATCGTTGCCAACTTCAACCCATCATCTCTGACTACCATAACTTGGGGGCCCCCAGCACCTGTCCACAGCCAGTGGGGAGCTCCAGGTTGACGCTTCCTTCATGCAGACTCTGTGGAACATGAACCCTATCTGTTCCTGCTGTGAAGAGGGTGAGGCCCCCCAGACTTCTGACCCCTAAATTGAAGTTCCCAAAACAGACCCTCAGTGTTGCCCTTCAGCTCTGCCCAAACTGAGCTTCAGATCCTTAGCCCTAACACCTAGATTTCCAATTTATTATCTGTATACCTTGATCGCCAACTGATCCCAAATCTAGACCCCTAGATCTCACATCCCCAACCCCCAAACTCAGACTGCAAAGAACTAGTCCCCAAATCACCCACACAAAATGCTTAAGGTAAGATCCTACATTCAGATCCAAAGCTTTTTTTTTTTTTTTGGTGGGGGGTGTCGCAGGTCTTGAACTCTGGGTCTGGGTGCTGTCCCTCAGCTCTTCAGCTCAAGGTGAGAGCTCTACCACTTGAGTTACAGTGCCACTTCAGGTTTTCTGGTGGTTAATTGGAGATGAGAGTCTCATGGATTTTCCTGCCTGGGTTGGCTTTGATTCACAATCCTCAGATCTCAGCCTCAGTGACTAGGATTACAGGTATGAGCCACAGGTGCCTAGCTAGATCCAAAGCTTTGAGTATCAGATTTGGAGCTCTTCCTCAGACTCCAGTGTTCAAAAATAAGTACAGAACTATGGACCAGTGGTTAATGCCTGTAACCTTAGATACTCAGGAAGCTGAGATCTGAGGATTGGGGTTCAAAGCCAACTCAGACAGCAAAGTCTGTGGGGCTCTCCAATTAACTGGCAACATTCTGGAAGTGGAGCTGTGGACCAAATGGTAGATGCTAGCTTTGAGTAAGTGAAAGCACTAACCTGAGTTTAAGCCCCAGTACTGGCAACAACAACAACAACAAAAAAGAAAAGGAGAGAGAGAGAGAGAGAGAGAGAGAAAGGGCTGGGAAGGTGGCTCAGTGGTAGAGTGCTTGCCTCGCATGCATGAGGCCCTGGGTTTGATTCCTCAGCACCATATAATCAGAAAAAGCCGAAAATGGCGCTGTGGCTCAAGTGGTAGGGCACTAGCCTTGAGCTGAAGAGCTGAGGGACAGTGCCCAGGCCCAGAGTTCAGGCCCCACAACTGACAAAAAAAAAAAAAAAAGAGGAAGAAATAAAGAAAAAAAAAGAAAGGAAGAAGGAAAGAAGAGAAGAAAAAAAAGAGAATAAGAACAGTTATCTTCAACCCTTGATATCAAACTTCAGATTTCCAACCTAGGAACTCTAATTCAGACTCCCAGGCTTTACCCTACCAGTCTCAGACTTAGAAAATTTCAGTCCACTTCTTAAAAAATCAAAAGCTGAGCCAGATGCTGGTGGCTCATGCCTATAATCTTGCTACTTAGGAGACAAAGCTCTGAGGATTGTGGCTTGAAGCTAGCTGAGGCAGGAAAGTCCATAAGATTCTTATCTCCAATAAACTAGTCAAAAAAGCTGGAAGTGACACTGTGGCTCAAGTGGTACTTACCTTGGGCAAAGGAAGCTCAGAGACATCAGCCAGGCCCAGAGTTTAAGCCCCAGGACTGGCAAAACAATTAAAAGCTGGTGGTGGAGGCCTGGCTCAGTTGGTGGAACACTAGCCACTGAGCAGAATCATTAGGTACTGAATTTGAGTTCCAGTCTTGGACCAAAGGGAAAAGAATAAAACCAGGCACTGGTGGCTCATGCCTATAATCCTAGTTACTCAGAAGGCTGAAATCTGAGGATCGTGGTTCAAAGCCAACCTGGACAAGAAAGTCTGTGAGACTTTTTTTTTTTTTTGCTAGGTCTGCGGTTTGAACTCAGGGCTTGGGCACTGTCCCTGAGCTTCTTTTTTTTTGCTCAAGGCTAGCACTGTACCACTTGAGCCACAGTGCCACTTCTGGCTTTTTATGTTTATGTGGTACTGAGGAATTGAACCAAGGCTTCACACATGTTAGGCAAGCACTAAGCCACATTCCCAGCCCTTTCTTGAGACTCTTATCTCCAATTAACCACTAGAAAACTGGAAGTGGTGCTGTGGCTCAAAGTGGTAGAGCTCTAATCTTTAACAAATAGAGCTCAGGGACAGCACCCAGGCCTTGAGTTCAAGCCCCACAACCAACACAAAATCAAAAAGAACTTTGGATTCATACTCCAAACTTCAGAATCCCAAACCAGAACCAAGTTGAAATTCAAACCAGGAAACGCCCAAACCCAGGCCCATCAACTTCTAACTACAAAGCTCAGGTAGGTCTTTCCAAACTCACATTACACTTCACAATAACCAACTTCTTTTTCTTCTCCTCAGGCTATGTGACAGGGGGACATGTCCTCCGTCTGTTTCACGGACACATGGATGAATGTCTGACCATTTCTCCTTCTGACAGTGATGACCAGCGCAGGTCTGGGTTGGGTACAAGAGCAAAGGGCCTGAAGTCTAGGATGGGGGTTGGGGAGGAAAGTTGCCTAGAGGGCTGGGACTCTTGTGTCAATCACTTTCCTGATACTCTGACAAAATACCTTAGTCAACTTGGTAAGAGGGAAGGTTTATTTTGGGTCATAGTTTCCAAGGTTTTAGTCCATCATTGCTTGGCCTTGTTTTGGACTTGTGGCAGCATAGGACATCATGGAGGAGACATGTGGCTGAGGTCAGTGGGCAATTGAAAGGGTCTCCAAGCTGGGTGCTGGTTGCTCACACCTGTAATCCTAGCTACTCAGAAGGCTAAGATCTGAGGATCATGGTTCCAAGCCAGCCTGGGCAAGAAAGTTTTTTAGACTCTTATTTCCAAAAAACCACCAGAAGACTGGAAGTGGTGCTGTGGCTCAAGTGGTAGAGCATTGGCCTGGAGCAGACAAGCTCAGGGACAGTGCCCAGGCCCAGAGTTCAAGCCATATGACCTAAAAAAAAGCCTCCATATTCTCTTAAATGGCTCACTCTCAATGAAATGACCTCACTTCCTTCTATTATGTTCCACTGCCCAAAGTTTCCGGTAGTGGCACAGACTGGGGACCAAACCTTTAACACATGTGCATCACTGGGTGATATTAAAGATCCAAACTGTAACAAACCCTATTGATGGGATTGGGGACCAAGATTCTTGAGACCTCACTCTGTCTTGTGTCTCCCCAGACTTGTCTACTACGAGGGAGGATCTGTGTGTACCCATGCTCGCTCTCTCTGGAGGCTGGAGCCGCTGAGAATCAGGTGTGTGTGTGTGTCGGGGGGGCGGGGTGGGTATACTGGAGGAAGGGCTGGGGTCCTGAGGGAATTTCTTGAAGGAAGATCTAAGGAAGAGGATGAAAAGTCTTTTTTTGTGTGTGTGTGGGGGCAATCTGGAGAGCCCAAAGAATGATATGGAAGTCCTCAGGGATTCTGGAAAAGGGAGGAGGTCTTGGGGAGAGTGGTGGACTTCCAATGAAGAAATGGGGTCTTGAGTGAAAGTCTGGGGGAGTGTATGGGATCTGGATAAACTTGGGGGTAATAGAAACCTCTGGTGAACTTGGAAGAATCTTCTAGCATTTTAAAGAGGGTTGGAATTCCTGAGGGAGGATGAGTGGGTCCGAAGAGATACTTGAGGGACCCAAGAAAGGTTTAGAGAATGCTAGAAGATGAGTTGGGGGCTTAAAAAGGTTTGGGCCAAGTCTATAGTGACCATGGTAGGACTAGGGATGGAGGGGCTCTGACCCCACTCCAACCTTTGCTGTCACCCTGAACAGTTGGAGTGGGAGCCACCTACGCTGGGGCCAGCCTCTGCGAATCCGGCATGTGACCACTGGGCGGTACCTGGCACTCACCGAGGACCAGGGCCTGGTCGTGGTGGATGCCAGCAAGGCCCACACCAAGGCCACTTCCTTTTGCTTCCGTATCTCCAAGGTCAGTTCTGGTCAGGGTGACCTCCTTCACCTGGGCCCACACCAGCCTCTTCTGGGGCTCCCCCCATTAACACATAGGCAGAGGAGGCTGAATGCTGTCCATTTCCCCTGCAGGAGAAGCTGGATGTGGCCCCCAAGCGAGATGTGGAAGGCATGGGCCCCCCTGAGATCAAGTACGGAGAATCGTTGTGCTTTGTGCAGCATGTGGCTTCAGGCCTGTGGCTCACTTATGCTGCCCCTGATACCAAGGCCTTGCGACTTGGTGTGCTCAAGAAGAAGGTGGGCTTCTGCAGGGGGAGGGGCATAGGTGTTTCTGGCAGAGAGGGGGCTGGAATGGTAGTTGGGCTAGGGTGGTGGTTCAAACCCCAGTCTCTCTCTCTCTCTCTCTCTCTCTCTCTCTCTCTCTCTCTCTCTCACACACACACACACACACACACAAATGCTGTGAATACATGGGAAGCCTTTGTGAAAATGAGGTTCAGAGATAGAGGCAGATGGACTGGGTGTGATGCTGCACCCCTGTAATCCTACCTATGCTGGAGGGAGACAGGAGGGTCAAGGTCCAAGGCCAGCTCAGGCAAAGTTAGCTCAAGACACCATCTCAAAAATAAAGCGTAGGGCTGGGAATGTGGCTTAGTGGTAGAGTGCTTGCCTACCGTGCATGAAGCTCGGAGTTCAATTTCTCAGTACCACATAAACAGAAAAAGCTGAAAGAAGTGCTGTGGCTCAAGTGGTAGAGTGCTAGTCTTGAGCCAAAGAAGCTTAGGGACAGTGCCCAGACCCTGAGTGCAAGCCTCAGGTCTGGGGGGATGGGGAGGGGAAAGAGAAAAAAGGACTAGGGACAGCTCAGGTGATAGAGTGCCTGTCTAGCCAGCACAAGGCAACTTGAACCTCAGCCCTACTAAGAGATAAAGACAGAGTAAAGGAAAGGCAGACAAAGAACATGGGAGAAAGCTGGGCTTATGACTCTGGGTGGCTGACCCCCTCCTGAATGCTTTGTGTGGAACCCTCAGGCCATGCTACATCAGGAAGGTCACATGGATGATGCCCTGTCACTGACCCGCTGCCAGCAGGAGGAGTCACAGGCTGCCCGGATGATTTACAGCACGGCTGGCCTGTACAACCAGTTCATCAAGTAGGTGTACCCCCCTGCTGCCTTCTGCCCTGGAGTGACCCCCAGTTTCTTGTACTCATGCACTTGACCACTTCCATCTCTAGAGATCTTAAGAGGCAGCCTCAGCGCTGTTTAACACACGCAATCCCTAATCTCTAATCCCATACCCTCTGTACATTTGAGCCCTAAATCTGACCTAGACAATGGTGATCTTTGACCTCATACTTCTGCTCAACACTCTTCACACCCTGAGTACTACCACCCTCAACCCTGAACCTCCCCCGTCCTTACTCCTCTTTCCATAAACTCCTTGTGTAACCAGGTGAGTCTCAGTCTCAGTTTTTACTGTGTGACCTCCAGCCAAGGCCTTTCCCCCTGGCTTTCCATATCTCATCCTCTTTACAAGGAGGAGTCTGTAGGAGTGTTGATAGCGTTGGGCAATGACAGAGGGGTGCTCTTGGGTGATGACAGTGGGATGTGCTTGGCCCTGACAGACAGTTGTGGTCCTTGTGGTAGGGGCCTGGATAGCTTCAGCGGGAAGCCACGGGGCTCAGGACCGCCTGTTGGCTCTGCGCTGCCCATCGAGGGTGTCATTCTGAGCCTGCAGGACCTCATCGGCTACTTTGAGCCTCCCTCAGAGGAGCTTCAGCATGAGGAGAAGCAGAGCAAGCTGCGCAGTTTACGCAACCGCCAGAGCCTCTTCCAGGAGGAGGTGAGGTGCAAGGGGAGTGGGTGGGGCCTAAAGGGTGAGGGTGGGGCCTAAAGAGGGCGGGGCCTCGGGACAGAGCGAGATAAATGGCGCAGGGATTGGGCGGGGGGAGGGGAGGAGCACAAGGAAGGACCTGGGCCAATGGGAGCTGGGGGACGGGGCCTTAAGTAGGCGCGCTCCTGCATTGATCAGAAGGCCTATAAGTGAAGAAGCTCAAAAACAAGGCCAGGCCTGCGAGATAGGCCTGGGGAGAAATCAGAGGTTGAGCTAATTAGGGGTTCTGGTTCCCTAGGTGGTGTGGGATGGGAGGATGGGGCCAGAGGCCAGAAGAAGGAGAGTGTAGGGAGGAAAACCAGTAAAGGTTAAGTCAGAATACAAGAGGTATGGGGCAGCTAGAGATCTGAGAAGGGGTGGGGGGAAGATCAGGGGATCCTAAGTGTTGTCAGGAGTTGGGGAGCACCATCTATTCAAAAGCATCCAGCTAGACTCTTCCTCTCCAAGGGCTCCATATCTGCTGGGGAGGAAGACCAGTAAATAAATATAGTAACAATGAAACTATGGCCAGAATGGAATTGCTATATATAGACAAGGCACTTACAATATTTACAATATAGAATGGATGCTAATGTTTGTGATTATTGTTACCTTGTATTTAGCTTTTGCTATGGCTATACACATGGAAGGTTGTAATTCTCATGGTACAGATGGGTCGCTTCAAAACTCAGAAAGATTAAATAGCAGTCATTCACTCATCCAATAATCCAGCTGTGAACAAAGCAGATCAAATCTGCCCTTAGGAAGTTGATGTGGCAAGGGAGAATCATATGATCAAATATAAATAAGACATAGTGGTACATGCCTGTAATTCCAGTACTGGGGTGTCTGAGAAAGGAGGACTGAAAGTTTTGGGGTTAGTTTTGGCTACATAGAAGAACCCTGGCTCAAAACAAAACAAATAAATAGATGAATGTATGGCAAACTATATGGTGATAAGGGCTAAGGAGAAAAATCAGGGAAGGGCTAGAGAATGCTGGGGTTTTACCGTCTAAACTAGACTGCTTAGTCAGGGTGACATAAAAGAAGAAAGGAAGGGGCTAGGAAGGTGGCTCAGTGGTAGAGTGCTTGCCTTGCATGCATGAGGCCCTGGGTTCGATTCCTCAGTACCACATAAGCAAAAAGAAAAAAAAAGCCGGAAGTGGCACTGTGGCTCAAGTGGTAGAGCGCTAGCCTTGAGCTGAAGAGCTGAGGGACAGTGCCCAGGCCCAAAGTTCAGGCCCCACGACCGGACCCCCAAAAAAAAAAAAAAGAAGAAGAAAGAAAGCCAGGTGTATACTTAGAACAACGGGTAGAAAAGCAAGTAAATGCAAAGGTCCTGAGGTCAATGTGCTTGGCCTATGCTTCAGAAAAAGAAAATTTGATCTTATTTAGTTTATTTTTCCAGCACCATCATTTAAACTCAGAGTTTTGTATTTGCTGAGCTTATTTGCTCAGCTGGTACTTTGCCACTTGAGCCAAGCCTCTATCCCTGCTTCTTACTGGTAATTTTAGAGATGGAATCTGGTGTACTTTTCTTCACTGGCTGGCTTTGAACTGCCATCCTCCAGATCTCATTTTCCTAAGTAGCTAGGATTACAGAAGTGAACCACCAGCACCTGGCAGAAACCTTGATTCAGTAGGAGCATTTTATGTTGGAGATAGAGGCAAAGAGGACGAACAGATCTGGGGAGGCAAGGAGGAGAAGAAGGTGGTGGGAAGGAATGGGAACATGGGATTAATGAGACTGGGTTGAAACTAAGTGTTGGAGAGATTTTCTTAGCAAATTTAAGAAAGAGAAGAAAGGGAGGTACTGGGACTTAGCTTGTGACCTCTTTGTTTCTTCCACCCCAGGGGATGCTCTCCCTGGTCCTGAATTGCATTGACCGCCTGAATGTCTACACCACCGCTGCCCACTTCGCCGAATTTGCAGGGGAGGAGGCGGCTGAGTCCTGGAAAGAGATTGTGAACCTGCTGTATGAACTCCTGGGTAAGGAGCCTGAGTCCTAACTTCCCCAACAGCATCCGATACGCAGTTCCACACAGTCTGATGCCTCTGTCACCCACAGCCTCTTTGATCCGTGGCAATCGTACCAACTGTGCCCTCTTCTCCACCAACTTGGACTGGCTGGTCAGCAAGCTGGATCGGCTAGAGGCCTCATCTGGTAGGGGAAGCCAGGGCATTGGGAAAGGGGTTAGGGAAAAGAGGATCACACCACCTCAACTCTCCCCTGGTACCTGACAGGAATCCTGGAGGTGCTGTACTGCGTCCTTATCGAGAGTCCTGAAGTCCTGAATATCATCCAAGAGAACCACATCAAGTCCATTATCTCCCTCCTTGACAAGCATGGGAGAAACCACAAGGTCTGTTCTTCACCTCTGACCTCTCATCCCTGACCTCTGAATTCCCACTTCTGACCTCTCCTCATGGCCCCATCAATTATCTGATCTACTCTACCCCCACGTACCTTCCATCTCAACACCAGTGTCTCATGCTCTGGTTCTTAAATGGATTTTGGGTGCAGAATACTTTGCTAAATCTTTGAAAAGTTTATCAAATATTTATCATAAATTTCAGCTTTTTTTTTCTGGGGTCTGGTCGTGGGGCCTGAACTCTGGGCCTGGGCACTGTCCCTCAGCTCTTTAGCTCAAGGCTAGTGCTCTACCACTTGAGCCACAGCGCCAATTCCGGCTTTTTTCTTTTTGCTTATGTGGTGCTGAGGAATCGAACCCAGGGCCTCAGGCATGCAAGGCAAGCACTCTACCACTGAGCCACCTTCCCAGCCCCATAAGTTTCAGCTTTAAGTGGCTGTATACTCTGCTATTTGTTACAGGTGCTAGCAGTTCCTATTGATTGATTTCTAACTACTTCACACATTTGTATCCTCCTTTGGCCCCTGATGATCCAAAAATCTCATTTTGATTCCCATTTCTCACTGACCCTTTCACTCTACCCTTTAACCTCTCTTTTCTTACATTGCTGATGCCTTATCTTAAACCTTATCACAAACCCCTAGTCTCTCACTTGACCCTCTTCTCTGATCCCTAACCTTTTCCTGTCATCCCTAACCTTTGTTTATACCAACTTCTCTGAGGCAAAATCTCCATATTTATGTCCAGATACATCATCCTTCCCTTCTGGCTTCCTATCCTGTTTTTCCTGTAGCCCAGTACCCTGCTCTCTCACTGTCTTTAACCTCTGATCTTGACCTCCAGGTCCTGGATGTGCTATGTTCTCTGTGTGTGTGCAATGGTGTGGCCGTGCGCTCCAACCAAGATCTCATTACTGAGAACTTGCTCCCAGGTCGTGAGCTTCTGTTGCAGACAGATCTGATCAACTACGTTACCAGGTGAGGCTCCTAACCCCTATGCTGACCTCTACCCCTATCCTAAGACTCAAAAGCTCCTCAACCCTGTTCCTGACTGTGATCTAACCTTAGTGGGTATCTTTTTGCAAGGTCCCTTCCCAGGATGTCTGCCTTGTACCAGTTTACCCCTAGACTCCTACTGTTCTCTTTTCCAGGCTCCATTTCTGCCTCTATCTCTCTTTTTGTGTTTTCTTTTTCTTTTTGTCCTTGTCTCTGCCCCCTTCTCTCCCGTCTGTCTCTTCTCAATCTGTTTTTGTGATGTGTTTCTCTCTCTGTTTCCCTCTCAACAACATGACTGTCTTCTTCACTCCCACAGTATCCGCCCCAACATCTTTGTGGGACGAGCAGAGGGTTCCACGCAGTATGGCAAATGGTACTTTGAGGTGATGGTGGATGAGGTAGTTCCATTCCTGACAGCTCAGGCCACCCACCTGCGGGTGGGATGGGCCCTCACTGAGGGCTATAGCCCCTACCCTGGAGGTGGCGAGGGCTGGGGAGGCAATGGAGTCGGCGATGACCTCTATTCCTATGGCTTTGATGGGCTGCATCTCTGGACAGGTACTTGGGCTCTCCCAGGAGATTCCTTAACCCTGACCTTTGATCTCATACCCTGGGGTTTGGGGGGGTATTCTGAACCCCAGGGGAGGCATTTTTTGTCCCCTTACTCTTCATTTTTCCAGACCCTAACCCTCAAGCTTCCAGAGCCCCACCCTTCCCTTTTTCCTCATAACTTCCAAAATGCTGATCCTTGAAGAGGTATAACCTCTGATTCTAGAGCTTTAACCTCCGAGCTTTGAATCCTGATCCTAAAGTTTCCATAATCTAAACTCTGTGTCTTTAATCTGTGACCCACAGTTCCCAGGAATATAACCTCAGGAGACCCCTCCCCCTTTAACCTCTGCCCCCTAATTTTAGAACTATAGGAACACCTATAGTTTCTCAAGGTCTAGTCCCCAAGGGATCTTCCGATATTTGCCTGTTGTCTCTTGATACCATTGATTCTGTGGGACCTCTGACCTCTGACCTCTGGCTGGTATAGGTCATGTGGCACGCCCAGTGACTTCTCCAGGACAACACCTTCTAGCCCCAGAGGATGTGGTCAGCTGCTGCCTGGATCTTAGTGTACCATCCATATCCTTCCGCATCAATGGCTGTCCTGTTCAAGGTGTCTTTGAAGCCTTCAACCTTGATGGGCTCTTCTTTCCAGTTGTCAGCTTCTCAGCGGGTGTCAAGTGAGGACTTACCCCTGCCCCATTGTCTACCCCAGGTCTGGGGACTGATAGCTTCTTTGACCACTCTATAGCCTCCTCAGAGGCCAGGAGAGAACAGTTCCTTAGGACATGAAGGTTCCAGTGACCTCGTATTCTTCCCAATCCCATATCCTACCAGTTACCTTCAAATGGCCCCAGGATTTTACACTCATTTTCTAATGACCACAGACTTTGCAAGTCCCCCTGACCTCAAACCTAGGACTTTCTCAGTGACCTCAGACTCTCCTAATGACTCCATCCTTTTCCAATTAGCTCCTCATTATGACAAGGTCTCCCAGTGATGATCCAGTCAGCTCAGATTTGCTCAGAACCCCAGTTAACCCAAAGACCTCTCAGGGACCCAGCCTTCTTCCCAACGACCCTAAGCTGGAAATTCTGGTTATGTCATAATTATAACAGAATCTAAGACCGTCTTCTTGGTTTCTCCAAAATGTTTCACTATTCCCTGATATTCTGTTGACCTGGAGTCTCCAGAGGGCCTTCCAAGATGGGAATTCTTCTCTAATAAGTACAGCTCCACCTTTGTGTATGTATATGTTTGTGCATGTGTGCGTGCGCTTGCACACGTGCACATGTGCTGGTACTGAGGCTCAAACTGAGGACTTAGGTACTGTCTTAAGCTTTTCTACTCAAGATTGGAGCTCTGCTACATGAACCACAACTCCTGAGTTAAAAAAAATTTTTTTGTGGCTAATTGGAGGTAAGAGTCTCATAGGCTTTCCTGCCAGGGTTGGCCTTGAGCCTTGATCTTGAGATCTCAGCCTCCTGAGTAACTAGGATTAAAGTATGAGCCATGGGTGCCTGGCAAGACCCTTTGATTCTTTTTTTTATTTTTTATTTATTTATTTTTGACCCTTTGAGTCTTAATTCCCTATTGACAGCACAACTTTTCCTCTGGATTGTCCATTGACATTCCCTATGCTATTTCTTTTACCCTCAGATTTTCCTTTCTGACTTTTAAACGATTTCCATAACCCTAGAGAGACACATGACTTCCCAGGGACATCAGGTCTCCCTAGAACTTTTCACTGATCCTAGAATTGCTGTGTCCCCCACTAACTGCAGACTGTCCTCTATATCCCACACCATAACCCTCTTTCTCTTCTTTCAGAGTGCGGTTTCTCCTTGGTGGCCGCCATGGGGAATTTAAATTCCTCCCCCCACCTGGCTATGCCCCATGCCATGAGGCTGTGCTACCTCGAGAGCGACTCCATCTTGAACCCATCAAGGAGTATCGACGGGAAGGTCCCCGGGGACCCCACCTGGTGGGACCCAGTCGCTGCCTCTCACACACTGACTTCGTGCCCTGTCCTGTGGACACTGTCCAGGTATTGCCTGCCCTGCCAGGGTATTCTGATGAGGTATTGCTCTCTTAGATGCCAAAGAGGCCTAGAGTCGAGCTGGACGCTAAGAATCTCATTGTGTAAAACAGATGGCGAATCTGAGGCAGTGCCACAGGAGGCAAAGGACTCTCTCAAGGCAGAATTCTAATTTCAGGGACTCTACTCTATGGTCTCATTTCAAAAGAAAAAAGGAGCTAGAAAGATAGCTTAGTGGTAGAGTGCTTGCTTTGCATGCATGAAGCCCTGGGTTCCATTCCTCAGCACCACATTAACAGAAAAAGCTGGAAGTGGTGCTTGGCTCAAGTGGTAGAGCGCTAGCTTTGAGCTGAAGAGCTGAGGGACAGCGCCTAGGCCCAGAGTTCAAGCCTCACAACCGAGAAAAAAAAATAGGATGGTGAGACTGGGCATGGTGGTATAGGCCTGTAATCTAATCTACTCAGGAAGTAGAGATTAATGTTCAAGGCTACTTTAGGAAAGAAAAAAGTTAGCAAGACCCCCACTAAATGGATAAGTTGGATTTGATGGTTCACATTTGTAACTTCAGCTATGAGACAGGCATAGGTAAGAGAATCTTGGTCTGAAGCCATCCTCAGGGAGGAGAAAAAAAGCAAGCATGATCCTATTAAAAAAATAATAACTGGCCAGGTGCTGGTGGGTCATGCCTGTAATCCTAGCTACTCAGGAGGCTGAGATCTGAGGATCATGGTTTGAAGCCAACCAAGGGCAGAAAGTTCCCAGGAGAGACTCTTATCTCCACTGGCTAGGAATGAGGCTCAGTGGTAGAGTGCTTACCTAGCATGCATTAAGCCATGGGTTCAATTCCTCAGTACACATACATAGAAAAAGCCCGAGGGGCTGGGAAGGTGGCTCAGTGGAAGAGCGCTTGCCTTGCATGCCTGATTCCTCAGCACCTCATAAGCAAAAAAGAAAAAAAGCCGGAAGTGGCGCTGTGGCTCAGGTGGTAGAGCACTAGCCTTGAGCTGAAGGATAGTGCCCAGGCCCCACGACCGGACACCCAAAAAAAAAAAAAAAAGCCCAAAGTAGCACTGTGGTAAAGTGCTAGCCTTGAGCAAAAGAAGCTCAGGGACAGTACCCAGGCCTAAATTCACAAGCCCCAGGACTGGCAACAAACAAACAAACAAACAAACAAAACCTGGAAGTGGAGCTGTGGCTCAAAAATGATAGAGCGCTAGCCTTGAGCAAAAGAGCCCAGGGACAGTGCTTAGGCCCTGAGTTCAACTGAAAATAAAAATAGTAACTAGCTGGGCACTGGTGGCTCATGCCTGTAATCCTGGCTACTCAGGAGGCTGAGATCTGAGGATCAAGATTCAAAGCCAGCCTGGGCAGAAAAGTCCATGAGACTCTTATCTTCAGTTAACCACCAGAAAACTGGAAGTGGTGCTGTGGCTCAAGTGGTAGAGCACTAGCCTTGAGCTGAAGAGCTCAGGGACAGTGCCAAGGCCCAGAGTTCAAGCCTCACAACTGACCCCTCCCCCCAAAAATATAATAACTATAAAGGAAAAAGAGTTGGAGGTATGGCTTGAGTAGTAGAGAGCCTGTAGCAAGGATTGCCTGAGTTTAAACCCCATCTGAAAAAAAAGAAAGAGATAGAGAAAGGAAGGAAGGAAGGGAAGGAGGGAAAGAAAGAACTAGCATGTTATTGCCTTTAATTTACAGTTGAGGAAATTGAAGGCCAGAGAGATGAAGGGACAAATGCTGACTTGAATGCAAGTGACAAGTGCTGATTTGAATGCAAGGGTCTGATTCTGAAGCCTATGTTCTTATATACTGTGCTATGGCTGAGAACTGAGCACAGTCCTGAGTAAACAGCAAGCACTCAATGTATTTCCAGAAGTCAGATGACTTTAGGTCTTCCGGTCAACTTCCTGCCCACAGGCTGTCTGCTCTGGCTCCTGGAGCTCCCTCTCTGGTCCAAACCATCAATATCTCTTGCCAGCAAAGCACTATCAAACATCAACATTTATTAGATACTCATTGTATGCTTGGCATTCATCTCAACTAGAATATTAAATATTTTGCATAAATATGTTCAGGAACTCTTTTCTTTATTTTGCCAGTCATGGGGCTTGAACTTAGGGCCTGGACACTGTTTCTGAGCTGCTTTTGCTCAAGGCTAGCAATCTACCACTTGAGCCACAGCACCACTTCCAGCTTTTTCTGTTTATGTGGTACTGAGGAATCAAACCAGGGGTTCATCCATGCTAGGCAAGCACTCTACCACTGAGCCACATTCCAAGCCCATCAGGGACTCTTTATAAAGTAAGTGTCAGGAGTTAAGCGTTGTGTGAAGAAAGGAGCTGAGCACTGGTGGCTCACACTTGTAATCCCAGCTACTCAAGAGGCTGAGATCTGAGGATCAAGGTTAAAAAGCCGGCCTTGACAGGGTACTCTTATCTCCAATTAACCACCAGAAGGCCAGAGTGGAGGATCAGGTGGTAGAGTGATAGCCTTGAACAAAAAAGGCCTTGAATTTAAGCCTCAGTATGGAGAGAGGAAAGGACTAGGGAAAGAAAGGTTTTTGTTAGCCTAACCTCCTCCACCTTAGGAGCCACTTTGCTATCTTAGACCCTGCTGTAAAGCATGGCCTTTCCTGAAATCTGGTGACATAGGCCCTTCCCTGAATTTAGCTGACTCAGGCCTTATCAGTGACACAAGCAGCTGCAACCATAAAGTTTAGCCCCACCACAACAAAATCCCCCATTCTCACATACCTCACAAACTCCACATCTCACACAAACCAGACTGCAGAATACTGGGGCCCCTAGTGAAATTCTCCATCCCCAGTTCTCTAGCCATATAAACCCCCATATAAACTCAAGGACAAGAGCTGTCCCTACCTGGGAGGGTCAGCCTATCAGCTTGCTGCCAATAAACTTTGCTTTATGTGACTTGGCGTCTGCATAGTCTTCTGGGATGAGGCTCCCCCGGTGATTTTGCTCTTCCATTCGAGTTGATCTGGAGATGATGGTAGAATTTTAGGGAACTCACGAATGTCCCCCTGACCCTAGATTGTCCTGCCTCCTCATCTGGAACGCATTCGGGAGAAGCTAGCAGAAAACATCCATGAACTCTGGGCGCTGACTCGCATCGAGCAGGGCTGGACCTATGGCCAGGTGAGGAGTTGCTCACTTCTAGAGTGAAGAGCAAGAATAAGTTCACTGGCAGGGAGGGCTGGTGTCTAGGGACTTCAGGGCACTGGAAGGTCCTCAAGCTTCCAGTGGTATAAGTGTAAATGAGGAGGGGGGGTTAGGGGGTCACTGTCTGGGAGCTGGCAGAGGAAAGAGGAGCCCAAGGAATTGACTCCAGGGTTTCTCCAGGTTCGAGATGACAACAAGAGGCTGCATCCATGTCTTGTGGATTTCCACAGCCTGCCAGAGCCTGAGAGAAATTACAACCTGCAGATGTCAGGGGAGACGCTCAAGTAAGAAGGGTTTCTGGGGAGCAAGGGTCTGGAATGACTTCTGGTCAGGAGGAAGGGCAAGGAGGGACAGTTACTGACAGAAGGACACCAAAGGGGCTATGGTTGTAGCTCAATGACAGAGTACTTACCTGATATGCACAAGGGCCCTGGGTTTGATCTTCAATACAGAAAACAAAAAACAAAAGGAAAGGAAGAGGAAGGGAGGGCAGGAGGGGAAGAGGCAAAGAATAGTGGGGAAGGGAGGGAAAGAAAGAAGGAAAGAAAGAAGAAAAGAAAGAAAGAAGAAAAGAGAGAAAGAAGAAAGAGAGAAAGGGATTATGAAATAGAAACTGATAGAGGAGAAAGAAACAGCAAAAGGCATTGATAAGCTGGGTGTGGTGTCATACACCTGCAGTTCCAGGTATATGGGAGGCTGAAGCAAAAGGATCACTTGAACCTAGGAGTTCAAGACCAACCTGGGAAGCATAGCAAAAATATTGTTTCAAAAGAAAAGAAGACAGAAAGAGAGAGAGTGTGAGTGAGAGAGAGAGAGAAAGAAAGAAAGGTAAGCAGGCGGGAAGGAAGGAAGGAAGGAAGACAAAGAAAGATTGAGACCAAGACAGAAAAAGGCATTAATGGAAAGGCAAAGAGACATAGGAACAAGAGAAGAATCCAGAAGATAGTGGCCGTAGGCAAGAGATACTGAGATGAAGAAATGGAAATATAAAAATCAGAGAGACCGAGCAAGATGGGGACAAGTTAGAGAAGAGAAGAGAAGAGAAGAGAAGAGAAGAGAGAGAGAGAGAGAGAGAGAGAGCTTAGAGACTCAGAGATAGAGGAGACAGAGACAGGAAACTATGGGCTATGACCTTGTGGCCCCATTTCTTTAACCCAGGACTCTGCTGGCGCTGGGCTGCCATGTGGGCATGGCTGATGAGAAGGCAGAGGACAACCTGAAGAAGACAAAACTCCCCAAAACGTGAGCATGGGTGGCTGTGGGCCTGTCTGGGGACCGAGGATGTACTATGAAAGCTGAAAAGGCTGAAGAGCCTTATGGTTAAGTCTGAGGCCAGAGATGCAGGGGCATGGGTTAGAGTGAAGGTTGTAGGGTCAGGTGTCCAGGGTCAAAGGTGAGTGTTCAGGATGGAGCAGTTACGAGTTCCAGAGAAGGAAGGCAGGAGTAAGTCTAGGATTCTGGATTAGAGTCTGCCCTCGGAAATTTCACTTTAGAGACAAAGGGTCATGGCAGAGGACAAGAATTAAGATGATTCTGGAGAGGTAAGGTATTCTAGAATTATAGGCAAGGAATTAGAGGTCCTGAGTCAGAGGTCATGGACTCTAAAGCCAGGAGATTTGGACAGATTGGGCTTGGGGTCAGAAGTAAGAAAGCTAACAGTGAAGCTGGGTGCCAGTGGCTTATGACTATAATCCTAGCTACTCAGGAGGCTGAGATCTGATGATCCTGGTTCAAAGCCAGTCTGGGCAGGAAAGTCCATGAAACTCTTATCTCCAGTTAACTACCAAAAAAGCCAGAAGTGGAGCTGTGGCTCAAATGACAGAGCACAAGCCTTGAGTAAAAAAGCTCGGGGACAATACCCAGACCCTAAGTTCAAGCCCCAGACCAACAATGAGGGCAGGGGGGTGGGGTGGGGGGGCGGGTAGGAAGGAAGAAGGGAGGGAGAGGGAGAGGGTGAGGGAGAGGGAGAGGGCACACTAACAGTGAAAAATCAATGAGTGTCATGCCAAGATCAAAGCTGAGGCTCCCAGAACCAGGGTGAAGGTAAGTGATGGCCAGAGACTCAGCATCTTGGGAGTCAGAAGTCAAGATTTCAAAGCATGTTCTCTGCAGTTTTAGAACTGTGCCATCAAGGATCATAGGTCAGATATCCCAAAGCTCAAGGCTAAAGGTCCTTCAGCCCAGGGACAAGCTGAAGGTCTTGCAGCCCAGATCCCTGAGATTGAGGGGAGAGTCTTAACCCACATACACTTCACCACACCTGCAGGTATATGATGAGCAATGGGTACAAGCCTGCCCCCCTGGACCTGAGCCACGTGCGTCTGACACCAGCACAGACGACACTGGTGGATCGGCTGGCAGAGAATGGACACAATGTGTGGGCAAGAGACCGTGTGGCCCAGGGCTGGAGCTATAGTGCTGTGCAGGACATCCCTGCTCGCAGAAACCCTCGCCTAGTGCCCTACCGCCTGCTTGATGAGGCCACCAAGCGCAGCAACCGAGACAGCCTCTGCCAGGCTGTGCGTACCCTGCTGGGCTATGGTTACAACATTGAACCACCTGACCAGGAGCCCAGTGAGTGCTTGACTCTAAACATTGATTGATGTCCATGTTGCCCTTAATCTTGACTTTTAACCCTAGACCATAACCTCTGGATCTATTTCCTGCCCAGTCTCTCTAATTCTGCCTGGCTTCATTGGTAGGCCAAGCAGAGAACCAGTCTCGAGGAGACCGGACACGCATCTTCAGGGCAGAAAAATCCTATGTGGTACAGAGTGGCCGCTGGTACTTTGAGTTCGAGGCAGTTACCACGGGCGAGATGCGAGTGGGCTGGGCGAGGCCTGAACTGCGACCGGATGTAGAGCTGGGAGCTGATGAGTTGGCCTATGTCTTCAATGGGCATAGGGTGGGTACCTCTGTGGATCGTATTCTGCCAAGCTCCATGGACCTTCCCACCGTCCCACACTATTGTCCTACCTCGTGACTCACTCTGTCCACCCATCTCTGCATGTACCATGCTGCTATCCACTCATTGTTCATATATCGGCTCATCTATCCACCCATCCATCATCCATCTGTCTATCAATCTGCTCATCCACCTACTCATCTATCCATTCATCCATCTGCCCACTTATCCCTTCACCCATCCATCCATCCATTAACAATTCGTAAACCTAGCTATCCACTTATTCACCCATACATCTACCTATCCATCCATCCATCTGTCCATCCACCCATCAATTCATCTACTCCATCTATTTACCTCTTCACCCGTCCATCTATTCATCCATTCTTCCACCTATCCATTTGTCTATGTATATATGTACTTATATTTTCTTCCTTTCCATATTAACTCTCAACTCTCCATCCATCCATGTATGGATCCATTCACCCATCTACCTCTCTAACCATCCACCCACTTATCTATTCAGCCATCCATTTACCCAGTCATTCATTCAGCCAGCCATATACCTACCTTCTCATCTATCTCTTTATTCACGATTTATTCTGGGGACTTATATGGATCTGTATGGAGGTTATGGATCTGTATTGAAAGGTTAATTTTTCTTTTCCATCCTTTCGCTTTCTGCTGTCACCAATCCTTTCTGTCACTTTGGTGGACTGTATTTACCTACCATAACATGGGAGCAGCAGGAAATATAAGATCCGGGATGAGACACAGAGATGAATGGGAAAGGAGTTGGATGCTGGTGTGTCATGCCTGTAATCTTAACTACTCAGGAGGTTGAAATCTAAAGATCATGGTTCAGAGCTAGTTGGGGAAGGAAAGTCCATGAGACTCATATCCAGTTAACCACCAAAAAAGCCAGAAGTGGAGCTATGGCTCAATTGGTAGAGTGTTAGCCTTGATCAAAAAGTTCAGGGACAACCCTGATTTCCTGTCCCCAAAAAAGAGATGAATGGGGAAAGCAATTCAAGGACTATGAATATGAATGAGTAGAAAGATAGAAAATGCTGTAGGGTGATCCCTCTTTGTTTCCAGGTACCCTCTACCTGACACTTTGCATATGTGTCTTCATGCATCTCTCTCTCCCTCTCCCTCTCCCTCTCCTCCTCCCTCCCCCTTCCTTTCCCCCTCCCCCTCCCTCTCCCTCTCCCTCTCTCTCTCCCTCTCCCTCCCTCCCTCTTTCTCTCTCTCTTTCATCTCTCCATTTCTGTGTCTCTGTACCATGTCTTCCCTGGGACCTCCTCATAGGGCCAGCGCTGGCACTTGGGAAGTGAGTCATTTGGACGTCCCTGGCAGTCAGGCGATGTCGTTGGCTGCATGATTGACCTCACAGAGAACAACATTATCTTTACTCTCAATGGCGAGATCCTCATGTCTGATTCAGGCTCTGAGACGGCCTTTCGGGAGATTGAAATTGGTGACGGTGAGAGCTGATTTTTCCATCATCTCGCTGAAATCTGCACTTGAAACTTCTGTCTCTCATTCCCCTCCCTTCCATTGTAATTCCTCCCTGTAGCTGCCTCTGTACTGCCCACCTATTCACCCCTGCACAACATTCATATCCCTCAGGCTTCCTGCCTGTCTGCAGCCTGGGACCTGGCCAGGTGGGTCACCTGAATCTGGGCCAAGATGTGAGCTCCCTGAGATTCTTTGCCATCTGTGGCCTCCAAGAAGGGTTTGAGCCATTCGCCATCAACATGCAACGCCCGGTCACCACTTGGTTCAGCAAAAGCCTTCCACAGTTTGAACCCGTGCCCCTTGAGCACCCCCACTATGAGGTGAGGACTTAGCCCACTCCAGATTTCCTCCCAAGCCAGCCATCTTGGCACAGAGAACATGGGAAGGGTTGTCCGGAAAATTGATTCTCAGAGCTGCTTTTTAGGATATAACTTTAGCAAAGCATACTTTCCTGGATCTCAGTTTCTTACCTTTAAAACAAGAGGAGAGCTGGGCACTGGTGGCTCGTGCTTGTAATCCTAGCAACTTGGGAGGCTGAGATCTGAAGATCATGGTTCAAAGCCAGCCCGGGCAGGAAAGTCCGTGAGATTCTTACCTCCAATAAACCACTAGAAAACCGGAAGTGGTGTTGTGGCTCAAGTGATAGAGCGCTAGCCTTAAGATGGGTGTAGGGAGAGCACCCAAGCCCAGAGTTCAAGCCCTATGACCGACAAAAAAACAAAACAAGACAAGAACAGGAGGAGGGAAGCTGGGCACTGGTAGCTCATGCCTATAATCCTAGATACTCAGCAGACAGAGATCTGAGGATCAAGGTTCAAAGCCATCCCAGACAAAATGTCTGTGAGACTATCTCCCAAAAGTTGGAACTGGAGGCATGGCTCAAGTGGAAGAGCAAGAAAAGCCAAGCAAGATTGAGAGGCTCTGAGTTTAAGTGCTGGTATGAAGTAAAAATAAGAGGAGGGAGAAAAGTTTGCGTGACTTAGAGGAAAGTTGTAGACTTTATCTTAAAACCTGATCTTAAAGGACCTGATCCTAGGGCTAGGAAGGTGGCTCAGTGGTAGAGCGCTTGCCTTGCATGTATGAGGCCCTGGGTTCGATTCCTCAGTACCACATAAGCAAAAAGAAAAAAGCCAGAAGTGGCGCTGTGGCTCAAGTGGTAGAGTGCTAGCCTTGAGCTGAAGAGCTGAGGGATAGCGCCCAGGCCCAGAGTTCAGGCCCCACGACCGGACACCCCCCCCCCCCCCCCCCCCGCAAAAAAAAAGGACCTGATCCTAAAACAAGGTTTAAAGAAATATAAACCAGTGGGTACCTTTGGGTGTCTTTGTTACTAATAATCAGTGGGTTTGTTTTGTTTATTTGTTTACTTATTTATTGACAGTTTTGGGGCTTGAACTCAGGGCCTGAATTTCTTTTGCTCAAAGGTAGTACCACCTGAGCAATAATGCCACTTCTGGCTTTTTCTGTTTATGTGCTGCTGAGGAATCGAACCCAGGGCTTCATGCATACTAGGCAAGCACTCTACCACTAAGCCACATTCTCAGCCCGTTTTGTTTATTTGTTTTCAAAAGCCCTTCATCAGTCAAGCCAATGTCATTTTTTTTGTCAGTCATGGGGCTTGAACTCAGGGCCTGAGTGCTGTCTCTGAGCTTTTTCACTCAAGGCTAGGGCTTTACCACTTTGAGCCACAGCATCACTTCTGATTTTCTGGTGGTTAATTGGAGATAAAAGTCTCACGGACTTTCTTTTTCTTTTTTCGTCAGTCCTGGGGTTTGAACTCAAGGCCTGGGCACTGTCCCTGAGCTTCTTTTGCTCAAGGCTAACACCCTACCACTTGAGCCACAGTACCACTTCTGGCTTTTTCTGTTTATGTGGTACTGAGGAATCAAACTCAGGACTTCATGCATGCTAGGCAAGCACTCTACCACTAAGCCACATTATCAGCCCTCTCATGAACTTTCTTGCCTGCACTGGCTCTGAACTGTGATCCTCAGATCTCAGCCTCCTGAGAATCTAGGATTATTGGTGTGAGTCACCAGTGCCTCGCAAGCCAATATAATTTCTTTTCAAGGTTTATACCTACGGTCACACTCAGATCATAAATACCTGACAGACCAAGTAGGAGTTCTTTTTTCAACTTGCAAAAACTTGGAAACTTCATGTGGCAGAGCTGCAGCTGGTAATTTTATTGTTGTTTGCATCACTAGGGATTGAACTCAGGGTCTCATACTTCCTTGCATTGGTTATTTTTGAGGTAGGGTCTCCTGTTAAGCTGTGGACAGCCTATTCTGTGACCCTCCTCTTTGTGCTTTCCTGTGTAATTGAGGAATGACAGAGGTATACCACTGCCCCCAGTCATTGTACCTTCCTGTAGCAGAAATAACAGGTGCATGCCACCATATTGTCTGTCAGTGGTTGAAACAGAGTCTCACTCTTACTGACTTTTGTGCTTGGGTTGGCTTCAAGCCTCAATACCCCAGGCTCTGCCTCCAAGAAGCTTTATTTGCTTATTTTTTATTTACTTAGATATAGTTTAGCTGCTTCATCCTGGCTGGCCTGGAACTTGTGATCCTTTTGCCTCAGTCTCTTGAGTGCCAAGATTATAGGCATGCACCACCATGCCTGCTTCCCTTGTAATTAGAAATATTATTATTATTATTACTGCAAGGGATTTCTGGAAGGGATTTTAGTAAGTGTGGGAGAGGAAGGTAGAGCAGATGTGAACTTGTGCCTTTCAGAGGGGGAATCTCATGTTAGTGAACAGGATGCCATGCAATAGTGTAAATGAATGAACTGGAAGCCACACAACCACGTGGACAGCTTCCAATATAATGTCAAATGAAAAAGAGCACAGGCTGTGGGGCTCCATTCATAGAGAGTTCAAGGGCGGGCCACACTCAACCTGCGGGATGACTGATGGAGAAATTGGTTCCTGTGACAGAATAACTCAGACTAGTTGTTAGTTTCTTCACACACAAATCACAGGAGGGAGTCTCTTGTCAAGGAACAAAGGATTTCTAAGAGAGAAGGGAGAGAGGAGAGATAAAAGCCCTGTAGAATTTCTGAACAGGGAATGTTGCAGGTATAGTTTGGGGGTAAATTTACTGGCTGATGGGGAATACCAGAGTCAGCAATTAGGCCCAGGTCTGCAATTGATACTTGATGAGGTCAATTCTACTTCTGTTGTTTATGGAGTCTCTAGAAAACCTCTGAGGAGAGGCTGGGAATGTGACTCAGTGGTAGAATACTTACCTTGCATGCATGAGGCCCTGGGTTCGATTCCTTAGAACCACATAAGCGGAAAGAGCCAGAAGTGGTGCTGTGGCTCAAGTGGTAGAGCACTAGCCTTAAGCTGAAGAGCTGAGGGACAGTGTCCAGGCCAAGATCAGGCCCCATGACTGACAAAAAATAAAAGAAAAAGAAAACCTCTGGGGATTTTTTAGAGAGTGGGGAGAGGAGAGTTTGATCTCAAGGCCTCACATTTGCTAAATGGATGTTCTACCGCTTGAACTACACCTCCAGCCTTTTAAACTCTTGTCATGTAGGTTTTTTTTTTTTTCCTGGGGGGATGTTCCAGGTCAACCTAGACTATGATCCTCCTATTTATGCTTTATAGCTAGGGAGAGTAGGCCCAATTTTTTGCTGTTGAAATGGAGGTGTTGAGCACTTTTTGGCTTCAGCTTACATGGAATCATAATCCTCCTAATCTCAGCCTTTTGAACAGCTAGGATTGTAGGAAATGAGCCACTATGCCTAGTACTCATTATCTTGGAGAGGATAGTGACTCCGAAAGGCCACAAAAGCCTCCCAGGAATCTTGGTTCATTTTCCCATCCAGTTCGTGAATTGCATTTCTTCTTTTTTTTTTTTTGTCGGTCGTGGGGCCTGAACTCTGGGTCTGGGAGCTATCCCTCAGCTCTTCAGCTCAAGGCTAGTGTTCTACCACTTGAGTCACAGCACCACTTCCAGCTTTTTCTGCTTATGTGATGCTAAGGATCGAACCCAGGGCTACATGTAGGTGAAGAAAGCACTCTACCACTGAGCCACCTTCCCAGCCCCAATTGTGTTTATTCTGTGAAAACTTATCACTGTACTGTGTACTTCTAATGTGGGTACTCTCCTGAGTGTTACATTTCCATGTACATCATGGGAAGTCTTTACAAAGTTCTGAGCCCTCTAAGCTCTACTCAGGAACTCCAGTAGGGCAGTTTCTTTATTTTGTTCATTTATGTGTTCCTGGCACATAGTAGATGCTTCCAAAATATTTGTGGGATGGACTGGTAGATGGATGATCTGAACTGGAGTGAAGGCCTGGGCATAGATAGGTTTTTCAAAGTCCCCCAAGTAATTCTAGAATATGCATGGATTAGCACTAAGCAAGGGGCAAAGGTTGACAGAGGGCTGACAACACACCATGGCCAACCTGTATGTCCTGCTAGAAACTTTAGCTCCAAAGAAGGGCCAAACTCTGTGTCAGCTGGGTGTTTGTGGCTCACACTTGTAATCCTAGCTACTGCTGAGGCTGAGATCTGGAGGATCTCCTCCAAGTCAACCAGGGCATAAAAGTCTTCAAAACTCCATCTCGAGTTAACTAGCAAAAAGCTAAGCTGGAGATGTGGCTCTGATTGTAGAGTAACATCCATGAGCAAGCATAAGGCCCTAAGTTTAAACCTCACTATTGGTGAGAGATAAGAGGGAGAGAGGGAATAAGACTGAGATAGATAGATAGATAGATAGATAGATAGATAGATAGATAGATAGATAGATAGATGTGGGTAAGCTGTCTTAGGCTAATTTTTTTTTCTTTTTTCTTTTTGTCAGTCATGGGGCTTGAACTCAGCCTGGACACTGTCCTTGAGCTCTTTTTTTTTTGCTCAAGGCTAGCGCTCTACCATTTTGAACCTCAGCACCACTTCCATTTTTCTGGTGATTAATTGGAGATAAGAGTCTCATGTACTTTCCTGCACGGGCTGGTTTTGAACCATGATCCTCAGATCTCAGCCTCCTGAGTAGCTAGGATGGCAGATGTGAGCCACCATTACCCAACGGAGCTAATTTTTACACATGTGTAAGAATGGTTTCATGTGTGCTAGAGATGTGGCTTAGTGGTAGAGTACTGCCTAGCATGCATGAGGCCCTGGGTTCAAATCCTTAGTACCACATAAACAGAAAAAGCTGGAAGTGGCCCTGTGGCTTAAGTGGTAGAGTGCTAGACTTGTGCACAAGAAGCTCAAGGACAGTGCCCAGGCCCTGAGTTCAAACCTCAGGACTGAAAAAAAAAAAAAAAAAGAATGCTCCATGTGTAACCAGATTTAGAACCAGTGACCCAGCTCAGTGCTTTCTGCTCCTCTACAGGTATCACGCATGGATGGCACTGTGGACACGCCCCCCTGCCTACGACTGACCCACCGTACCTGGGGCTCCCAAAACAGTCTGGTGGAGATGCTTTTTCTGCGGCTGAGTCTTCCGGTTCAATTCTACCAGCATTTCCGCTGCACTGCTGGGGCCACTCCTCTGGCACCCCCTGGCCTACAGCCCCCTGCCGAAGATGAGGCCAGAGCCGCAGAACCAGACCCTGACTATGAAAACCTACGCCGTTCAGCTGGAGGCTGGGGTGAAGCTGAGGCGGGCAAGGAAGGAACTGCTAAGGATGGGGGCACTCCTCAGCCTGGGATGGAGGCCCAGCCTGTAAGGGCAGAAAATGAAAAGGATGCTACCACAGAGAAGAACAAGAAAAGAGGGTGAGTCAAGGGTTGATCAACATGGGGTTTTAAGACTGTTTGGGACCCCGGTTATGCAACCTTAATAGTTTGAGCCAGGCACTGAGATCTGAGGATCACCATTCAAAATCAGCCCAGGCAGATAAATCCTAGATTTTTTTTTTTTTTGTCCATCCTGGGGCTCGAACCCAAGGCTTGGATATTGTCCCTGAACCAGTTTTTGTGCTAGTGCTCTACCCCTTGAGCCACAGTGCCATGTCCAGCTTTTTCTGAGTAGTTTATTGGAGATAAGAGTCTCCTGGACTTTTCTGCCCTGGCTGGCTTTGAACCGAGATCCTCAGATCTGAGCCTCCTGAGTAGCTAGGATTACAGGCATAAGCCACCTCTCAAGGGCCTGGCTCAAGAGATTCTTAAGTCCAATTAACCAGCAGAAAGCTAGCAGTAGACATGTGGCTCAAGAGGTTGAGCACCAGGCTTGAGTAAAAAAGCCAAGCAAGAGTACAAGACTGAGTTCAAGCCCCAGCATCAGTACCAGAAAAAAAAAAAAAAAAAAGCTGGGTGCCGGTGGCTCACACCTGTAATCTTAGCTACTCAGGAGGCTGAGATCTGAAGACCACGGTTCTAAGCTAGCCCAGGCAAGAAAGTCCTTGAGATTCTTATCTCCAATAAAACCACCAGAAAATCAGAAGTGGTGCTGTGGCTCAAGAGGTAGAGTGCTCACCTTGAGCTGAAGAGCTCAGGGACAGCGCTCAGGCCTAGAGTTCAAGTCCCACGACCGACAAAAAAGACAGAAGGAAGGAAGGAAGGAAGGAAGGAAGGTAGGAAGGAAGGAAGGAAGGAAAGAGAGAAAAATAAAATAAAATGAGGACATCCCCAGCATACCCACAAAGCAGCCTCATCTATCCTAAGTGAAGTCATAATACTGAGGCATCCAATTGTGTCTCAGGTGAACCCTGTTATTTTCCAGTGCTATTCTAATTTCCCTAGAATATAAAACTAGGGAACCCTAGTTTTATATGGTTCCCTAGGGAACCATACGGTTATGGAGAATTCTACCATTCCTGAGGAACTGGTGGACCCCAAATCTTTATTCAATGGCTTCATTATCTGTGAGCACTAAAGGAGACTTCAGTATCCTGGTGAAGTTTTCTATACCCCCCCAAATATCTCAGTGAACATCAAGTGATCTAAATTGGAGCTTTTTTTTTTTTTTGTCAGTCGTGGGGCTTGAACTCTGGGCCTGGGTGCTGTCCCTCAGCTCTTCAGCTCAAGGCTAGCGCTCTACCACTTGAGCCATAGCACCTACTTCTGGCTTTTTCTGCTTATGTGGTACTGAGGAATCGAACCTAAGGCTTCATGCATGCGAGGCAAGCACCCTATCACTGAGCCACCTTCCCAGCCCCAATTGGGGCTATTTCTATATCTTCAATGTACCAGCCTCCCCCCACAAAAAAACCCACCCTAGCTCTAAGTGAGACCCTGAGAAGGTCCTAGATTGAGAAGAAATCTGCTCTCCCCCCTCCCCCTACCCCTGCCCATGGTTTGTGTCTCTTGTCTTTTGTCTGTGTCTCTTGGATGAGGAGAGGGCATTTGGAAATGATGGAGTATTGCTGGTCATCACAGTTGGGGTGCTACTGCTGGGGTGCTCTAGGGAATCCTATATTCTTTACAGAGTATATGACAGTGCCAGACAATGAAGGATTGGCTTTTCTTAAGCACATTGAGAAATACAAATGAGAAATGCTGGTTTAGGGGGAACTACTGTATCTCACAAAGGGACCCCCCACACACATTTCCAGAAGACACCTTTCAATGTGGGTGACCTTCTATCCACAAGCACAGAGCACAGCTCCTCCAGAATGGTCTAGGTTAGGAGTGGTCAAGAACTCTAGCCCTGTAGAGAAGAGGTTTTGGGTCTTAGAGCAGGGTGTAATCAGGACAGGTTGTGGCTATGAGTTGTGGTGGGAAGGTGAGAGTTGGGCTTGAGAACTATTTTTTTTTGGGGGGGAGGAGGAATTCCAAGACGAGAACTTGAACTCAGTACGTGATGTTTTCCTTCATTGGCTAGTGCTCTACCAACTGAGCCATACTTCCAACCACCGAGAGCCAGCTCTCATGGAAGCCTCTCTCTTCTCATCATCAGGTTCCTCTTTAAGGCCAAGAAGGCTGCCATGATGACCCAGCCACCAGCTACCCCTGTTCTGCCCCGACTCCCTCGTGAGGTGGTACCCACTGACAACCGTGATGATCCTGAGATTATCCTGAACACTACCACGGTGAGAACTGGGAATGCTCAACCTTTGGAGGGACTCAAATATGGGATATCACACACCAAAAATACTCCCAAGGGATCCCCAAAGCTACAAATGGCATTGGTAGACACAGAAACAGACATGGATGAGCAGGGGAGGGAGAGCAGGGGGAGGGTCTCAAATCTGACAACTTCTTTTAAAAAAATTATTTATGCAGATAAATAAACAAGACAAAAAGAAAAGAAAACAACAGTAACAACAAAGGGAAACAACCCTATTGTTTCTATTTCCTGGAGTTCATTTTGATGCTTTTTTCCCTCCAGTTCTGGGGCTTGAATTCAAGGCCTGGTCACTGTCCCTGAGCTTCTTTTGCTCAAGGCTAGCATTTTACCACTTGAGCCACAGTGCCACTTCCAGCTTTTTTTGTTGATGTGGTAGTAAGGAATCGAACCCAGGGCTTCATGCATGCTAGGCAAGCACTCTATCACTAAACCACATTCCCAGACTGATACGTATTATTTTATATGATCAGAGCTGAGAACTTCTTATTAAACTCCCAGAGGTCTAAGAATCCAAGAAACCAATTCAGAGTCCAAAGGAACCCCACCTTCCTGACTCATCTTTGGTCTTCCTTCCTTTGTGTCCTTAGTACTACTACTCCGTGAGGGTCTTTGCTGGCCAGGAACCTAGCTGTGTATGGGTGGGTTGGGTCACTCCTGACTACCATCAGCACGACATGACCTTCGACTTGACCAAAGTCCGGGCAGTGACAGTGACCATGGGGGATGAACAAGGCAATGTCCACAGCAGGTACTGGGGCAGGGCGGGGAACTATGCAAAGGGAGAGTGTGGGCCAGAGAGAACAGGAGTTATGGCTGCCTGGCTATGACTCCTAAGAACCTTCTAGAACAAGAGGATACTTTGAGTCCTGACATTGGGTCTCTGAGCTTCTTACTCCTTCCTCTCTTCTTCTGTTCAGTTTCTTTCTTTTCTTATTTTTTTTTTTTTTTTTTGGTGCTAGTACTGGGGCTTGAACTCAAGGCTTGGGAACTGTTTCTCAGCTTTTTTTTCTCTCAAGGCTGGTCCTCTACCATTTGTGTCATAGCTCCACTTCTGGCCTTTTCCTGGTTAGTTGGAGGTAGGAGTCTTACAGACTTTTTTCCTGCCTGAGCTGGCTTTGGACTGAGATCTGATAACACGTGTGATCCACCAGTGCCCAAAATTTTCCATTTTTTAACTTCTTTTTTTTTTTTTTTCTCAATTTCATCCCACCCTATTTTTTCTTTTTAGTTTTTGGTCAGTCCTGAGGCTTGAACTCAGAGCCTGGGCACTTTCCTTGAGCTTCTTTGCTCAAGGCTAGCACTCTATCACTTGAGCCACAGCTCCACTTCTGGCTTTTTTCTGTTGATGTGGTACTGAGGAATTGAACCCAGGGCTTCATGCATGCTAGGCAAGCACTCTACCACTAAGCCACATCCCTAGCCCCCCCCCCCCACTTGTTTTATGTCACCTTCTTGTCTCTCTTGTGCTGTTCTTCTCTCTCCTCCTTCCAAGACACGTGCACCAGCTCCTAAGGATTCTAGCTCTAGGCTGCTGGGGCTGTACATTTGGGGATGGAGTCCTGAGGTCATGGTATTTCTGGAGCTTGGGGAAGAGGGCATCTGGGATTCAGACCTCTGGTCAGAGGATGCTTGCAGTGACCACTCTTGTTTCTTCCAGCCTCAAATGCAGCAACTGCTATATGGTATGGGGCGGGGACTTTGTGAGCCCTGGGCAGCAGGGCCGGATCAGCCACACAGACCTTGTCATTGGCTGCCTGGTGGACTTGGCCACTGGTTTAATGACCTTTACAGCCAATGGCAAAGAGAGCAACACCTTTTTCCAGGTAAGCCCATCCCTAAGCAACTTAACAATAGTATTTTCATTACCCAGCATCTCAGGATGACTCTTCAAGTCCCTTCTCCTTTCCCTCCCCCCTCTTCCCCCCCAACCAGACCTCAGAAAGATAGGAAAGAACCAGCTCCTAGTGTGTCCTAGTTGAACCTTCCATTAAACTGAGACCCACAGCCAGGCATTGGTGGCTCATGTCTATAATCATAGCTATTCAGGAGGTTGAGATCTGAGGATCATGGTTTAAAGCCAGCCAAGGCAGGAAAGTCTGTGAGACTCTTGCCTGTAATTAATCATAAAAACAAACTAGAATGGGAGCTGTAGCTCAAGCAGTAGAGCCCTAGCCTTGAGCAAAAGGATTCAAGGAAAGTTCCCAGGCCCTCAGTCTGGTTGGTACAGTCCCAGGACTGGCATAAAGCAAAGCAAAACAAAATAAAAAAACTGAGGCCCAAAATGAAGGAGATAACCTTGACCTTGGAAAGGCACATGGACTCTATATTACATCATGGGCTGGGGTGACACCAGTCATTGACTTTTCACTAATTAAAGAACAACCTAAGATGAGCAAAATCCAAAGGTGGACTTTTTCTTTTCAACATTTTATTATGAAGGAAAGTTTATGTATTTTAAGTATCCAGAGACCTAAAAGGAATTGTACAATAAAATATCCATTGCCCACTACCCCCCAAAAAATCAACCATTGTTATTTTACTCTCCTGGCTTTATCACATATTTATCCAGCTATCTATGCATCAATTCACCTGAGGTAGGCTTTGTAGAATTTTTATTTTAAATGGAGAATTTCAGAAATCTGCAAAAAAAAAAAAAAAAAATACCATAGCATAATGAGCCACCAGATTTGTACTCCACCCACTCATAGCCAATCTCGCCTCATCTTTCTGCCTACTTCCCTTCCACACCCACTGTAGGATTTGGAAGAAAACTGTAGACATCATACAGTTCATCTCTCTGTCTTCTTTCTCTCTGTCTCTGTCTCTCTCTTATTTTTTTGGTGCTGGTTCTGGGGCTTGAACTCAGGACCTCGGTGCTCATCTGAGTTTTTGTCCTCAATGGTAGCAATCTATCCCTTGAGCCACAGCTCTATTTCTGGCTTTTGTTGGTGGTCAATAAGAGCCTCATGGATTTTTTTCCTGCTGGGCTGGCTTTGAACCTCAGTCTTCAGATCTCAGCCTCCTGAGTAGCTAGGGTTACAGGCATGAGCCACTGATGTCTGGCTCCAGAGTTTTGTTTTGCTTTTATTTTTGTTGTTGTTGTTGTTGTTGTTGTGTGTGTGTGTGTGTGTGTGTGTGTGCTTGAACTGGGGCTTGAACTAAAGGCACTGTCTCTGAGCTTTGCTGCTCAAGGTTAGTGCTCTGTGCTTTGTACTTCATGTAAACTGTGGGGGAGGGGAGTTGGATCTAGAAGTATGGTTTGCTTTTGGAAAGACTGCCCTTCAGAAGGTGTTTGGGGTGGGCTTGGCTGACAGGGTGGGAAGATCTGAGGGAGAGACAGCAGTCAGGGAACACTTTTTGTTGTTGTTGTTGCCAGTCCTGGGCTTGAACTTAGAATCTGGGCTCTGTCCCTGAGCCTCTCTGTGCTCAAAGCTAGGGCTCTACCATTTGAGCCACAGCATCATTTCCAGCATTTTCTATTTATGTGGTACTGAGGACTTGAACCCAGGGCTTCATGTATGCTAGGCAAGTACTCTACCACTAAGCCACATTTCCTAGTCCCATCAGGGAACACTTTATGGGTTTTGAAGTGCAAGTACTCTTAGGAGAAGACAGAGAAAGGTTTTCCTGGAGGAGTCCTAATGTGTCTATGAAGACATGGCAACAGATCGCCCTAAAGGGGCTGGAGGAGGCTGGCCTGGCTTGATGATTAAAGGCAGCTCAGAACCACTGCAGAGCCTCCAATGCCCAAGTGTAGATCTGAGAATTGGCCTCAGCCTTCAAAGTCAAGTCCACCTTGCACAGTCTGCCCTCTTCCTCCCTTGTCCTTTGCTTTCATGCCAGGTGGAACCCAACACGAAGTTGTTTCCTGCCGTCTTTGTCCTGCCCACCCACCAGAACGTCATCCAGTTTGAACTGGGGAAGCTAAAGGCAAGAGAGCAGGGATGGGGCACTTGGAGTAGGCTGAGGCGGGAGGTGCTAGAGAACTTTCTCTGGAAGCCAGATGAGGGGAAAAGGTAAGCCTGGGAGACCTGACCCTGTGCCTCTATGCCCCCAGAACATCATGCCGCTGTCAGCAGCTATGTTCCTGAGTGAGCGCAAGAATCCAGCCCCACAGTGCCCACCGAGGTTGGAGGTACAGATGCTCATGCCAGTCTCCTGGAGCCGAATGCCCAACCACTTCCTGCAGGTGGACACCCGGCGTGCGGGTGAGCGGCTCGGCTGGGCTGTTCAGTGCCAGGAACCGTTGACTATGATGGCGCTTCACATCCCCGAGGAGAACAGGTCAGGGCCCATCCAGCTGCACTGGTTAGGATCCAGCTCAATGCCTCCTCCTCCCTACCACAATCTCTGGGTACCCTGATTCAGCTCAGATCTTGCCAGTCACTCAGCAAGGCTGGATGCATCTCAGGGTTTCTGGTCAGACCCAGAGAGACTTTAGTGCTACTAATGTGTTAGCATTGGTACCAGGAAGTCTTATTATCTAAACATGGCCAGACCCCAGGTGGTCTTTCCTCTTCCTTCTTCCCTCTCTCTCTGCTTGCCTCCCTCCTTCCTTCCTTCCCTCCCTCTCTCTCTGATTTTCTCTCGCTGATTCATTCATTCTCTCCTCCCCCCCAACGCACACATACACTTTTTCTGCCAGTCCTGGGGCTTGAACTCAGGGCTTGGGAATTGTCCCTTAGTTTTTGCACTTAAGGCAGGCACTCTACCACTTGAGCCACAGCTCCACTTCTGACTATTTGGTGGTTCATTGGAGATAAAAGTCTAATGGACTTTCCTGCCTAAGCTGGCTTTGAACTGGGATCTTCAGATCTCAGCTTCCTGAGTAACTAGGACTACAGGCATGAGCTGTTGACACTCAGTTCTCAGGAGGTTTCTGACTGGCCTCATTAAAAAATTTTTTTTAAATTTAGTCTTTTAAACTGTTAAAAGACTCCTATACAGCTTCAAAGTTTCCATGAGGCCCTGGTACCCTGTGGGACACAGAGAAAACAACATTCACCTGAGTGTCTCTCTCTCTCTCTTTTTTTTAATCTTTTCTGTCCCAATGTGTTTTTCACTTGTGCCGCAGGTGCATGGACATCCTGGAGCTCTCTGAACGCCTGGATCTGCAGCGCTTCCACTCACACACCCTGTCCCTTTACCGAGCCGTGTGCGCTCTGGGCAACAACCGCGTGGCGCATGCTCTGTGCAGCCACGTGGACCAGGCCCAGTTATTGCACACGCTGGAGGATGCGCACCTACCGGGGCCTCTTCGCGCAGGCTACTACGACCTCCTCATCAGCATCCACCTGGAAAGTGCCTGCCGCAGCCGGCGCTCCATGCTCTCTGAATACATTGTGCCCCTCACCCCAGAGACCCGGTCCATCACCCTCTTCCCACCTGGAAGAAGTGCGGAAGATGGTCCCCGCCGCCACGGCCTGCCTGGCGTTGGAGTCACGACTTCCCTGAGGCCCCCGCACCATTTCTCACCCCCCTGTTTCGTGGCTGCCCTGCCAGCTGCTGGAGGAACAGAAGCTCCCGCTCGCCTCAGCCCTGCCATCCCGCTGGAGGCCCTGCGGGACAAGGCTCTGAGAATGCTGGGCGAGGCGGTGCGAGACGGTGGGCAGCATGCTCGAGACCCCATCGGGGGCTCCGTGGAGTTCCAGTTTGTGCCTGTCCTCAAACTTGTGTCTACTTTGCTGGTAATGGTTTCCCCCTGTTTTCCATTCCCTTTCTAACATGTTCAAAACTATTCATCCCTGTATTATTCAAACAATTATCCATTCATGAATTCACAAACCCATTCACCTTTCAGTTTATCCTCCCATCTTTCATTCACTGGAAAGTGTCTTCTATTGATGTTTATTCACCTCTTTTTCCTTCATCCTATTTTTCCATCCAATTAACCAACATTCATTTATCCTCCATCCATCCATCCATCCATCCTCTATCCATTCATGCATATCCTCATCTCATTTGTCTTTCTATTCATCTATTCTCCACCTACATATTCATCCATCCATCCTGCTATCCATCCATTCTACCTATCCACATCCATCTATCACATTCTTACATCATACATCTTCCAATATATTTGCTTACCTATCCTGCCATTCACACATCAGTCCATCCACAATTCCATCTATTCTTCTATCCACCTACCCATTTATTGATGGCTATATATATATTTTCTCTCATACACACAGTAATCATCTTCCTTTCACCTCTCCATCCATTCATATAGTAATATACCCATACACTATATGCCTGTCCATATCTGCACCTTTTATTTACCTTTCTATCCATCCATGCACCTTTCCATCCAATATTCATGCTTTCTCTCACCTATCCAGAAATCCACACCATTCATTTAACTGTTCATCTTCCATTATCCATTGTTCTATTCATCTTTTATTTCATGCATCCCTTTATTCGAATCCCTATATAACCATTTGCCCATATATCCATCCATCCATCTATCCCAGCCACTCACATTTATCTACCTATATATTAATTTACTTGCTCATGCATCCATCAACCCACCATCCATCCACCTGCCTGCTTCATACATACATCATTAATCCTTCCACACATCCACCCTCCTCCATATTTTCCTCTGTCACTTCCTTTATTCTTCATCATCTACTCATTCTCACTTCTCCATCATGATCCACTCATCCATTACCTCCCCTTAAAACCCGATACCATTCTATCCATCCATTCACTCAGCCAACCACCTCTCTCCTCCTCCCATTTATTCATCTTTCTCTTATTCTTCTCTACTTTTGTCTACCTTTTATCTTTCCATACTTTAATCTGTTAGCATCTGTTAGTATGTGTTGAGTGAGAGCTGGTGTATGCTGGGACCTCTGTGGGCCTCGTTCAGGTGTAGGGTGTATTCCAATCCATAGCTACATGTAAATATTGGCCTGTGAAGGAAGAGGAATACACGTCTGGTGATGTAATCTGATGAAGGTGTGGACTGGGCAATCTCAAGGAAGGTGAACAGTGAGGAGGGGATGTCAATGCAGGAAGGAACCTGGGACACACTGGAGAAACAGGTCTAGACAGTGAGATGGGGGGGATGATTGTGGAGGCCTTGCCAGTCACAGTGAAGAACTCATGTTTTGTCCTGCCAGGTGATGGGTGTCTTTAGTGATGAGGATGTGAAACAGATCTTGAAGATGATTGAACCCGAAGTGTTCACTGAGATAGAAGAAGAGGAGGAGGAGGCAGAAGAGGAGGAAGAAGAAGATGAGGAGGAGAAGGAAGAGGACGAAGAGGAGGAGGCACAGGAGAAGGAAGATGAAGAGAAAGAGGAAGAGGAGGCAGCAGAAGGAGAGAAAGAAGAAGGCTTGGAGGAGGGACTGCTCCAGATGAAGCTGCCAGAGTCTGTGAAGTTACAGGTAGGTCATTTCTTCCTGCCTTCCCTTCTTCATCCATCTGGGTTGGGGGACTCAGGATCTGATGGGGCATGAGTCTGGATTTTGTACTATGGAGAAGCATAAAACTGGTGTGATGCTGGCTTGGAATGATCTCTCTGATTTCCATGTGAGAAGAGACCACGGGAGGAATTGATGGTGGCTGGACATGGACAGGACCAGGGAGAGGGAAGAGGAAGCAAGAAAAGTTTCTGAGAAGGCCTGATAGTCTCATTACAATCCCTCCTACTGCATGACTGTCCTTCCACAGATGTGTCACCTCCTGGAGTATTTCTGTGATCAAGAGCTGCAGCACCGTGTAGAGTCCCTGGCTGCCTTCGCAGAGCGCTATGTAGACAAGCTGCAAGGCAACCAGAGAGGTCGTTATGGACTCCTCATGAAAGCCTTCACCATGAGTGCAGCAGAGACTGCAAGACGCACCCGCGAGTTCCGCTCGCCACCCCAGGAGCAGGTTCTCTGACCCCTGACTTTAGCTGTTTTTACTGACTAAACTCCCAAATGCAAACACTATCCCAACTGACCATTGATAGGCCTCACCTTTAAAACTGGTGCTTTTACCTTTGAACCTACTGATACATTTATATCTCTCTCTCTCTTTTTTTTAAGCCTCTTATTTCCATTTCCTGGAGTTCTTCTTTCTTTCTTTCATTCTTTTTTCTTCCTTCCTTCCTTCTTGCTTGCTTGCTTGCTTGCTTTCTTTCCTTTCTTTCTTTCTTTCTCTGTCATGGGGCTTGAACTCAGCCTGGGCGCTGTCGCTGAACTCTTTTGCTCGAGGCTAGTACTCTAACACTTTGAGCCTCAGAACCACTAACAGTTTTCTAGTGGTTCATTGGAGATAAGAGTTTCATACTTTCCTGCTTGGGCTGGCTTTGAACCATGGTCCTCAGATCTCAGCCTCCTGAGTAGCTAGGATTATAGACATGAGCCACTAGTGTCCAGTGCTGGAGTTCATTTTGATAAATATTAGTTTATATGATCAGAGCATTTATCTTTTACTCAGTGCCACTTTGTGAATGAACCTGACTTTGAAGTCTTCCAGACATTTTTCATCAACTCATGCTTTATTCTTATTATTATTATTTTGGTTGTTCATGAGGCTTGAATAGGGCCTGGGCTCTGTCCTTGAGCCTCTTTGTGTTCAGAGCTAGCATTTTACCACTTAGCCACAGTAGCACCACTTCTGGCTTTTTCTAAAGAGTTTATTGGAAATAAGAGTCTCACAGATTTTTCTTTCTGGGCTGGCTTTGAACTGTGATCAGCCTCCTGAATTGCTAGGATTATAGGTATGAGCCACTGGCACTCAGCCAACTCATACTTTGACCCATGATTTTATTTTCTTATATATATATATATATTTATTTGCTGGTCCTGGGGCTTGAAACTCAGGGCCTGGGCACTGTCCCTGAGCTTCTCTATGCTCAAGGCTAGTGCTCTATCACTTGAGCCACAGTGCCCCTTCTGGCTTTTTCTGCTTATGTGATACCAAGGAATTGAACCCAGGGCTTCATGCATGCTAGGCAAGCACTCTATCACTAAGCCACATCCCCCGCCCAACCCATGATTTTAGACAAGGACTTACAATTGACTCTCTAGTTGTTAATTTTGTAATGATGATTGCAGACTCTCATTCTAATCTTTGGGCCTTTCTGTAGATCAACATGCTTCTGCATTTCAAAAATGGGGCTGATTTGGAAGATTGTCCTCTCCCTGAAGAGATCCGACAGGATCTGCTTGATTTTCATCAAGACCTGCTGGCACACTGTGGTAAGGACAGGAGATCAAAGAGCCTTCCTCCAGACTTTCTTTCAAGACCTTTCCAGAAGTTTCCACTAAAGTTTCCTGACCTGGAACACCTATATGTTGGTGCTATGTAGATCTTGGTTGGGTGAATAGTAGGATAAGATTAAAAGAGTATTTGAGTGAATGAGTTTTTGGGTGGATGGCTAAAGGCAGTTGAATGGAGGTATGTGAATTGATAGATAGAAAGGATGGATGAATAGAGGATTGAAGAGACAGCTATTTGTATAGATGTCTGTCTGTCTGTCTGTATGTATGGATGATGAACTCAGTGGGGAGATAGCTGGCTGCCTGGAGCAGCAGATGATTAACTTCCATGGTTTCTGATTTAAAAAAAGAAATCAGTTGCCAGGCACTGGTAACTCACTGTAATCTTAGCTACTCAGGAGACTGAGATGTGAAGATCAAGGTTTGAAGCCAGCCTGGGTAGGAAAAGTCTGTGAGACTCTTATTTCCAATTAACTACCAGAAAAGCTGGAAATGGAGCTGTGTGGCTCAAGTGGTAGAGGGCTAGCCTTGAGCAAAAAGAAGCTCAGGGACAATGCCAGGGCTCTGAGTTCATGCTCCAGGACTAACAAGAATAAAATAAAATAAAAAGTGGTAAAGAGTGAGTCTATGAAGTCATGAGTGACATCATTTCTTCCGGACTACCTCTAGGAATTCAGCTGGAGGGGGAGGAGGAGGAACCAGAGGAAGAGACCAGCCTGAGCAGCCGCCTGATGAGCCTGCTAGAGAAAGTGCGGCTAGTGAAGAAGGAGGAGGAGAAAACAGAGGAGGAGCCGCCAGCTGAGGAACACAAACCTGGTAGGAACTGAGGAAGGGCAAGGAGGGGGTAGGGAACTCTGTCTCCAAAACAGGCCACAGGAAGAGGAATTCAAGGCAGCCACAGACAGGCAGGAGGGAGAAAGGAAGAGCTGGGGCAGAGGGCAGGCATACAGACTTGTGGACTGAATGCAGGGGTTGCAGCATGTGTGTGTGGACCCTGTGTCGGTGTCATCTGCCAGAGCAGAGATATGCATCCCACACCTTGGGGGAGAGGTGGCAGCTTCTAAACCTTGGTGGCTTTTATTGTCCTTGTGGCTTTTGTTTTTCTTTCTTCCCTTGAGGAGACATTTTATCCTACAACATTCCAGAAACTTGCCCTGGGCAAGTCTAGGCCAGGCACTGTAATCAGGACTGGGAAATAGAAGGGAAGGAAAATCATAACCTTTACCTGAAGGGCACTGTCATCCTAGCTACTCTAGAGGCTGAGATCTGAGGATCATGGTTTAAAGCCAGCTGGGGCAGAAAAAGTCCATGAGACTTTTATCTCCACTTACCTACCAGAAAAACCAGAAGTGGAAGCTGGGTGCCGGTGGCTCACACCTGTAATCCAAGCTACTCAGGAGGCTATCTGAGGATCGTGGTTCAAAGCCAGCCTGGGCAGGAAAGTCCATGAGATTCTTATCTCCAATAAACCACCAGAAAACCGGAAGTGGTGCTGTGACTCAAGTGGTAGAGTGCTTGCCTTGAGGTGAAGATCTGAGGGATAGCGCCCAAGCCCAGAGTTCAAGCCCCATGACCAACAAAAACAAACAAAAAAATGAAAGTGGAGCTGTGACTCAAAGTGGTAGAGTACTAACCTTGAGTGAAAAAGCTCAGTGACAGTGCCCAGGTCCTGAGTTCAAGATCTACAACCAAAAAATTCTCACGGATTTTTCTGCCTGGGCTGGCTTTGAGCCTCGATCCTCAGATCTCAGCCTCCTGATTAGACTTACAGGCATGAGCCCCCAGTGTCCAACTAGAACTGCTTTCAAAGGTGTGTGGTGAAGGCTTTCCAGTGGGATTTTTACTATTGTATACTTTATTTTTCCTCTTATAATTCAGATGGAGGTATAGTCTATATTGTCTGGACCTTATGGTAAAAAGAACAAGGCAACTACTAGGACAATAGAAACATCTTCCAGATCCATATGCTTCTGGCAAGTGGAGGATGGGACAGTAAATAGCTAAACAGTGGGGACTCTCTTCATCACATGGACTCTTGTGTCCTTTCCCAGAGTCCTTACAGGAGCTAGTATCCCACATGGTGGTGCGCTGGGCCCAGGAGGACTTTGTGCAGAGCCCCGAGCTAGTCCGGGCCATGTTCAGCCTTCTGCATCGGCAGTATGATGGGCTGGGTGAGCTGCTGCGTGCCCTGCCGCGGGCATATACCATCTCACCATCTTCTGTGGCGGACACCATGAGCCTGTTGGAATGCCTCGGCCAGATCCGCTCGCTGCTGATTGTGCAGATGGGGCCCCAGGAGGAGAATCTTATGATCCAGAGCATTGGGTGAGGTGCCCTACCTCTTGCCTGTCACATCTGCTTTCCCCATGTCCATTTCAGCCAGCAGCTTTTGCTCAGTTATACCTGTTTTGTTTTGGTGTTGGTATCAGGGCTTGAACTCAAGGCATGGGTACTGTCCCTGAACATTTTCTGCTTGAGGCTGGCTCTCTACCACTTAAGCCACAGCTCCATTTCTGCCTCTTTGCTGATGAATTAGAAGAGCTTCATGGATTTAGCTGCCGAGGCTGACCTCAAACTGTGATCCTCAGATCTCAACCTCCTGAGTTGCCAGGATGACAAGTATGAGTCATCGACACCTGGCTCTCAGTTGTAATTCTTGTCATGACATCATGGCACTGAGCAGTCAATGTCAAATATGTCCTATTCAGTCACTCAACAAACATTTAAATACCTATTATGTCCTAGGCCTTCCTTAGGTACTTGGTAATACAATGGACAGTATGACAAAGGTCTCTACTCTAGGGGAGCCCACTTCGGAACCAGGCCACAGTTTCCTTACCTGTAAAATGGGCATAATCATGGTTCCCGCTTCCTGTCACCACCCCCTTTCCATGAATGTGGGGATGAATGAGTTCAAATTTGTACAGGGGAGCAGCGCCAGGAACTGTCAGAGGTCAATGAATGCTAAGCTTTATCACAATGGTGGCCATGCTGACTCTTCCCTATCCACAGGAACATCATGAACAACAAGGTCTTTTACCAACACCCAAACCTGATGAGGGCCCTGGGTATGCATGAGACCGTCATGGAGGTCATGGTGAACGTCCTTGGGGGCGGTGAATCTAAGGTGAGGGAGGGGCCTGGCTGGACTGGAAAGCTCAGGGGAGGAGGGGACACTGCAGCAGGCAGACACTGACCATGGAGCCCTACTATCCATCCCAGGAGATCCGCTTCCCCAAGATGGTGACCAGCTGCTGCCGCTTTCTCTGCTACTTCTGCCGCATTAGCCGGCAAAACCAGCGCTCCATGTTTGACCACCTGAGCTACCTGCTGGAGAACAGTGGCATTGGCCTGGGTAAGAGACTTCAGACCCAGAGCCCAGGGCAACCCCCAGAGTTCACTTCTGACAGCCTACCCAGACGGGCACCTTCCCATCTCACTCACTCAATTCAGTCATTCATCAAACATTCTAACCCACCACACAGCACCGAGACACAACAGTGATCCCCACAGCCCTGCCTGGTCCCCATTATCTCATAATGCAATGAGAAAAAAAAAAGTCATGTCTCACACAGCGACAGCACAGGTATTCAGGGGTCTGGGATGAAGGATGCACAGACCAGTTGAGGCACCTGGAAAAAAGGAGTAGTCAGGGAAGGCTTCCCAGAGGAGGTGAAGCAGATAACAATACATTCTCACCACTTCTTATCCCACAGGCATGCAGGGTTCCACGCCCCTGGATGTGGCAGCTGCCTCTGTCATTGACAACAATGAGCTGGCATTGGCATTGCAGGAGCAAGACCTGGAAAAGGTGTGGAGGGGGCAGGCACAGTCCTACCTGGCTGTGTGGGTTACCTCTGACTATGAACTGGGGTGGTTCAGGAGATGAGGTAGACCATGCAGAGTTCCCTGTGAGATCCAGAGCTGAATGGGGCTGAGTCACTCCCAGAATGGTAGATCTGGTCCTTGGAGGGAAGAATGGTGTAGGTCTGACCTTTAACTGAGGCCCTTTCCATCCCCCAGGTCGTATCCTACCTGGCAGGCTGTGGCCTCCAAAGCTGCCCCATGCTGCTGGCCAAGGGGTACCCAGATATCGGCTGGAATCCCTGTGGTGGTGAGCGGTACCTGGACTTCCTGCGTTTTGCTGTCTTCGTCAATGGTGAGCGATATGGTGGCAGGGGCAGGGCAGGAGGTGTGAGGGTCAGGGATTAAAGCCCATCTTTGGGGTGACAATTCATACCTTAACCTGCTTGAAGCAGGGGCTGGGGGGAATGGGACCTAGCAGTGTCCCTTGAAGGTGGCAGGTTGTCCCTAGGGGGTCCCTGGCTGTTGGCATATGGTCCCTTCTGACCCTGTCCCCTGGTTGGCCAGGTGAGAGTGTGGAAGAGAATGCCAACGTGGTGGTACGACTGCTCATTCGTAAGCCTGAGTGCTTCGGCCCCGCCCTGCGTGGTGAGGGTGGCTCAGGGCTGCTGGCTGCCATTGAGGAAGCCATCCGCATCTCTGAGGATCCTGCCAGGGATGGCCCAGGTGTCCGCAGGGATCGGCGACCGCAGTGAGTCTCCTGGTCCCCTCATCAGTAAGGCAAACTTCCCTCCTTATACCCCTGGTTGCCTCACCCACATCACACTCCTCCCCCTACAGCTTTGGTGAGGAGCCCCCTGAGGAAAACCGGGTACACCTGGGACATGCCATCATGTCCTTCTATGCTGCCTTGATCGACCTGCTGGGACGCTGTGCACCAGAGATGCATGTGAGACCAGAAAGCTAGATGGGATGGGGAGAGATGGAGGGCATGCATGGCCCAGCCTCAAACCTCTGCCCTCAGGCATTGGGCATTACTAACTGAGCTCTCATAGGGGGTGGACCTGGGTTTGGCAGTGCTGGGTACATGTTGTGACTTCATGACGCTTTCAGGCCATGGTAGAGATAGACATTGATAACCTAGAGGGGTCAGGCAGGGGAGGCACAAGCAGAAGAGTTGGGACTACAGATAGTACCTTGACAAAGAAGGTTTAGACAGGGATGACGGCCCATTCCTTTAATCCCAGAACTTGGGAGGCTGAGGCAGGAAGACTGAGAATTTGAGGCCAACCTGGACTACATAGTTGGACCCTCTCTTGAAATAATAAAAGGAGGCTTGCTGTACCTGTGACTGCATCAGAGGTGAAATGGGATCATCTCCAAATTAGGCACAAGTTTCTGATGATATGTCTATCCATATTCATACCACCTCTAGCTAATCCAAGCTGGCAAGGGGGAGGCTCTGAGAATCCGGGCTATCTTACGATCTCTTGTGCCCTTGGATGACCTTGTGGGCATCATCAGCCTCCCACTGCAGATGCCTACACTGGGCAAAGGTAGGAAGGTTGGGATATATCAAGGGAGTGAATGCTAAGGAGGGAGCCAAGGGATTTGAAGGGCATCCATGACTCCCCCCACTCTGCCCTGGCCATCTTTGTCTACAGATGGGGCACTGGTCCAGCCAAAGATGTCTGCATCCTTCGTGCCTGACCACAAGGCATCCATAGTGCTCTTCCTGGACCGAGTATATGGTATTGATAACCAGGACTTCTTGTTACATGTACTGGATGTGGGCTTCCTTCCTGACATGAGAGCAGCTGCCTCTCTGGACACGGTAAGCGGCCCGTCCATCCTGGCTACCATCCCTGCCCATTGCGAGTGATATAACAGGATTGCCACAGCAGCATCTTGTCCTGGGATTGAGGACATATCTTAATTCCCATCACCATCTCCAAAAATAACCAGCAATAAATCAGGAGGCATGGCTCAAGTGGTAGAGATCCAGCCTAGTAAGCCAAGCAAGAGGGAGATCCTGAATTGGAACCCTAGTATCATGCCCCCTCCACTCCCCCAAAAGCACTGCCAAATGTATATGTGTAAATGAGATCTCTATTTTATTACATAAAAGATAAAGATTAGAGAGGAAATAAGCACACAGAAGGGTAATGTCTTCAAAATAGCCACAAATAAGGAATCCATCCTATCAACCTTTCCTTGGCTTTAGTGTGTGTGTGTGTGTGTGTGTGTGATTTTTTTCTTTTTGTTTTGTGATGGTACTAGGGCTTGAATTCAGGGCTTTTTGCTCAAGACTGGCACTCTGCCACCTGAGCTGTATCTCCACTTCTGGCTTTTTGGTGGTTAATTAGAGATTAAGAGTCATGGATTTCTCTGCCCAGGCTGGCTTTGAACCTTAATCCTCAGATCTCAGTTGTTAACCACTGTTGACAGATGTGTGTGTGTGTGTGTGTGTGTGTGTGTGTGTGTGTGTTATCAATCTGTCTGTGTTAGAATTTTGATTCCCAAATAATAAGCACGAGGAGTAGAAACTGAGAGAAGCAAGATTTAGGAAAAATAATCAGAAGCCTGAGTCCTTCACTCAGAGTTATCTGGACAGGTGCCAAGATCACCCCCGGGGTGTACAGTGGGCCTGATATCCCCACTCTGTGCCCCAGGCCACTTTCAGCACCACAGAGATGGCGCTGGCTCTGAACCGTTACCTGTGCCTGGCGGTGCTTCCTTTGATTACTAAGTGTGCACCCCTGTTTGCGGGAACCGAGCACCGGGCCATTATGGTGGACTCCATGCTGCACACTGTGTACCGCCTGTCCCGGGGCCGCTCCCTCACCAAGGCTCAACGCGATGTCATCGAGGACTGCCTCATGGCACTCTGCAGGTGGACTGAGACCTGGGAGTGGGCGTGGTCATGACACGGGCGTGACTAGTTGTTGGTCTGGATTGCTTTGGGGGTGTGGTCTGAATGGAGGCAGGGCCAGTTTGAGGGTGTAGCCACAAGGGCAGGGCTGACCTCCAGGTCAGAGTACCCTATGCATAACCTTCCAGGTATATCCGCCCGTCCATGCTACAGCACCTGCTGCGGCGCCTAGTGTTTGATGTACCCATCTTGAACGAGTTCGCCAAGATGCCACTCAAGGTGAGAGCAAGCTTTCTTTGGCAGGTGCATTTCATGCCTTGCTCACTGCCTGGCTCTGCCCTTGGACTAGGGGGCTCTTTGGGATCAGCCTAAACACGTGAAGGTCAGAGTCCCCATAGTCACCAATTAGCATCTTCATTTGCCTCCCAGGATTCCCAGGACATTCGCTTTGCGTCATTGGTGCCTCTAACATTCCCTAATTAGAGCTTAATTTGACTAACCATATGAGCCAACCCCCGCCTCAATTAGCATATGTTTGCATAGGGCACACCACTTTCCTTAATTAGCATTTTATTCCTCATTCCAGACCACCAGCCTTTCACTATTCAAATGAGTATATTTATTTGAATAAACAGTACCATAGCTGTTCTGAATATTTGCACACTGTCTCTCCTGTTTCTTACCATTTGCATACTAGTTTGCATAAGGACATACCCCTAACTCAGATATCTGGAGCCTGTTTTGCATAATATACTTAAATTATCCCCATGCTTCAAGTTTGCATAGTGGACACCAAAGGCCCACTTCTCAAATTACCATATATTTGCATGGGGTACTGTTTATGTTTCAATTTGGCATACTAATTTGCATAAGCACAGATCACTTCTTCCATATTTGCACACCACCCTCTCCCTGGACTATTAGCATGCTTATTTCCGCAAAGGAAAGACAAATCCAGTTCTAACTTAATGCTCATCCTAGCTCTAAATGAGAATGCTAACTTTGCATTAACCAACTGTCCAGGACCATTTCCTCAGGAAGCCCAGCATTCCTTCCCTTATTAGACATCATTTGCAAACACCAGCAAGTGCGTGCCTCTGGAGCCTTCATTTGCTTGCTGTCTGCTCATGCCTCCTCCTACATGCCCCCTCTTGCTCCCACTAGCTTCTCACCAACCACTATGAGCGCTGCTGGAAGTATTACTGCCTCCCCACGGGCTGGGCCAACTTTGGAGTCACCTCTGAGGAAGAGCTGCACCTCACACGCAAACTCTTCTGGGGCATCTTTGACTCTCTGGCACATAAGGTCTGGGCACACAGAGCCATCCCAAGGGGACCTGTGTAAAGGGTTTGGGGACCCAAGCTTGGAGACTTCTTCAAATCTGAGGGGTATAGGGAGAGGAACCACAATACAGGTTTGTGAATTTGGGGAGGGAGGTTGACAGAGGATGTGAGTTGGAGTTCCTGAAACTGAAGGCCTCAGCAAGGCCTGCTGTGACCGCCACATGCACCCCCCCAACCCCCACTTCTTTCTGGCCTCTGCAGAAGTATGACCAGGAGCTGTACCGCATAGCCATGCCTTGTCTATGCGCCATCGCAGGGGCCCTGCCTCCCGATTACGTGGATGCTTCCTTCTCATCCAAGACAGAGAAAAAAGCCACAGTGGATGCTGAAGGCAACTTTGATCCCCGGCCTGTGGAGACCCTCAAGTGAGGCTTGGGAATAGGAGGACTTGGGGAGATAGCCTCAGCTGGGGAAATAGACACCCAGCCCCCACACCTACTGGTCCCTCTCCTCCAACAGTGTGATCATCCCAGAGAAGCTCGACTCCTTCATTAACAAGTTTGCAGAGTACTCACATGAGAAGTGGGCCTTCGACAAGGTCGGAGTCATAGTCCCCATCCCCAGAAAACCCACCCTTGCCCACCATCTATCTTCCCTGAGAACCCCAGATGTCCCTAAGACCCCTTGGATCTCTGGGAACCGTCAGTCCCTGCAGAGCCCCCCACATACACTTTATGTCCCCTCACACTGTTATCTACATCTTATTCTGCCTCCACCTCTAGATCCAAAACAGCTGGTCCTATGGAGAGAACATAGATGAGGAGCAAAAGACCCATCCCATGCTGAGACCCTACAAGACCTTTTCTGAAAAGGTGACCCAATCTTGGGGCCCAACGTTGTTTCATTTTGAAAACTTCCAAATTTGAGAGGTTTAGGAAGCAGTGAGGTAGCCTTCCAGGTTTTGCATCTCGATAGACCTGTAGTTAGGGCTCATTAGCCATGAACTTTGCCCTCAGTCAAACTTAGTTGCCTTCCTGAGAGATCCCAGAATCCTAGTGTTTCTAGAGGATGAGTTTGATTCCTTGATCCTGAGATCATGTAAGTGAGATCCTGAGTATGTGCTTAGAATGCTCAGTTACAGAGCAGATAAGAGACCTGAGTTCCCACTGGGTGTGGTAGTACATGCCTGTCTTCCCAGCTACTCAGGAAACTCTTGGTCTAAGACTGGGACATGTGAGTATGGGTGTTTCAAGGCATAAAACACTATCTGACAAACAAAAGCAAAAGTTGTGCAGGTGCTAGAGCACTTGTCTAACAAGCTCAAGGATCAGTTCAAACCCCCAATACAGAGTCAGGCAGATAGACAGACTTCTGGCTTCCGCTCCTGGATGTACTAGTTCTAGACACATGGTGGGAATTTCCTTGGAGGCCAGCGAAGCTAAACCAAGGGCTCCTTCTTGCCACATCCTACCAATTCTGCTCCCTCCTGTCTACCCAGGACAAAGAGATTTATCGCTGGCCTATCAAAGAGTCCTTGAAGGCCATGATTGCCTGGGAGTGGACCATAGAGAAGGCCAGGGAGGGCGAAGAAGAGAAGACAGAAAAGAAGAAAACAAGGAAGATTTCCCAAACTGCCCAGGTAAGGCCACAAGGGAAGGGGCAAGAGGCTGAGTAAGGGGTGGAGCTAGAGAAAGATGAAGTGGAGAAGGGAGAGAGGCTGAGGAGGAGAGGTAAGAGCAAGAGAAGAGGAAAAGGAGAAAAGGGAAGCAGAAGAATTTGAGGGTTCTTAAGCATCAAAGGACAGGTGGATGCTGGTACCTCAGACCTGTAATCCTAGCCACTCAGGAGGCTGAGATGTGAGGATTGCGGTTCAAAGCCAGCCTAGGCAGACAATTCCAGGGGACTCATATCCAATTAAGTAGCAATAAGCTGGAAGTGGAGGTGTGTGTCAGGTGGCAGGGTGCTAGTCTTTGAGTAGAAAACGCCAAGCAAGAGCACAAGACCTTGAGTTGAAGTCCCAGTACCAGCACATGCACGCGCACACGCACGCATGAGTTCACACACACAGAGACACACAGAGCCGAAGAGAGGAAAGGATGATTCAGAAACAGGGCCTTTAGAAGGAGAATAGAAAATGAGGGAGTGGTGAAACTGTTCAGAAATGTAGAAATGTACTCAATACCTGACTTATGTAACTGTACCACTCTGTACATCCCTTTACAATAATTTTTTTTTTTTTGGGTCCGATCGTGGGGCCTGAACTCTGGGCCTGAGCGCTGTCCCTCAGCTCTTCAGCTCAAGGCTAGTACTCTACCACTTGAGCCACAGCGCCACTTCCGGCTTTTTTCTTTTTGCTTATGTGGAACCCAGGGCCTCAGGCATGCAAGGCAAGCGCTCTTACCACTGAGCCACCTTCCCAGCCCTACAATAAAATTTTTAAAAAAATAAAAAGGGGATCAGAGGAGTTGTCTGGGGGCCTGTACTTCCTGCTAATCCATTAATCCCCCTTCTCACTCTTGCCCTCTCAGACCTATGATCCCAGAGAAGGCTACAATCCACAGCCTCCTGATCTCAGTGGGGTTACCTTGTCCCGAGAGCTGCAGGTGAGACCTCTGATCTTTTATTTTGGGGAGTATGAGGGGACATCTGATGGGAGAGCATCCTCTGAATCAGATCCTTGCCTCCACTCCTAGGCTATGGCAGAACAACTGGCAGAGAATTACCACAATACCTGGGGGCGGAAGAAGAAGCAAGAATTGGAGGCTAAGGGTGAGGGTGCCCATACCCCACCACTGCCCCTTCCCCAAAGCCCCCAGCCACAGGTCCAGAGTCACAAGGGCCTACGTTACAGTCCTGGCAGTCATTGTCATTGTATGATGTTTGACAATTGCTCTTCCACCCCCTCAATGTTTCCCTTTGTAGAAAGGGAATAATAAAAGTGGGTTACCACCCCATGGGCAGGGTGGACAGGGATAGCAGCATCATAAGCTATTTTATTATCTCCATCTTTATTATTGTAATTAGTATGCACCCTCAAGGGCAGGAACCATTTCAAATGAGAATGGCCCTAGTCCTGATTTCTGATCTTTGCCTTCTCAGGGGGTGGGACTCATCCTCTGCTGGTCCCCTATGACACACTCACTGCCAAGGAGAAGGCACGAGATCGAGAGAAGGCTCAGGAACTGCTGAAGTTCCTACAGATGAACGGCTATGCCGTTACCAGGCATGCCAGCAGGGCGGGGACTGGCTAGAGGGCTGCGAAGAAGAACTTGGGTGGAAGCCACTTGCAGGAGCTGGGGGGGGCGGGGAGGAGGAGAGGCAGGGAGGAGGAGAGGCTGGGGTGGAGCCATGGTGGAGGCCCAATCAGAAGGGATGTGCTTGGGGTGGGGCTTGTGGTAGAGGTGGAGCCATAGGGGATGAGGCTATCAACTCTGACCAGAGAGAAGGCTTAGCAGGCAGAGCTAGGGGAGATCCCTAGAGGAGCCAGGACCTGGGATAAAGTAGCAGCCTAGTACAGAAAGTATCTGTGGGCCTATAACTCACAAGGGAAAGAGTGAGAAAGCTGGACAGGACCTGTGTGAACTGACCTTTTCCTGCCTTGCCTCACAGAGGTCTTAAGGACATGGAGCTGGACACATCTTCCATTGAGAAGCGGTTTGCGTTTGGCTTCCTGCAGCAGCTACTACGATGGATGGACATTTCCCAAGAGTTCATTGCCCACCTGGGTATGAAGAATTCCCCCTCCCTGCCCCCGATTTCTACCACACCTACAAAGACTCGCCTAGAAAAACCGGTTCATTTACTCCTTCTCCTCCCTTCAGCTCATACTTACTGAGCATCTACTAAATGCCAGACACCATTGTCTGGGGACACTGATCCTGCCCTTTTGCACCTACATTCTTGGGGTGGAGTCAGTTAACATGACAAGAAATGAAATCACTTACTGGGTTAGGTGATGAGTGTTATAGGACTGAGAAATCAATAGCTCCAGATAAAGGAGAACTGGGAGTGTGGAGCTGGTTGTAATTTAGACAATTCAAAAAAGTTTTGTGGGGCTGGGAAAGTGGCTTAGTGGTAGCGTGCTTGCCTAGCATGCGTGAAGCCCTGAGTTCGATTCCTTGGTACTACATAAACAGAAAAAGCTGAAGTGGTGTTGTGGCTCAAGTAGTAAAACACTAGTCTTAAGTACAGAGAGGCTCAGGGACAGTGCCCAGGCCCTGAGTTCAAGCCCCAGACCCAGCAAAAAAAAAAATCTTGTGTGCATGTATGTTTATGTGCCATAATAGTTGGGCTTGAACTCAGGGCATCTTTCACTTGGCTTTTTAGCTCAATGTGAGGGCTCTACAACCTGAGCAACACCTCTACTTTCAACTTTTTGTTTGTTAATTTGAGATAAGAGTCTCATGGACATTTCTGCCTGGGGTTGGCAATACTCAAATCTCAGTCTCCTGAGTAGCTAGGAGTACAGATGTGAAGCACCAACACCCAGCTTGCCTTTTGGTACTTGAGAGCCAATATTATTGTTTTAATAGTTTTATTACTTGGAAGTAGATTTTCATTTCAAAATGAACTCTAATCCATACTAACTTCTGGTTTCATTTGTTTCATTGATTCATTTGCTCAACCTCGTGGCAAAGTTCAAAAAGAATAAGACCTCTGTTTCAGTTTGCCTTCCTCCTCATTTTCAGCTTCAGGAAGGGTTTGATCCAAGACCTAGCAGGGATCAGACAGAGAGGGGCTTAACTGAAAGCTAACAGAGTTGATTTCATACCAAGACTGTATGTCCCATCATTTCCTACTGCCACCCAAGTCTCTCCCATCAGAACATGCTAATTCCCTTCACCAAGAACCTACCATGACCTTTATGTCCCCCCTCCTGCCCCCCTAGAGGCTGTGGTCAGCAGTGGGCGAGTGGAGAAATCCCCACATGAACAGGAGATCAAATTTTTTGCAAAGGTGAGAGGTAGGCTCAAAAGCTGGAGGGAGCTGGGGAACTGAAGGGTTTTTTTCCCATTCCTCACTGGTTCCCCTCCTCTTCCCCTCCATCTCTAGATCCTGCTTCCCTTGATCAACCAATACTTCACCAACCACTGCCTCTATTTCCTGTCCACGCCAGCCAAAGTCTTGGGCAGTGGTGGCCATGCCTCCAACAAGGAGAAAGAAATGATCACCAGGTGAATGGCCTGTGACCTCTGATCCTGACCCCAAACTCACAGGGTCCGAGATCTCTTGGACTCCTTACTCCCAACCTTGGTCCCTTTTTTTGTTTTATGTCAGTTTTGGAGCTTGAACTCAGGGCCTGGGTGCTGTCCCTTAGTTCTTTCTCTCAAAGCTAGTGCTCTTTCACTTCAACCACAGCTCTACTTCTGGCTTTTTGGTGGTTCACTGGAGATGAAAGTCTCACAGACTTTCCTGCCTGGGCTGACTTTGAACCATGAGTCTTAGAGCTACTTCTGAGTAGCTAGGATTGTAGACATGAGCCACTGATGCCCGGCCTTCAGGCTCCATGCTGGATGCTAATCAGTGGTAACTCCCCAAGCAGAAGCAATGACAGGCAAGGGTAACTTACTGTGCAGGTTTTCCTGTGTCTGATGGGTTTCCCAGGATGCAACACTCTCAGATGGACAACCAGGTCACCTTGACAAAAGCACCCCCCCCCCCACGGCATGGCACATGCCATTTATTGCCTGTGACTCTTGTTCATCTCTCTGTCCCTTCCCTTCTCTGTCAATTGGTTTCCTCCTGGTCTTCTGTCTTCTCTCCTTATCTTTTCTTCCTCTGTCTCCTCTCCATGCTCTCCTTGTCTCCTGGCTTCTTGTCCTTCTGTCCATTTGTCCCATTCTCTCTCTTCAGCCTTTTCTGCAAACTGGCTGCCCTTGTCCGCCATCGTGTCTCTCTCTTTGGTAAGTTGCCTTGCTCTTAAGCCCATCTGCCAGATCTCTCTTCTTTTTTCACTGACCCCCACTGGAAGAAAGATATCCAGGTTTGGCCTTCCTTGTTCTTCCTCTGGATGGAGACTGCATGGTCCTGGGGTCAGGACAGTAACTGAGACAGCCCCGGGCTGTGCCAACCACTGTTCCTAGACATTGCCAGCACAGAGAGTTCATGGCTGGAATGAAGGAGGCCTGGGGGGGTGGGAAGCCCTGGTGAGGTGAGGGTGGGCTTGCATGTTGACCTAACTGGAGGTGGGATCAGAGAGGGAAAGGTAGGGTGGAGATGGAGGGAGGTACTTCCTTCCTGCTCTTGACACCTCTTTCCCACCCAGGGACGGATGCTCCTGCTGTGGTCAACTGTCTTCACATTCTGGCACGTTCTCTGGATGCCAGGTAGGGCTATGTAGCCCCCCACCTTAGCCACCCCCCCTTTCTTACATTGTCTGAAATTAGTACTTGCTGATTCTAGAGCTAGGGTTTTTCCACTTTCCTCCTAGGACGGTGATGAAGTCAGGCCCCGAAATCGTGAAGGCTGGCCTCCGCTCCTTCTTCGAAAGCGCCTCGGAGGACATCGAGAAGATGGTGGAGAACCTGCGGCTGGGCAAGGTGTCCCAAGCACGCACACAAGTGAAGGGCGTGGGCCAGAACCTCACCTACACCACTGTGGCCCTGCTGCCTGTCCTTACCACCCTCTTCCAGCACATTGCCCAGCATCAGTTTGGAGATGATGTCATCTGTAAGGACCCCTGAGTAGGGGTGGAGGTGGGGTCAGCTTGGCCAGTAACAACACCCATCGCTGGTGCCTGGCATGGTCCCCAGGAGTTTAAGTTTGTGGATTTTTGTTGCTGTTGGTGGTGGTGGTTGTGGGCTTGAACTTAGGACCTGGGCAATGTCCTTGAACCATTGCTCAAGACTAGCACTCTACCACTTTGGGCCACAGCGCCACTTCCAGTTTTCCGGTGGTTCATTGAAGATAAGAATCTCACAGACTTTCTTTCCCAGGCTGGCTTTGAACCGTACTCCTCAGATCTCAGCCTCTTGAGTAGCTAGGATTACAGATGTGAGCCATCAGCGCCCGGGTAAATGTATGGCTTTCTTGTTGGAAGTGAAGCACCAAGTGAATGGTAGGAGACAGTAAAAGTTAACTGAGGTGTGAGTTCAGCTGCTTGACCAAAAACCCTAAGTCACTGCAGCTCAAACAAGCTAGAACTTTCCTTTTCTTGTAACACTACGTGTAGGCGGGTCTTAAAGTCATAAGCCCAGGTTTCTGCTATCTCATTTCTCTGCTTTCCATGGAATGCTGCCTTTCCCACATGATCCCACATGGTCTCCAATATGCCTTACTACGTTCTTCTTCAAGGCAGTGGGAGAGGAGAAAAAAAAGGAGGAGCTGGGCACAGTAGCTCAGTAATTCCAACTCCTCCAGAGGCTGAGATCAGGAGAATTTTGCTTTGAAGTCAGCCCTAAGGAACAAGTTGATGAGACCATCATTTCTACCAATAAAAAGCTGGGCATGGTGGTTCACACCTGTCATCCAGCTATGTGGATAATGTAAATAGGAGGATCACAGCCCAGGCCAACCCAGGGAAAAAACAAGACCCTATTTGAAAAGTAACAAAAGCAAAAAGGGCTAGTGGTATGACTCAAGTTATTGAGTACCTGCTTAGCAAGTGCAAGGCCCTGGGTGCAAACCCCAGTTGAACAAACCAAAAAGGATACAAAGCAATGAGGAGACACTACAGCTCTTTTTTTTTTGCTAGTTGTAGGGCTTGAACTTAGGGCCTGGGCTCTGTCCCTGAGCTTCTTTTGCTCAAGGCTAGCACTCTACCACTTGAGCCACAGCACCACTTCAGGGTTTTTCTGTTTATGTTGTACTGAGGAATCGAACTCAGGGCTTCGTGCATGCTAGGCCAGCACTCTACCACTGAGCTACAATTCTGAGTCCTCTATAGCTCTAGAAGAGGCCCTCTGTATATCAGCATGTTGTCCTTGAGATAAAATATACAAGAGAAACAAGGGAGAACAAAGATTAATTTTGGCTCCTTGTTTCAAAAGATTTCCATCTATGGTCACGTGGGGTCACGTGAACATTGATCATTATTTGTTAATTTTTTGGTGGCACTAGGGATTGAACTCAGGTTCTATGCTTGCTAAACAAGGGCCCCCAGCCCTAATTATTCCCACTTTATAGGCAGGGAAACAGGCTAGGAGAGAGAACTGGTTCTTGCTCAGGTCACAAAGCATATATGGCAATCAAGCTGGATGGCCACCACTATTATCCATTGCCAATGGATTTAAGACAAGGCAGGGGTGAGCATGACGGGATCATCCCCGACCCTCTCTCTTTCTCCTCAGTGGATGATGTCCAGGTCTCTTGTTACCGAACACTGTGCAGTATCTACTCACTGGGAACCACCAGGAACCCGTATGTGGAAAAGTAAGGAGAGGGAAGACATAGGTTGAGCCTTGGGTAGGTATAGGATTGGAATAGAAAGGTCAGGAACATGGATTAGAAATGTGGGTGGTGTGGGAAAAACTGTGTGTATCGGGGGAGAGGTGATGGTCATAATTTCTGCACTGGCCAACCCTAAAGCAGCTGCAGTTCCAGTGATGGCCACACGAGGGAAGTCAAGTAAAGACTAGCTAAAGAGCTGGAAGCCACAAGGCCTGGTAGACTATGAGAACCAGGCTCTAGCGTCCCGGTAGCTTCTTTCTGGAAACAAGCTTGCTGTAGTAGGCAACATGCAGGAAAGGAACAGTGTACAGGAGCCACATCATGCTAAGAACTCTGGGGAGGAGCATTACAACAAGCAGGGAAGTTCTTCCCAAAGGACTGGGCTGCACTCATGGGTGGCCACTGTTCTGTTCCAAAGGATTCTGGGAGAAAGCGTTTCTATGTAGGATGGGACTAGGACCCAGGACTTGAAGAAGCTAAGCTCAGTTTCTCTTCCAGGCTACGGCCAGCCCTTGGGGAGTGCCTGGCCCGCTTGGCTGCAGCCATGCCAGTGGCATTTTTGGAACCTCAGCTGAATGAGTACAATGCCTGTTCCGTGTACACCACAAAGTCACCGCGGGAGAGGGCCAGTGAGTTGTGTGGACTTGGGGGGGTGGGAGGGGGTGGGCACATTCTGCCTAGCATGCTGCCTCCAAGTCTGAAATATCAAAGACTGCGGATTCCCCACGGCAGGGATACCCCACACTCAGGAATCCTAGAGCCCAAGAGGCCACTCCAAAGGCCATTAAATCAGAATTGAGAAATCAGGTTTGGAATTTGGAGCCTGAAGTTTATTTTTGAGATGGTGACCATCCAGCATATAGGGACTTTCCAGCATCCTTGAGCTCAGAGAGTGTGGAAGAATAGCAAGGAAAGGCATAGGCTCATTCTTTGTTGTTCATTCAGTCATTCATTCAACAAGTATAGATAGAGCGCCCCCTATGGACGTGCCCCTAAATTAGAGATGAAATTCAGCAGTGACCAAACCAGATAGAAATACATCACATCTCAGTTGGGAGGAAAGGGGGAAAAGGGAGGTGTTAAAATAAGATGTGTGTCTCAGAGACTAAGAGGCAGGAAACTTCTTTTTTTTTTTTTGGTCCGGTCGTGGGGCCTGAACTCTGGGCCTGGGCACTATCCCTCAGCTCTTCAGCTCAAGGCTAATGCTCTACCACTTGAGCCACAGCGCCACTTCCGGATTTTTTCTTTTTGCTTATGTGGTGCTGAGGAATTAAACCCAGGGCCTCAGGCATGCAAGGCAAGCGCTCTACCACTGAGCCACCTTCCTAGCCTCTCTCTTTTTTTTAAACCAGTCCTGGGGCTTGAACTCAGGGCCTGGACACTGTCCCTGAGTTTCTTTTTTTGCTCAAGGCTAGCACTCTACTTGAGCCAAGCACCACTTCCATCCTTTTGTGTTTATGTGGTACTGAGGAATCGAACCCAGGGCTTCATGCATGCTAGACAAGCACTCTGCCACTAAGCTATATTCCCAGCCCGAAGATTTTCTTTTAATCAAACTTTTCCTTTTAGAAATTTGCGTTGCTTGCAATCCCCAGGGCTCAGCCCCTGGCAGGCAAACGGAAGAGGGCAAAAGTTCATTGTTTCAAGAGAGAGAATTTGGATGTGGGGTTCAGATAGATGAGATTGGGGACTGAATGGATTTGGGGGGGAAATTGACATAGCAGGGTGGGATGTGAGCAATTTTAGGAGTAAAGTTTTCTAGGGGTGAGACTGGAGTTAAGTATAATTTTAGGGACTAGAATGGAAGGCTTTCCAGGTGTCCTACTCAGGAGGCTTAAGATCTGAAGCTCACAGTTTGAAGCCAGCCCAGGCAGAAAAAGTCCATGAGACTCTGATCTCCAGTAACCATCAAAAAGGCTGGAAGTAGAGTCATGGCTTAAGTGGTAGAGCATTAGTCTTGAGCAAAGAAAAACGTTCAGGCCAGGTGCCGGTGGCTCATGCCTATGATCCTAGCTACTCAGGAGGCTAAGCTCTGAGGATCTTGGTTCAAAGCCAACCGGGGCAAGGAAAGTCCGTGAGACTCTTGTCTCCAATAAACCACTAGAAAACCGGAAGTGGCACTGTAGCTCAAGTGGTAGAGTATTCGCCTTGAGCTGAAGAACTCAGGGACAGTGACCAGGCCCAGAGTTCAAGTGACACAAGTAACAAAAACAAAAGAAAAAGAAAAAACCTTAGGGACATTGTTCAAGTCCTAGTACAAGGAAGGAAAGAAGGAAGGAAGGAAGAGAGAGAGAAAGGAAAGAAAGAGATGAAGGAAAGAAGCGAGGGAAGAAGGGGGAGAGAGAGAGAGAGAGAAAGAAAGAAAGAAAGAAAGAAAGGGAGGAAGGGAAAGGAAAGGAAAGGAGGAGGAAGGCAAGTCTGGGGTGAGAAGTATTTAGGGGATACTGTGAGAAACGCTGGGATTGGAAGGTGGCATTGGAGGGATGGGCTCTGGAAAACCAGTTTAGATGGGGGTTTCTAATGTATTGTGGGGGACATCAGGGCACTGCAGCTTTGGGGTAATGAATTGGCATGACCTAACCTCTCTTTGCACCCCAGTCCTGGGGCTCCCTAACAGCGTGGAGGAAATGTGTCCTGACATCCCAGTGTTGGAGCGGCTCATGGCAGATATTGGAGGACTGGCCGAGTCAGGGGCCCGCTACACAGAGATGCCACATGTCATTGAGATCACCCTCCCCATGCTCTGTAGCTACCTGCCCCGCTGGTGGGAGCGTGGGCCCGAGGCTCCCCCACCAGCCCTGCCTGCCGGGGCCCCGCCTCCCTGCACAGAGGTCACCTCTGACCACCTCAACTCTCTGCTGGGGAACATCCTGCGAATCATTGTCAACAACCTGGGCATCGATGAGGCCTCATGGATGAAGCGGCTTGCTGGTGGGTCAGAGGGCACGAAGATTTGGGAGGGGGAGCAGGGGTGAGGAATGCTGGGGTCCTTGGGCCACATGATCCAAAAGAGAGAACCAGATCTTAAGATATCCTGGGATTGGGAGGGCTAAGAATGTAGGTCAAAGGCTAGGATCAGAATCAGGTTCTCGGGGTAAATTCGGGGTGGATGGAGTCCTTCAGGATGGACACTGAATTTCTGAAGGGCTGAGGATACAGTCAGAGGTTAAGAGCTCAGTCAGAACCCTCATCCCCTTATACAAAGGATCAGAGAACTAGTTCAAGAGCCTGGCTATGAACAGTGATCAGGAAATAGGTCTTTTTTTTTTTTTTTCCCAGTCCTTCAGCTTAAACTCAAGGCCTGGTCACTATCCCTGAGCCTCTTTGTACTCAAGGCTAGTACTCTGTCACTTGAACCACAGCACCACTTTTGGCTTTTTCTAAGTAGTTTATTGCAGATAAACAAGCCCCATGACCAGCAAAAAAAAAAAGAAAAAGAAAAGAAAAGAAAGAAAAAGAAAAACAAAAGAAAGGTGGGAGGGAGAGAGAGGGGGAAGGAAGAAGGAAGAAAGGAAAGTAGAAGAGAGGGAGGGAGAGAGGGAGAAGGGAGGGAGGAAAGAACGAAGGGAAAGAGGGAGGGAGGGAGGGAGGGTGGGAGGGAGGGAGGGAAATGAGTTCTTTAAAACACTGGCATTCTTGGTTTGGAAGCTCCATCAGAAGAATTCAGGAGTGTAGTTTAGAGTCCAGGGTCACAAGTCAGAAGCTGCCGTAGGAAGCCAGAGGCCAGGCTGAGGATGTAGCTTCGTGGTAGAGCCCCTGACTACATAGGTAAAGCCCTGGATTCCAGCAAAACACACACACACACAACACACACACACAGAAGTCAAGGGGTCATAGTCAGAAATCACAGTGGGACAAGATGCTGAATATAGGCACACCAGCTCACAGGTTAAAGACTGAGGTTAGAGTCATGTTGGTTTAGGATAACTTATCAGGTTAGAATTTACTAATTGGAGGTCAGAGGTCAGGGAATGGGTGACAGGATGGGACTATGTCAAAGATTAAGGCTTGGGATCAGAAGTAGAGTCAAGGTGGGCACCGTTGGCTCACACCTGCAATCCCAGTTGCTCAGGAGGCTGAGATCTGAGGATCACCATTCAAAGCCAGACTGGGCAAGAAAGTCTGTGAGGCTCTTATCTCCAATTAACCACTCAGAAAAAGCCAGAAGTGGTGCTGTGGCCCAAGTGATAGAATGCTAACCTTGGGCACAAAGAGGTTTGGGAACAGTGCCCAGACCCTGAGTTCAAGTCCCAAGACTGATTTAAAAAAAAAAAAAAAAAGAATCAGAGGATGCTGGAGTCAGAGGTTGGAGGTCAAATGACAACTGCAGGTTCTAGGAAACAGGTCAGTAGTTGTAAGCTGAGAACTGAGGTGAGGGGCTAGGTTAGAGGTCACACATGAGTGACCCCTCCCTTCTCCATGTTTCTGCAGTGTTTGCTCAGCCCATCGTGAGCCGTGCTCGGCCGGAGCTGCTTCGCTCCCACTTCATCCCCACCATAGGGCGGCTGCGCAAGCGGGCAGGGAAGGTGGTGGCTGAGGAGGAGCAGCTGCGCCTGGAAGCCAAGGCCGAAGCAGAGGAGGGCGAGCTCCTGGTGCGAGATGAGTTCTCAGTCCTCTGCCGGGACCTGTATGCCCTCTACCCGCTGCTCATCCGCTATGTGGACAACAACAGGTCAGTGTATCCTCAGCCCACCATCCCCACTCTCCCTCCATTCCCACCTGGCACTACCTGATGCTCTCACCCTCCTTCCTTGCTCCCTGACTTTTCTTACCCTAGCTCAGAACAACCCAGTCCCCTTGGCTTTCCTTCTACTCTTTTGTGTGTGTGGCGGGGGGGGTGGGTGTGCATGCCTGTAGGTGTGCCAGTACTGGGACTTAGAGCCTTGAGCTCTTGCCTGGCTTTTTTTTTTTTGGGGGGGGGGGAGGGTCCGGTTGTGGGGCCTGAACTCTGGGCCTGGGCGCTGTCCCTCAGTTCTTCAGCTCAAGGCTAGCGCTCTACTACTTGAGCCACAGTACCATTTTTGGCTTTTTCTGCTTATGTGGTGCTGAGGAATCGAACCCAGGGCCTCATGCATGCAAGGCAAGTGCTTTACCACTGAGCCACCTTCCCAGCCCATTGCCTGGCTTTTTTTTTTTTTTTTGGTGCAAGGCTAGTGCTCTACCACTTGAGCCACACCTCCATCTGGCTTTTTGCTGGTCCATTGTTGATAAAGAGTTTGTCTGCCTGGGCTGGCTTCCAACCTCGATCCTCAGATCCCAGCATCCTGAGTAGCTAGGATTACAGGTGTGAGCTACCAGTGCCCAGCAGCTTCTGCTCCTTGAACCTCCCTCCTCACCAGAATGGCTGAAGCATCTCTCTTAGTAGTCCCCCTTCTCTAGGGATCCCTGCCCCCACCAACAATCCCTTTTCCCACTTAGGGCGCACTGGTTGACAGAGCCCAATCCCAACGCAGAGGAGCTGTTCAGGATGGTGGGTGAAATCTTCATCTATTGGTCCAAGTCCCACGTGAGTTCCCACACACACACTGCTGTCTTCTCCCTCAGCCAGTAACTACGATCTCCTTCTTGGTCTCCCTGACTGAGCCTCAATGTTGCTCTCCTTTCTAGAACTTCAAGCGTGAGGAGCAGAACTTCGTGGTCCAGAATGAGATCAATAACATGTCCTTTCTGACTGCTGACAACAAAAGCAAAATGGCCAAGGTAGGGAATGGCTTTGTTTGGGAAAGAGGACTTAGCAGGGGAAAAGAGAATGAGCTACCTGTCCTGTTCTGTACTATAGTCCCTGTACCCCTCAGAGCACCTCTTCTTGTCCCATGTCCTACTTCCTCCTCCCTATCACCCCCTTCCCTCCTCTGCCTCCCCATGTGCTTCCTCATCTCCCTCCTCCTTGGCCCTCATCTCCCTCCTCCTCCCCATTTCCCATCTCCCCCCCCCCGCCTCCCCCCCCCTGCTTTCCTCTTCTCTCCATTATCCCACATCCTCCCTTGCCTATCCTCTCCCCACCCCATCCTCCTCAAAACTGGGGGTCGTAAAAAACAAACCCACCCTCCCCTACCGAAGGTCTGAAATGCCCAGCTAAAAGAGGGGTGACAGAGTGGGGCAGATTAACTGGGAGGGGGTTGTTAACAATTTGGAGTTGGGCCCGGGGTTCTCTGTGGGGCTGGGGTAACCCTTCTTGTCTCTGTCTGCAACCCGGTGAAGCAGGCGGGAGATGTACAGGTCAGCCCCACATCTGGAACCTTTTGCATGGCTCTTGGCCAATCCCCTTCCCCTCTCCCTAAAAAGCTCCCCATCCCTCCAGAAACCCCCTATTCCTATACCCACCCTTTGTCCTTAGTTCCCAGTCTCTTCCTTCTTTTCCTCTTTCCCCTTCCCCTACCATTTACCTCCCTTCCCAACTCTTGGCTTTTGGCGATTTGTTGATTTATCTTTTTTTTTTCTTTTTTTTTGGTTTTTGCTACCCAAAAAAAAAAAAAAAAAAAAAAAGCAACCTTCAGCTTTCCCTCAAGCATCATGGGCTGAGGTCAAGGGGAGTGAGGGGAGGGATAGGGGCATGGTTGAGATGGCGGCTCCGGTGGCCATGCACTGGTGTAAGGCTTGGAATGGGATGGACTTGGGTAGAATTTGTGTGACCTTGACTAAGTGTCATCCTGTTGAGCCTCTGATGACATCCAGCCAGTGGCCCTGAGGCCTGGGACCTTGTGAGAACTCAATGCAATGCTGCATGTGTGGCCTTCAAGAGTGCCTGGCACTTGGGTCCTGCTCAAGTATTACCAGCTGCCATGGACGGCATACTGGCCGTAGCTTGTCACCAACGCTTCTTGTTGGCATGACTTAGGGCAACCCTGGCCAGGGAGCCCTGCACTCAAGACTCCAGAACACTGCTTTGGATGTCTGTTGTCTCTGCTTCCAGATCTTTTTATATCTCTCTTGCTTCTTCTGTCTCTTTTAGCTCTTTGTCTGTCATCTCTCAGTGGCTCTCTCTTTTTGCTCCCCAACTTCTCTGATCTCTTGGGATTCTTGGGTGGGCCTGCATCTTTATTTGATTCTTGGGAACTTGGTCTTGGGACATGAAGTGTGAAGTTGTGCATGTTGGAAATGGTGGGTTTTATGTATTGGAATTTTGCAAGGGATTCTGGGAGAGGGTCATCCAAGGTGGAGAAAATGCTCAGCATTTGAGAGACATTTGAAAGGGTTTGGGTTATTAATTAGTTATGTGAGCACGCACCAGTGGCTCATGCCTATAATCCTAACTACTCAGGAGGCTGAGATCTGGGTTTCACAGTTCAAAGCCAGCCTGGGCAGGAAAGTCCGTAAGACTCTTATCTCAACCAAACCACCAGAAAACCGGAAGTGGCACTGTGGCTCATGTGGTAGAGCACTTGCCCTGAGCTGAAGAGCTCAGGGACAGTGCCCAGGCCCAGGCCCAGAGTTCAAGCCCTGCAATCTACCAAAAAAAAAATTAGTTATGTGAGGTACAGGGCTGGGGTTGGGGTGAGAATAACCTTGTGGATTGAGGTCAAGGCTGTTGGGGGTTGGAAGGAGAATGCCTGGCACCCAGGCTGTAGTTGGCTACAGGTTTGAAACTGGGGCAGGGAGTTGAGACATGAGCAGACACTGAGAACTATGTCCTCATAGTCAGGTGGCTCGGACCAGGAACGGACCAAGAAAAAGCGCCGGGGGGACCGGTACTCTGTGCAGACCTCGCTGATCGTGGCTACGCTCAAGAAGATGTTACCCATTGGCCTGAACATGTGTGCCCCCACTGACCAGGACCTCATTGGGCTGGCCAAGGCCCGCTATGCCCTGGTGATTTCTCATCCCCACCTAGCAGCTTGCTCAGCCCTTGGGACCCTGGGATCCCATGGAACCCCTGAAGGCTCTCCTGTACTAAGTCTTTCACCATAACCTCGAACCCTGTGCTCTTTGGGATACCTGGAACTTTAAACAGTCTTAGAATTTGGGTGCCTGTGTCTCAGGGTTGTAATCCTAGCTGAGATCTGAGGATCATGGTTTGAAGCCAGCCTGGGCAGGAAAATCTGTGTAACTCTCATCTCCAATTAACCAGCAAAAGGTCAGAAGGAAAGCTGTGGTTCAAGTAGTAGGGTACTAGCCTTAAGCACAAAAGTTCAGGGACAATGACTAGGCTCTGAGTTCAAGCCTCAGGAACAGCATTCTCAGAGTCCAGCAGACTGAAAAAGCTTCCTAACGGGCGCCCAGTAAAACCACAAACCTAAGACCTATAAGAACTCTAAGACTCCTAAGGCATACCACAGAACCCCACTAACACCACCTGCTAAAACTGCAGAGCCCCTGATCTTCCTCTGAGTCCTCCAAGACCATTAGGATCTCCCAAATCTCTTGGGACCCACTGAGCTCTCTGTGACCCCTCTGATTAACCTAATACTCTCAGAATTGAACATCTGGGCTCCCACTAAGCCTTCACTCCAGCTTACTCCCTCTTGTCTTCAGGACCCTGTTTATATGGATTCTATTGACACCCAGATAAGCCCCCCCACACACACACACAAGGACTTTCAGGGACCTCCTGAGCCCCTATGGTCCTGAGTAGCCCTCCCTCCACAGAATCCTAATGATCCTTTTCCCAAAACCACACCCAAACCTCTGAGGTCTCAAGGATTCTGGAGATCAACTGATCCAACTCCCTAAGCCTTCTGAGATCCCAAAGGAGCCTTCTAAAACACCTCCTCCACTTACCTTTTGTATAGCACAACCTCAGGAATCCTCTTAGAATCTTCCAAGACACCCCCCCGCCCTGTCTCCACCAAAACCCTGCTAAGCATCTGATAACTTACTAACGCTTCTGGAATGCTAAAGATCAGAAGGACAGACTAGGAATGTGGCTTAGTGGTAGAGTGCTTGCCTAGCAAGCATGAAGCCCTGGGTTCGATTCCTCAGTACCACATAAACAGAAAAAGGCAGAAGTGATACTGTGGCTCAGGTAGTAGAGTAGCTAGCCTTGAGCACAGAGAGGCTCAGGGACAGTGCCCAGGCCCTGAGTTCAAGCCCCAGGACTGGCAAAAAAAAAAATTACGAGGATCCCTTGGAGTCCTGGGACTCCTGGGACTCCAAAGGCCCCTTTTCCTCCAGGATCTCCAGCTCCACCTAGAATCTGTTGAGTCTTGTTGGGATCCCAAAGCATCCTCCAGGGTCCCATAACTGCTTGCTTTGGTCTTTGACCTTAAGAAACTTCCTCCCTATTGACCCCTCCTTGGGCCCCTGAACACAGTGGCTTAGTTGACCTTCCCTACTACTTGTGATCTTTGCTGACCTTGCTGAATCCCTCACAGCCCTTCCCCACCCCATCCCCCAAAAAAGTCTCCTGACTCTCGTTGTACCCTCTCACCCCCTATCATCTTTCCACTTGTTTGACCTTTGGTGATTTGTCCTGTCTCCCCCTCCATCCTGCCAGACCCCTATCCTTCTATCCTTTCAGGCTCTCTCTATGACTCCCTTGTCAATCAAACACTCCTCTCTGACCACTGCTCACCTTTGGGTCCTCCCCCAATATACAACCCCTCAGCAGGTCCTGGGGTGGTGAGTCTAGAGGGGAAAGGGCTGTGGGCCAAAGATGAAGCTGGGGCCTCAAGTGACCCAATGGGTCAATGTCTTTCCAGAAAGACACAGATGAGGAGGTCCGAGAATTCCTACAAAACAACCTCAACCTGCAGGGAAAGGTATGTCTCAGTCTGCAGCTGGAAGGGGTGGGCCAGAAGAATAATCACAATGATAGCAAATGCTTCCAGCACTGTCTATCTTTGAGGCATAGAAGAAGGACCTTAATCACATTCCTCCATGGAAGCCTGGCAGTGGAAATGGGACACACAGCTGAGGAGGGAGACCCTGGGGTTGGAGAATTTGAGCTAAGCAAGAAGATCCCTCATGCAGTTGGCCTTGTACCTTGCCTCTCCACCCTAGGTCGAAGGCTCCCCATCTCTACGCTGGCAGATGGCCCTGTATCGGGGCCTCCCAGGCCGGGAGGAGGATGCTGATGACCCAGAGAAAATTGTGCGCAGAGTCCAGGAAGTATCTGCAGTTCTCTACCACCTCGAGCAGGTAGGTAGGGCCCAAGAGTTCTTACTGCTGAGTAGCAGGTCTGTGGGTGGGGGTTTGAGCTGGCCCTGGACTTGTGAGTAGAGCCTACAGGTGAAGCCTTTGTCTATGGGTGGAGCCTCAGCTGGAGCCTTGAGTGTGAGGCGGGGCTTAGGATGCAAATTGGGCTTTATGAGAAGGACCTAGTGTTCCATTTGGCATCCAGTAGTAGGACTAGAACTACAAGGGGTCATCAAACTTTGGGACTAGGGATGGGGCCTACTAGAAGAAGAGTCTGGAGACAGGGCTGAAGATGGGAAGTTGGTACTGGATATAGATGTAGCTACACATGTGTAGTTTCATCCAGGCCTGGGAGGGGGATAAGGCCTGGGACATGACAGACTGATTTCTGCCCTCCAGACCGAGCACCCTTACAAGTCCAAGAAGGCAGTGTGGCACAAGCTCTTGTCCAAACAACGTCGGCGGGCAGTTGTGGCCTGTTTTCGCATGACACCCCTGTACAACCTGCCCACGTAAGGCCCCCAAGAAGGAAGGGAGCCCAAAGGGCCCCCAAGGAGAAAAGAATCTGGGAGCCATGAGGATGGAGAGCCCTATTATATATGGGGGCATGAAGATGGTCAAGAGTGGAATGTGGGGGGTGGGATGTGTGGGAGGCAGGGAAATGTGGAAGAGGTGGGGGTCTCAGTGACACTCAGACTTGTTCCTTGCAGACACCGGGCATGTAACATGTTCTTGGAGAGCTACAAGGCTGCATGGATCCTGACTGAGGACCACAGTTTTGAGGACCGCATGATAGATGACCTTTCAGTGAGCAGTGGGGCTGCCTGGGGAGGGGGTGGCAAGACGGGGTAAGGGCACCTTCCACATCAAGAGCTATGAAGGTGGGAATTGGTGGTTTACGCCTGTAATACCAACTATACAATGGGTAGGATCATGTGGGTTTTGGTTTTTGTTTCTGTTTTTTTGTCGGTCACAGGGCTTGAACTTTGGGCCTGGGCACTGTCCCTCAGCTCCTCAGTTCAAGGCGAGTGCTCTACCACTTGAGCCACAGTGCCACTAACGTTTTTCAAGGAGATAAGAGTTTCACACACTTTCCTGCCCAGACTGGCTTTGAACTTCAATCTTCAAATCTCAGCTTCCTGAGTAGCTAGGATTATAGGCGTGAACCACCAACACCGGTTGTGTTTTTGTTTTTGTTGTTGGCTATGGGGCTTGAACTCCTAGTTTGGGGTCTGTCCTTGAGCTCTTTTGCCCAGGGCTAGTGTTCTTCCACTTTGAGCCACAGGGCTACTTCTGGTTTTTCCGTTGTTAATTGGAGATAAAAGAGTCTCACAGGAACTTTTCTGCCCAGGCTGGCTTTGAACCACAATCCTCAGATTTCAGCCTCCTGAATAGCTAGGATTATAGGTGTGAGCCACTGGATCATGTTTTGGGGCTACCCTCCTAACCCCTAAGCCCTGCACAAAGTTAGGTATTATCTCAACCAATAAAGCTGGACATTGTATAGTATGTCAGTCATCTGAGGAACATGGGAGGCATAAGTAGAAAGAGCCAAATCCAAACCTGTAAAAGTGTGAGGCCCAATCTGAAAAATAACTAAGGCTAAAAAACTAAGATGTACCTCAAGTGGTAAAGAGTGTGATGCCCTGAGTTCAAATCCCACTATCACAAAAAAAGCGGGGGAGAGAGGAGTAGGGGAAGTATAGAAATGCATCCCTTGTATTGAGTAGCACCAGGATATATGATATAGGCGAAGAGAAAAAAACCTCCAGGCCTGAAAAAGTGGCTTAGTGGTAGAGTGCTTGCCTAGCATTTATGAAGTCCTGGGTTCGATTCTTCAGTACCACATAAACAGAAAAAGCCAGAAGGGGTGCTGTGGCTCAAGCGGTAGTGTGCGAGCCTTGAGCAAAAGAAGCTCAGAGACAATGCCCAGACCCTGAGTTCAAGCCCTAGGACTGGCAAAACAACAACAACAAAAAAGAACTTCCAGCCCACCAGGGCTATGAGAGAAGACTAGAGGATACCCCCAAGAACCCCTCCCCTAAGATTCATCCTCTTCCTTCAGAAAGCTGGGGAGCAGGAGGAAGAGGAGGAAGAAGTAGAGGAGAAGAAGCCAGACCCCTTGCACCAGTTGGTCCTGCACTTTAGCCGCACTGCTCTGACTGAAAAGAGGTGAGGACCTTTTCCAGCCTCATGTTCTGGGTTGATTTTACCAAGGCAGTTAGGAAGCTGTGATCAGATAGGGGAGATGCAGTCCCCACTCCTCTGGGTTCCAACCATCTCTCTCTACTTACTTCCTCAGTAAACTAGACGAGGATTACCTATACATGGCATACGCTGACATCATGGCAAAGGTAAGTTCCTGCCCCTGTAGTACTTGGCCCCTGACTGAGCTAAGGGTGGACAGATGGGGTATCTCCTTCATTTTTTATCACCATTAATTGATGCCATTCCCCAGAGCTGCCATATGGAGGAGGGGGGGGAGAATGGAGAAGCTGAAGGAGAAGAAGAGGCTGAGGTGTCTTTTGAGGTAGGTTGGGGCCAAGTATATATAAATAATGGTCAGCACCCAAGAGACAGCACCCAAGTCCAGAGTTTGAGCCCCAGAACCATGCCCCAGAAGGATACCAGGTGTGGTGGTTCATGCCTGTCATCCTAGCTATTCAGGAGACTGAGAGCTGAGGATCATGGTTCAAAGCCAGTCCAGGCAGGAAAGTCCATGAAACTCTTACCTCCAATAAACCACCAGAAACCTGAAAGTGGTGCTGTGGCTCAAGTGGTAGAGTGCTTGCCTTTAGCTAAAGAGCTGAAGGATAGTGCCTAGGCCCAGAGTTCAAGCCCCACGACTGACCAAAAAAAAAAAAAAGAGAGAGAGAAGAGGAGGAAGAGGAAGAGGAGGGAGAGGAGGAAGAAAGATAAAGGAGAAGCAGTTCATGGGGCCCAAGTTAAGGCTGCTCCATGCCCAGCTTCTATCTGTGTAGCCCAGTGCCTAGACCCTGCTCTAAGTACAGGGTACAAATGAAAGACATAAGTCCCCAGGGACAGGAAGAGCTCACAATTGAAAGGGGGTGCTTTCTGGAAGTGCCAGGCCCCCAGAGGGCAGAGGTGAGGGATGAGGCTGTGAGGGGACAGGCTAGACTCATTAGGGCTCATGGCCTCCTTTCTGCCCCAGGAGAAGGAGATGGAGAAGCAGAGGCTGTTGTATCAACAGTCACGGCTGCACAACCGGGGGGCCGCTGAGATGGTACTACAGATGATCAGTGCCTGCAAAGGTGCCCGTCCGTGCCACGCTCATTCTGTTCCTCTGAGACACCCTACCTGTTCTCCTTCTCTCCAGTGCCCCCATTCCCTGTAAACACAGAAGGCACACTTTGCCCCCCACCACCTCCCCACCATTTCCCATCTCTTGGATGGTTGTTGGGTGGTAACAGCCAATCAGAGGAACTGCTTTTGCTCCCCCTTTGCTCCCTGTAGGTGAAACGGGCGCCATGGTGTCCTCCACCCTGAAGTTGGGCATCTCCATCCTTAATGGAGGCAATGCAGAGGTGCAGCAGGTACCAGAGGCACAGGGACTGGGGAGGAGACTTCAGGAAGGTAGGAGCTGCCTACTTCCCTGACTTCTGATTCTGCCTCCCACGTCACTCCCTTCCTCTGCAGAAAATGCTGGACTACCTGAAGGATAAGAAGGAAGTGGGATTCTTCCAGAGTATCCAGGCACTCATGCAAACATGCAGGTGGAGTCTAATATCCATCCTCCAGTTCAGTCCTGCTGGGTGTGGCAGTGTGCCCTTGCTTCCAGTGCCACTTCTGGTGGGCCAGGAAAAGAAAAGCTCAAATGCCAGAGAGCTTATTCTAAGAATTAATGTGGGTGAGGGGAAGAGAAAGCAATAGAGGGAATTATTCTGATTAAAATATAATATAAAGCCGGGCGCTGGTGGCTCATGCCTGTAATCCTAGCTACTCAGGAGGCTGAGATCTGAGGATCGCGGTTCAAAGCCAGCCCGGGCAGGAAAGACCGTGAGACTCCTATCTCCAGAAAACTGGAAGTGGTGCTGTAGCTCAAGTGGTAGAGCGCTCGCCTTGAGCTGAAGAGCTGAGGGACAGCGCCAAGGCCCAGAGTTCAAGCCCCACGACCAACAAAATAAAATAAAATAAAATAAAATATAAACTGGGTACCAGTGGGTCATATGTATGATCCTAGCTTACTCAGGAGGCTGAGATCTGAGGATCACAGTTCAAAGCCAGCCTGGGCAGGAAAGTCCGTGAGACTCCTGTCTCCAATTAACCACTAAAATGCCAGAAGTGGCACCGTGGCTCAAAGTGGTAGAGTGCTAGCCTTGAACAAAAGGAGCATAGGGACAGCACCCAGGCCCTAAGTTCAAGCCCCATTATGACAAAAAAAAAAAAAAAAGCTCCAGGACAGCGCCCAGATCCTGAGTTTTAGCCCCAGGACTAGCACAGAAAATAATAATATTATGAATTCCACATGGTAGAACCAGGAGATTGTTGAGAACTCAAGGGTATTTGGGTTCTCACTTTCTTTGCCTCTTGTTATTAACTGACTTCTGTCCGTTCTTGTGTTGCTTTTGTTAGTTGATAGTTTCTGCTTCCTCAGATTCAGCTGACAGGTGTTTTGTCCTGAAGTAAGGCTCTGCCTTACTTCATAGATCTGGGGTTGGGAAGGCTCAAGGTCCCCATTGCTTCTGCTGTCTACTCATTTCTGCCTCCCTTTGTGTGTGTGTGTGTGTGTGTGTGTGTGTGTGTGTGTGCATGTGTATGTGCCAACCAGTACTGGGGCTTGAATTTAAAGGTCTCAATCTCTCACTTGGCCTTTTCTGCTCAAAGCTGGTGCTGTACCAGTTGAGCCATACCTCTACTTCCAGCTTTTTGCTGATTAATCGGAGATAAGAGCCTCATGGATTTTTCTGCCTAGGTGGGCTTAGAACCTTGATTCTCATATCTCAGCCTCCTGAGTACTTAGGATTACAGACCTAAACTGTCAGTGCGCAGCTCTCCTCTTGATTTCTGGTGATACATAGTCTCCTGTGGCCCTTCAGGTCCTGGAATCGAGGGAAGGGGGCAGAGATCTCATGACATCTCTCTAATCTTTCTCTCCTCAGTGTCCTGGACCTCAATGCCTTTGAGAGGCAGAACAAGGCAGAGGGGCTGGGCATGGTGAATGAGGATGGCACTGGTGAGACCCTCTTTCCCTGGGGACATTGGCCTTCCTTCCCTCTACCACCACTGCCCAGAGCTCCTCTCCTCCAAGGCACCCCCTTCCAGAGAACTCCCTCTCATTCTTCCTGGATTATGGATCCCAGTCCTGCCATCCCCCTCCCTCAGGATCCTCCATTCCTCAGGATCTCCCTCCCCATGGGTGCCACCTTGGGTGTCATTTGTCCTGTGTTCTCTTAACCATCACCATACGGACCCCGCCCTCCACGTCCCCCAGTCTCATGCCCTGGTTGCTGCTCTGTCATTAATGTCCCTAATCCGGGTTAATTAGTCCTCTTTTTGCTGTGTTTTGACGTGTCTAACATTTCTACCCTGATCCTCGCTTCCTCTCCTCCTCTCCCTGTCCTCTCTTTCTCTTATCTGTTCTTTCTCTTCCTTGGCTTGGACCTTCACTTCCTACTCTTTTACTTGCTCACCTGCTCTCCTCTGTCTCCTTCTGGCTGTCTTTCTGTCTGAGGCTGTTTCTCTCTGTGTGTCCTGTGTCCTTGTCCCTGACTGTCACTGTGTGTTTTGCTGTGTCTGTCTTTCTTTTTTCCTCCTGCTTCCTCCTCCCATCCTGTTGGCTGCCTCAGTCATCAATCGCCAGAACGGTAATTCCCCCTCCCTTTTCCCCTGTGCTGTGCTGCTGCCATCCCTCCTCTTCTAACTCCCAACTTCCCCCTCTACCTGGGGGGCTGAGGATCTGGGACATCCAAGAATGGAGGGACCCTCCAGTGGGGGACAGGGAGCACCATGACTGTCTGTGGAAAGCTTTGGGACCAGGAGTCCCAAGATAAGAGATTCTGATCTCAAATGAGTCACTGATCACAAGTGGCACTCAAATCTCTTATCTAGCTGAGTGCTGGTGGCTCATGCCTGTAATCCTAGCTACTCAGGAGGTTCAGAGCTCTGAGGATACCAGTTCAAAGCCAGCCCAGGCAAGAAAGTCCGTGAGACTCTTATCTGCAGTTAACCACCAGAAAACCAGAAGTGGTGCTGTGGCTCAAGTGGTAGAGCACTTGCCTTGAGCTAAAGAGCTCATGGACAGCGTCAAGGCCCATAGGTTAGGCCTCACAACCGACACAAATAAATAATTAAATTTCTTATCTTCCCTAAGCCTCAGTTTCTCCATGTGTAAAACAGAAGTTAGCTGGGCATCAGTGGCTCATGCCTGTAATCCTAGCTACTCAGGAGGCTGAGATCTGAGGATCACAGTTCAAGGCCAGCCCGGGCAGGAAACTCTGTGAGACTCTTACCTCCAACAAACCATTCAGAAAACTGAACGTGGTGCTGTGGCTCAAGTGGTAGAACACTTGCCTTGAGCTGAGGGGCTGAAGGACAATGCTCAGGCTCAGAGTTCAAGCCCCACAACCGACCAAAGAAAAAAACAGAAGAAAAGACCATAGAAGTTCCTTTCCAACTGGATATTTTAGGCCTTCCAGACCCAGATCCCCAGTCCCAGGGTGGGGTGACACCTCCCCCCCAATTCCCACCTTCTCTGCGCACTGCGTCCCAACCGCAGATTGATTGGTCAGCGGTTTTCCCATCCACCAATCAGATTGGTTGCCTCCAATCATCCATTCTGATTGGTGCGCGCCTGCCCCCCCCCTTGCGCCTGCTCTGATTGGCCCATTTATGACCTCGCCTTCTCCCTTACAGCCCACCATGATTGGCTTCTTTCAGATGCCCATTCTGAGTAGACCATATTGATATATCTTCCCTCTGCTTCTCCTGGATTGGCTGCTTTTGAGGCATTTGGGCCAGTTGGCTAGCTTTCGGTCCCTATCTTTCTCTTATCCCAGCCCAATCCTTTTCTTTCCTGCTCAGAGCCTTTGTGTGAAAGTGACCCCAACCTCTGTAATCCATTAACTGCTGCAGCCTGGGAGTGGGGTGGGTGGGGTGGGGTGGGGTGAGGGCACATCAGCTGCCTGAACGTCTGCCAAGTCAGACGTTTTGTCACACAAGTGGTGACATCACAGGGCACTGATGCTGTAGAAAGACACTTGAGGCCCCAGCTTCATGACTAAAGAGCCCCTCAGGTCTCCATCTGCTGATCTCATGGACTCTGAGGTCAAGACCTGCTGGTGTCATGGATGCCCATGGCCCTCACAGTGTCTTTGAAGTTTAGTGGCTGCTCTTCCCAGCACTTCCATACTTCGTGCATGTGTTTGCAGTGTGCATGTGCTGTGTGCATGTGTGTGCTTGTGTCTTGGCACATCTGATCCTTCCTGGGCCCTGTCCCTTCCTCCCATCCAGGAGAGAAGGTCATGGCTGATGATGAATTCACACAAGACCTCTTCCGGTTCCTACAGCTGCTCTGTGAGGGACATAACAATGGTGAGGACAAGGTGTGGGCTGGGTAGAGAGGACATCAAGGCCTTGGGGGAGGTGGGGAGGCTTCAGCCACACTTACCTGAGTTGCTCTCCAGTTGTCCTCCTCCTCTATCCATGATGGTCCACCAACCAGCCTGGTCTTGTCCAGGCTTCAATCTACCTCCCTCCCAAAATCCTCTTGGAATTTCTGAGATTTAACTCCTTCTCTTCACTCAACTCTTCTGGCCAAGTATAGTTTCCCAAAGAAATATGCCAAAATACAATGTGGCCAAAACAATTTATTTGCCCAAATGGGCACTTTATCTCATTTCATTTTCCTGTAAGGATTGGGTTCCATCCACCAAAGTTCAGTAAACGGGGTGGATTTCTGTATTTTGAATATGTAGAAGGAAAAAAATTCCTGGTTTTTGTTTTTTCCTAGTCCTGGGGTTTGAACTCAGGGCCTGGGCACTGTCCTTGAGCTTCTTTTGCTCAAGGCTAGCACTCTACCACTTGAGCCACAGTGCCACTTCTGTCTTTTTCTGTGTATGTGGTAATAAGGAATCAAACACAGGGTTTCATGCATGCTAGGCAAGCACTTTACCACTGAGCCACATTCTCACCCCTTTCTGGTGTTTTAAGATTAGTCTTTTTCTTTTAAATTGTGCCAGTACTGCAGCTTGAGCTCAGGGCCTGAGTGCTTGTCTCTTAAATTTTTTTTCAATCAAGGATAACACCCTATCACTTGGGCCATATCTTCACTTCTTGTTTTTTTGGAGCTTTCCTCACTAACTTTCCTACCTGGGCTAACTTCAAACTGTGATCCTCAAATCTTTAGCCTCCAGAGTATCTGGAATGATAGGCATGAACCACCATTCCCCAGCCTAAAATGAGTCTTGGATTGATTCATTTCTTTTGTGGCATGAAATGTTTTGTCAGGGGGAAGATCTTCAGATTCTTTCCCAATATACACAAGAGTTTTGTTTGAAAAAAAAAATTTTTTGCCTGGCACCAGTGGCTCATGCCTGTAATCCTAGCTACTCAGGAGGCTGAGATCTGAGGGTTTGCTGTTCAAAGCCAACCTGGGCAGGACAGTCCATGAGACTCCTGTCTCCAATTAACCACTAAAAAGCCAGAAGTGGCACTGTGGCTCAAGTTATAGGATGCTATCCTTGAACAAAAGGAGCATAGGGACAGCACCCAGGCCCTAAGTTCAAGCCCCATGACTGACAAAAAAAAAAAGTTTATTTTTGCTCTGTTTCTGCCAGTTTGACAAGATCAAAGATGACACAGCTGCTTATTTAAATACAATGCTGAAGGGAAAAAATAACCTCATGTGACACCCAAAGTTCGTGACATTAAAGGAACCATCCAAATCCTGTACAAAGACATTCTCCTTCATGTCACTTCCTATAACAAACATGTGCAGTCATAAAGTTGTGGTTACCCTTAGCAGGTGCTTGGGAAACCACAGACTTCCCGGAAATTAATGTTCATGACAAAATTGGAATGAATAGAAATCTAACTGTTGCTGGGTGCTGGTGGCTCACACCTGTAATCCTAGTTACTCAAGAAGCTGAGATGCCAGGATCATGGTTCAAAGCCAGGCTAGGTAGGGAAGTCTGTGGAACTCTTACCTCCAACTAACCATCAAAAAGCCAGAAGTAGAGATGTGGTGGGAGTGTTAGAACATCAGCTTTGATTAAAGAAAAAAAAGGGGGGGGGGATTAGGAGGGTAGCTCAGTGGTAGAGTGTTTGCCTTGCATGCATGAGGCCCTAGGTTCGATTACTCAGTACCATATAAGCAGAAAAAGGTGGAAGTGGCATTGTGGTTCAAGTGATAGAATCCTAGCCTTGATCTGAAGAGCTGAGGGACAGCTCCCAGGCTCAGAGTTCAGGCCCCACAACCGACAAAAAAAAAAGCAAGGCCCTGAGTTCAAGCTCCAGTACACACACACACACACACACACACACACATACACACACACACACACACAAAATATTGGGGGGGGGGAATGAATACAGAAACTATAGGTCCCACCACAACACCTGATGCATAGTAGATTCTCAACAATATTTTCAGATAAATTTAAAAATGATCCTATCCCCCTTTGACACATAGTAGTTCATTTGCAACAGTTACTAAACAATGGTCATGTACCCCTGGTATGCATTAGGCACTCAACAAGTTTTTTGATCAGTCCTAGGGCTTGAACTTGGCCTGGGCACTGTCCCTGAGCTTCTTTTGCACAAGACTAACCCTCTACCCCTGAGCCACAGCACTACTTCTGGCTTTTTCTGAGTAGTTTATTACATTTTCCTGCCAGGGCTGGCTTTGAACTGCGATCCTCAAATCTCAGCTTCCTGTAGCTAGGATTACAGTTGTGAGCCACCAGCACCGGGGGTAAAATACTCGACAAAATTTTATTGGATAAATGAATAAATGATCCACCATCCGTTTCTCCCAGCATGTTAAATGCTCAATGAATAAATGCCTTTTCATCTCCTTAGATTTCCAGAACTATCTTAGGACACAGACAGGAAACACAACTACTATTAACATCATCATTTGCACAGTGGACTATCTCTTGCGGTTGCAGGTGAGGATGTGAGACCACTGGGATGTGATTTGAAACTTGGGGGAGGGATCCCTGAGTGTCCTCACACCCTGCTCACCCCATAGGAATCCATCAGCGATTTCTACTGGTACTACTCAGGCAAGGATGTCATTGAGGAACAGGGCAAGAGAAACTTCTCCAAGGCTATGTCAGTGGCTAAACAGGTGTTCAATAGCCTTACAGAGTACATTCAGGTAGGGCCTGCCCACTGTGGTGGGGTGGATTGGAGCATTCTCCCACATAGCACCCTTCCCTGGGTTTACAGTTCCCTCTGTCCCCAGGGCCCCTGCACTGGGAACCAGCAGAGCCTGGCACATAGCCGTCTCTGGGACGCTGTGGTAGGATTCCTACACGTGTTTGCCCACATGATGATGAAGCTTGCTCAGGTTTGAGGTCTTTCTTGTTTCCATTTGCTCAGCAGTCCCTGTCTGGTCTTGGTCCCATTAGCCAGTTTCTTATCCAAGTGCTCCCAACATGTTCCCACCCCTTGGTCAAGTCTGTCTTCCCTCTAGATTGACTCTCTGTGTGACCTTGCCCCATCAATCAGCTAGATTTCCACCTATACATCCATTATTAGCTTGTGCTGGGCCCCACCCCTTCTGGTCAGAGCTTTTAGTATTGGGTAGTATTCGTTTCTCTGATGAGGTCATCTTAAGTTCCCACAGCCTTGAAATTGGAGTGGGCGAGGCTTCTAAGATCAGGGCTGGGGACTGAAAGAGTGTTGCTTTTTTATTGTGCCTGCGGCAGATGACACCCATGGCAGGCATCCATGATGTAAGGACTAGAATCTTTGTGCTTCCCTTTTCCGCACTACCCTTGTGTCTTTGCAGTCTTTGTCAATGCCTAGCAAGCGCTTTATCTATTTGCTCTGCTTCTGTATATTCAACAGTTCAAGGCTTTTACATACAGTCACATACAGTTATGCATTTCACCTGGGCCCATAGCTCGGAACATCCTAGCACCCTAGCCTAGCATCATAAATATATTTGTGTAGTACAGAAGTTACCCAGCAGATGGCAGTAAAGTATTCTACTTGTCATTTCTCCACAGAAAGCATCCTGGAGATTTTTTTTTTCTTCTTCTAATTGACCCAAAGGTACCATAAAAACTGCCAGAAATCCTGTAATCTGATTTTGATAGGAGCTGAAGTAAGAGCCCAATACCTCAATGTCAGTTCAGTTAAAGTGACTGTAGATGTAATCTCAAAATGCTAGTGGAAATAGATACCAAAGTCCTTCAGAGTTAATTCACTAAGTGCTGTGACTCAGGGGAAAGAATTTGTCAGTTAATATCACAGATCTGGGGCTTAGAATTCTGTTAGCAGACATGTCTCCCTGTCTTCTTTGGCTTTATTCTCAAGCAAAAGCTTACAGACTGGAAAATTGGTGAGCTGGACTTCCAATGGGAAAAGAACTCTTTTCTGAGAACTCCAGCCAAAAGATCTGAAATTCTCTTTGATTGGGTTCCTGGTTGGGTCAATCATTGTATCCAGAAAAAAAAAGAAACCTAATTGACCAAGCCTAGTCATGTACCCTCCCTTAGAATAAGAAGGTGTGGTTAGCTTTATGGGCTTGATTGGCTAGACTTGGGCCTGTGAACCAGGAAGTGGGCTTAACCAGGAAAACTCAGAGTATGGTTGAGGGGACACCCAACTGAAAATGGAGGGATTGTGTGAGAAGGTAGGTTGGTTCATAGGTAGGCACCTCTTCCCTATGCAGATCCTCATATGTCAGAACCTTAGATTCAGAATGTCAAATGTGTTCGAATTAGAATTAGCAACTCCCCAAGCTAGTGTGAGGGTTGAAAGAACTTTACCTGCCACTTTTCTGGTCTCTTCCTTTGCCTTCTCCACTTGGTCAGAGAGAGCTATATGAAATCAGCCCTCTGTGGGTCAACAATGATCACGTATTAACAATGGTATGGGACTCAACTTAACTACCAGGTGGCGGAACTTTGTGGTGAGGGATTCCATGTGTCCCACAGGAGGCACTGTGCAGGGGATAGCCTGTGCTCCTCTATGTCCCACAGTGGCTTACCAGAAAGCACAATGGCTGTCTCCCCAGCAGTCCTCCTGAACACAGTCTTACTTTTCCAATGATTGTGGATGTGGAGCACCCAGCCATAGAACAGGCATTGTTCTGGGTCTCTGTCTTCAGCATTGCTCACTCTTTCTCTCTCTCTGCTCTGAATGTCTGTTTTCCATGTCTCTTCTTCCTTCTCTGTCAGTCTAATGCCCCTTATATCTCCTGCTGGGAGTGCTTCCCCCTCACCCAGTGCAACCCCCAACCCCCACAATCTTATCTCTGCCCCCTCCCCTGCTTTCGAGGAACATGTCAGGACTCGGGTCCCCTCAGAGGTAAGAAGGGAGAGAGGGGGTAATCTCAGACCTGTTGGGGAGGAGAAGCACCTGGGAGTGGGAGCCGTGTCTCTGCAGACACCAGTCCTGACACAGTGGGACTGTGGATCTCTAGGACTCCAGCCAGATTGAGCTGTTGAAGGAGCTGCTCGATCTACAGAAGGACATGGTGGTGATGCTGCTGTCCCTACTGGAAGGTAAACGACAACCTTGGGGGGTGGGGGGCGGAAGCACAGAATAGCCTGTAATCCCAGCATTTAGAAGACTGAATCAGGAGGACCTCAAGTTTCAGGCCAGCCTGGCCTCCACAGTGAGATTCTGTCCCTTAATATATTAATTGAAATTAAAAAAAAAAATTAACAGGTACCAAAATAAGCTAGAGCTTCGGGCCAACTAGAGAGTATGTAAAATCCCTGTTTGCCATAGTCTTCATCTGTCCTATCCTTGGCTTCCCCCCTCCCTCCTGCCAATCTAAGGACTTTTGTGTACAGTAAAGGTTTTGGTATATGAGCTCTGAGGTTATGCAACTCTGGGTTCAAATCTTCTCTCTCCCTGGCATCTACTGGCTATGTTGAGTGGGTAATTTTCATCAGCTGATCCTCATGCGCAAAACCAAGTAGTCATACATTCTCTCCCAGGGTAGTCATGAAATTATGCAAGGCATGATATCTGTCACCCACAGGTAGCTTTATTGATGATTACCCCAGCTAGTGAGAGATATAGACAGCTTGGCATGGTGGTACATGTCTGTAATCCCAGCAGAGGATGATTTATAATCTGGAGGCAAAGGAAAGAGAGTTGTGGTCTGAGGCCAACCTGAACAATAACAACAACAGCAAAAAGAATAGACCCTACCTGAAAAATAAAAGTAAAAAAAAAAAAAGTGTTAGGGTGTATGATGGTGGTTCCAGTGGCAGACTGCCTGCCTAGCAAGTGTGAGGCCCTGAGTTCAAACCCCAGTACTGACAAAAGAGAAAGAAGAGGGCTGGGTGCTGGTGGTTCATGCTTGCAATCCCAGCAACTCAGGAGGCTGAGATCTGAGGACTGGAGTTGGACATGAAAGTTCATGAGACTCTTATCTCCAATGAACTACCAGAAACCTAAAGTGGTACTGTGGCTCAAAGTGGTAGAGCACTAGCCTTGAGCAAAAGAGCTCAGGGACAGTGCTCAGGCGCTGAGTTCAAGCCCCATGCAAAAAAAAAAAAAAGATTTGGGAGAGAAGAGAGATAAGCACAAAACAAGCAGGTGAGCTCTCGGTAGGCTGATACAGATCAGGAAGTAACCCTTTTCAGGGGGATATAGAAGCTGGTTTGGGAGCATGAGCCCAATGGTGAGCCATAGGTTCTGAGCTGGAGAGAGAAAGCTAGCCTAAGAAAACTCAGGAAAGGATGCTGTCGGAGCTGGGAAAGTGGTGGAGTGCTTGCCTTGCATGCATGAGGCCCTGGGTCTGATTCCTCAGCACCACATAAACAGAAAAGGCCGGAAGTGGCACTGTGGCTCAAGTGGTAGAGCACTAGCCTTGAGCTGAAGAGCTCAGGGACGATGCCCAGGCCCAGAGTTCAGGCCCACGACCAAATAATAATAATAATGATAATAATAATAATAACTCAAGGAAGAATGCTGTGCTGGGCTGTACTGACCTGGAGTTCCCACAGGGAACGTGGTGAATGGCATGATCGCCCGGCAGATGGTAGACATGCTCGTGGAATCCTCATCCAACGTGGAGATGATCCTCAAGTTCTTCGACATGTTCCTGAAACTCAAGGACATTGTGGGCTCCGAGGCCTTCCAGGACTATGTCACTGATCCCCGGGGTCTCATCTCTAAGAAGGACTTCCAGAAGGTGAGTTCTGCACAGGACCTCAGTGGGTGGCCAAGTTCTGGCTATGACTTCCTGACTGGCTGACATGAGGGACAGACTTCTCTGCCAACCGTAGCTTCCTTATCTGTAAGTTGGGATGAAACAATAATGGGAATTGAACTCAGGGCCTCAGGTGTGCTAGGCAAGTGTTCTACCACTGAGCCATACTCCCCAGACCCTTTTGGGGTTGTTTGGAGGATGAATTACATGAATGCATATGAGAATCATCATTATTATGAATAGTTCTAACAGTTATCATCTGTGCTAATGGCCTTTCTGTTATATGACAAAATGCAAACTGGTTCAGTCTGTGGTCTCTTACCCCTACGGCTTCGGGCCTGTGGCAGGCAAGAAGAGTACATGCTAGAGCAATGCTGCTCAATTCATGACTATCTATATATATATATTTTTTCTTTTCTTTTCTTTTTTTGTCAGTCATGGAGCTTGAACTCTGGGCCTGGGCACTGTCCCTCAGCTCTTCAGCTCAAGGTTAGCGCTCTACCACTTGAGCCACAGCACCACTTTTGGCTTTTTCTGAGTAGTTTATTGGAGATTAAGAGTCTCACAGGGACTTTTCTACGTGGGCTGCCTTCAAACCACAGTCCTCAGATCTCAGCCTTCTGAGTAGCTAGGATTACAGGCATGTGCTACCTGTGCCCAGCAACTCATGACATTTTATAGCTCAACACTTGGCCCAGTTTTGTTGTTTTTTGTTTTTGTTTTTGTTTTTGTTTTTTAGGCCTCAGGTAAGGCTAGAATATCATGTGGCAAGAGCCTGTGGCAAAGCAAATCACTGTCACAGTCCAAGTGGGGATCAAAGAGGGGGAAGATCCCTGGATCTACTCTGAAAGCAGAGCTGACAGATTTACTGAGAAATCAGGTGTGGGTGGTGGGACAAAAGAGCCGAATCATGGATGACTCAACACTTTCAGTTTAAGCACTTAGGTGGGTGGAACTGCTATCCCAGAGATGGGTGGGTGGGAGCACAGAGGCTTTTGCAAACAGAAGTTCACTTTGGGCCATTTCCATTTCTGACATCTACAAAGAGATTTCAGCTGGGGCTTTAGCTGTTAAGAATCTATATTCTGAGACTTGACTTGGTTGCTCACATCTGTAATTCTAGCTACTCAGGAGGCAGAAGTAGGAGAATCATGATCCCAAGTCTTGGCTGAAGCAAACGTTCAAGACTTGATCTGATCTATAACTGAAGCAGAAAGACCTGAGGTCATGGTTCAACTGGTAGAGTAACTGGTAGACTAAAACTGAAAAACATTTTAAACGACACTGCATTCTGGAGAACACTTAGGGCTAGGTGTTGGTGACTTGACCGTCATTGCTGCAGCTGGCATTCAGCTCTGGTATTCAGAGGCCTCGGCTGTATCTTATGGAAAGGGCATGCTTCAAGAAGAGAGTGCAGAGTCCAGACCATAGTCCCTGCAGCTTTAGAGCTCTATAAGGCAATTTCAACATGGGAAACCGACAATAGTGAGAGAAGAATGAAGGTGATGGTGGTTGGGAGGGAAAACTGAGAGAAAAATGAGGGAAATGGTGACACCTTTCAAAAAGAAATGTAGAGCCTGGTGCCGGTGACTCATGCCTGTAATTCTGGCTACTCCGGAAGCTGAGATCTGAAGATCACAGTTCAAAGCCAGCCCAGGCAGGAAAGTCCATGAGACTTTTATCTCCAATTAGCTCCAGAAAACCAGAAGTGGCACTGTGGCTCAAGTGGTAGAATACTTGCCTTGAGCTGAGGAGCTCAGAGACTGCCCAGGCCCAGAGTTTAAGCCCCACAACTGTCAAGAAAAAGAAAGAAATGTGTTCATTACCTGACTTACCTCACTGTAAACCCTCTGTACACCATCTTTACAGTAATAATTTTTTAAAAAAGAAGGAATGATGCAGGTGACTCACATCTGTAATCCTAGCTACTCAGGAGGCTGAGATCTGAGGATCATGGTTCAAAGCCAGCCCAGGCAGGAAAGTCTTGTGTGTGTGTGTGTGTGTGTGTGTGTGTGTGTGTGTGTGTGTGTGTGTGTCCTGGGGCTTAAACTCAGGGCCTGTTCCTGAGCTTCTTTGGCTCAAGGCTAACACTCTATCACTTGAGCCACAGTGCCACTTCCAGCTTTTTCTGCTTATGTGGTACTGAGGAATTGAACCCAGGGCTACATGCATGCTAGGCAAGCACTTCACTACTGAGCCACATCCCCAGCCCCTCCATGTGACTCTTAGGTCCAGTTAACCACCAAAATGCTAGAAGTACAGCTCAAGGGGTAGAGTTCCAGCCTTGAACAAGAAAGTTAAAAGAGAGCACTCAGGACCTGAGTTCAAGCCCCAGTACCAGCATAAACAAGCAAAGTCCTAGGCAAATAAATGATGACAAAAAGAGAACAGCAAATCACAGGGCTGGGGCTGGGAATGTGGCTTAGTGGTAGAATGCTTGCCTAGCATTCATGAAGCTTGGGTTCGATTTCTCAGTACCACATAAACAGAAAAGGCTGGAAGAGGTACTGTGGCTCAAGTGGAATAGTGCTAGCCTTGATCAAAAGAAGCTTAGGAACAGTGCCCCAGCCCTGAGTTCAAGGCCCAGGACTGGCAAAAAAAAAAAAAAATCACAGGGCTAATTTGGAGGACAATGGGCCCCAGACCTGTTTAAGGGTGAGAGAAGACTGTCTTCTACTGGTCATTATGGAGAAAGGCAGGTGGCTGAAGACAGGGCAGAAGAGGAGAAGTTTCTGTGTGATTCTGTCTCTATACTCTGTGGTTTTTAGAACCCTTCACGATCTGCAGAGCCTCTTACTCATTTAGAAAGCATCTTGCAAAGTTCTTGGCTTTTTACAGAGCACTCCTTAGAACAAAAAAAAAAATTCACTTCTATTCATACCATGGCAACATTTCTCACACTGTATTTTGCAGCCCATTGTAGGTCACAAAATTAATCTACTAAATCAGAACTGGCATCTTTAAAAAACAAAGTAGGGGCTGGGTACCCGTGGCTCATGCCTGTAATCCTAGCAACTCAGGAAACTGAGATCAGAGGATCATGGTTTGAAACCAGCCCATGCAGGAAGTCCATGTGACTTTATCTCTAATAAAAAGCCAGAAGTAGAGCTGTGGCTCAAGGGATAGAGCACTGACCTTGAGCAAAAGAAGCTCAGGGACAGTGCCAAGGCCCTGAGTTCAAGCCCCAGAATGAGCACCAAAAAGAAAGACATTGCAGAGTACAGTTGCATAGGAAGGAAAGAAAGGAGGAAGGGAGAGAGAGAGAGAAAGGGGGGGGGAGAGAGCTAGGTCATCATAAATATGGTTGCATAGGAAGTTAGAATTTTTTTTCTTTTGAGTCATATTGTGCAATACATTCTTACTATTGGTGTGGTCAAGAACATTTAGAAAATTGCCTTCAATAACTGCTTGCAAAAGTACATAAAAGAATGAGGTAAGCCAAGCTCAGAGACAAACAGTGCATGTTTTTAAAGCTCATGTGGAAGCTAGATCTAAAGTACACGGGGCATGATAAATTATATAAGACTCTAGGCATTCACATATAAACTGTGAGACTAAAGAAAGATACTCTTAAGGAAGGAACCCAAATGCATAAGGCCTCTGCACATTTAAAATACTATTTATTGAAATTAGTTCCAGGAAATGGAAATATGGGCTTTTTGTTGATGGTGGTAGTGTATTTATTTATTTATTGACAGTCCTGGAACTTGAACTCAGGGCCTGGGCACTATCCCTGAGCCTCTTTGTGTTCAAGGCCAGCACTCTACTCCTTGAGCCACAAGGCCACTTCTGGCTTTTTCTGTGATTAATTGGAAATAAGAGTCCCATGGGCTTTCCTGCACAGCCTGGCCTCAAAGCACAATCCTTAGATCTCAGCCTCCTGAGTAGCTAGGATTACAGGCATGAGCCACCAGTGCCGTGATGTTTTGTTATTTTTTTCTGTCTTATGGGAGGGCAGGGAGGTTGCCCTCAGAAATGGAGGAAGGAAGGATGACCAAATGCAGGTATGGTACTCAGCAAACACTATATGGAAAATGAGTTATGCAGCTTGTGGACTGGGATGGGAGGAGGAAATTGGTGGAAAGCAAAGGAAGGGGTGACATTGTCCAAAAAAAAGAAATGTACTCATTACCTGACTTATGAGACTGTAACCCCTCTGGTACAACACCTTAATCATGACAATAAAATTATATTTACATTTTTTTAAAGTACATAAGAGGGTAGGCGGTGTGGCTCAAGTTGTAGAATGTTCCCCTCCTCCCTTGAGCAAAAAGGCTAAGGGTCAGCTCCTAGGCCCTGAGTTTAAACCCCAGTACTGGCATGAGAAAGAAAGAAAAAGAAATGTAGCATTTCAGAATTTTGATGGTTGGCAACAGCCTTCCTTGCTGGGTGGCCAGCCTTGGGTTCTGGATGTAAGATTCTAGTCTTCTATTTTTGTCTGCTGCTGTATGCAGAGCACTGGGGGTTCTGAGTCACCCCCACTGACCTCTCCTACTTACCTCTAGGCTATGGATAGTCAGAAGCAGTTCACTGGCCCGGAGATCCAGTTCCTGCTTTCCTGCTCTGAAGCAGATGAGAATGAGATGATCAACTGCGAGGAGTTTGCCAACCGCTTCCAGGAACCAGCTCGTGACATCGGCTTCAATGTGGCAGTGCTGCTGACCAACCTGTCCGAGCACGTGCCACACGACCCACGCCTGCGCACCTTCTTGGAGCTGGCTGAGAGTATCCTTGAGTACTTCCGGCCCTACCTGGGCCGCATCGAGATCATGGGAGCCTCACGTCGCATTGAGAGGATCTACTTCGAGATCTCAGAGACCAACCGCGCCCAGTGGGAGATGCCCCAGGTGAGCAGATCTATGGGTTTGTCCACTCCTAGAAGGCTTGCACTCCATGTGAAGCTGTGCACACCTTGCACGTGTGGGCTGCTGTGCTCTGGCAAGCCCATGCCCGACCTTTTGGGTTTTGTTGTTTTGTTGTTGTTGTTGTTACTGTTTGTGTACCAGTACGAGGGCTTGAGGTTAGGGCCTGGATGCTGACTCGTAGCTTTCTCACTCAAAGCTGGTATTCTACCTCTTGGGTCACACTTCCACTTCTGGCTGTGTAGGGGTGGGGGGGGGGGTGTGATGGGCGGGGATGAGGGGAAGTGTGCACACGCGAGTACTTGAGTCCTGGGGATTGAACTCAACGCCTGGGCACTGTCTCTGAACTTTTTATTTTTCCTCAAAGCTAGTACTTTACCACTTGAACCACAACTCCACTTCTGGCTTTTTTCTTTTCCTTCCTTCCTTTCTTTTTCTCTTTCTTTCTTTCTTTCTTTTCTTCTTCTTTCCTTCTTTCTCTCTCCCTCCCTCCTTCCTTCTCTCTCTCCTTCCTTCCCTCTCGCCCTCCCTCCCTCCCTTCCTTCCTTCCTTCCTTCCTTCCTTCCTTCCTTCCTTCCTTCCTTCCTTTCTTTCTGTTTGTTTCTTTCTTTCTCTTTCTTTCTTTCTTTCTTTCTTTCTTTCTTTCTTTCTTTCTTTCTTTCTTTCTTTCTCCCTCTCTCCCTTCCTTCCTTCCTTTCCTTCTTTCCTTCTTTCTTTCTTTTTTTTTTTGTAGTTTATTGGAAATAAAGAGTTTCACAGACTTTCCTGCCTGGGCTGGTTTCAAACTTCCATCCTCAGCAGGGCACCAGTGTCTCACACCTGTAATCCTAGCTACTCAGGAGACTGAGATCTGAGGATTGTAGTTCAAAGCCAGCTTGGGCAGGAAAGTATGTGAAACTTTTTTTTTTTTTGGGGGGGGGGTCCGGTCGTGGGGCCTGAACTCTGGGCCTGGGCGCTGTCCCTCAGCTCTTCAGCTCAAGGCTAGCACTCTACCTCTTGAGCCACAGTGCCACTTCCGGCTTTTTTCTTTTTGCTCATGTGGTGCTGAGCAATCGAACCCAGGGCCTCATGCATGCAAGGCAAGCGCTCTACCACTGAGCCACCTTCCCAGCCCCGTATATGAGACTCTTATCTCCAATTATCCACCAGAAAAAACAGAAGTGTGCTGTGGCTCAAGTGGTAGAGCATTCACCTTGAGCTGAAGAGCTGAGGGACAGCGCCCAGGCCCAGAGTTCAAGCCCCTTGACCGACAAAACAAAAACAAAGCCTTCCTACTCAAATCTCAGCCTCCTGAGTCTCTAGGCATAAACCGGTGGTGCCTGGTTCACATCTGGCTTTTTGGTGGTTCATTGGAAATAAGAGTCCCACCAACTCACCTGCCTGGGCTGGTATACATACATACATACATACATATTTTTTTTTGGGGGGGGGGGGTGGTCATAGAGCTTGAACTCTGGGCCTGGACGCTGTCCTTCAGCTCTTTAGCTCAAGGCGAACGCTATACCACTTGAGCCACAGTGCCACTTCTGGTTTTCTGGTGGTTTATTGGACATAAGAGTCTCATGGACTTTCCTGCTCAGGCTGGCTTCGAACTCTAATCCTCAGATCTCAGCCTCTTGAGTAGCTAGGATCACAGGCATGAGCCACCTGCACCTGGCTCTGGGCTGGCTTTGAACCCCCAATCCTCAGATCTTAGTCTTCAGAGTAGCTAGGAATAGAGATGTGAGGTATTGGCACCTGGCCTTTGGGCCTTTTGTCACTGTGGTCCCCAGCCTCCCGTCCCTCCCTCCTCACCCCCCACTGATGGCACTTTGTGTCCTTCATATGCACTGCAGGTGAAGGAGTCCAAGCGCCAGTTCATCTTCGACGTGGTGAATGAGGGCGGTGAGTCGGAGAAGATGGAGCTGTTCGTGAGCTTCTGCGAGGACACCATCTTTGAGATGCAGATTGCAGCGCAGATCTCGGAGCCTGAGGGGGAGCCAGAGGAGTCGGAGGACGAGGGTGCCACTGAGGCTGGCACGGAGGTTCCCGAGGAGGGATCGGCAGGTCCCGAGGGCACCACAGGCGCAGTGGCAGCTGGTGTCACTGCGAGGTTGGCAGCTGCCGTGAGCCGGGCGCTGCGGGGTCTTAGCTACCGCAGCCTGCGGCGGCGGGTGCGGAAGCTGCGACGGCTGACAGCGCGGGAGGCGGCCACGGCGGTGGTGGCACTGCTCTGGGCGGTGGTGACCCAGGCAGGATCAGCAGGTGCTGGGGCAGCAGCAGGCACACTGCGCCTCCTCTGGGGCTCCCTCTTTGGCGGTGGCTTGGTAGACAGTGCCAAGAAAGTGACCGTCACTGAGCTCCTGGCGGGCATGCCTGACCCCACTGGTGATGAGGTGCATGGCCAGCAGCCCACAGGGCCAGGTGGTGATGCAGATGGTGAAGGCGAGGGTGAGGGCGAGGGTGACACCCAGGAGGGTGCAGGTGAAGAAGAGGTGGCATCGGATGAGGCCCGGCAGGGCGGTGCAGACCGGGCTGTGGCTGTGGCCGATGGGAGTCCTTTCCGGCCTGAAGGGGCTGGTGGTCTCGGGGACATGGGTGATACAACTCCAGTGGAGCCACCTACGCCTGAGGGTTCCCCGATCCTCAAGAGGAAGCTGGGGGTGAGCTGGGATTCATCTGGGTGCTGAGCGATGGGGTGGGAGAGAGAGAGAGAGACCCTGGGTGGGTGGATATGAGCTGGTGGAAGATGGAGATGCTTAGAAAAAGAGCCAGGGACAGATACCTAGAGAAAGGGTCCCAACGTGAAAGAGGAAGACATCTACAGTAAAGTACATCCAGAGTCCCAGAAACAAATCACAGGGGAATAGGAACCAAGTTTAAAAAGATCCAAGAAGACAGAGGTCAGGGACCCTGGGAAAGACCCTCAGAGATACATGGTTTGTATGAAATTAGCCCACTCAAGACCCCCAGGGGTTGGGAAGGTGGCTCAGTGGTAGAGCGCTTGCCTTGCATGCATGAGGCCCTGGGTTTGATTCCTCAGCACCACATAAGCAGAAAAAGCCAAAAGTGGTGCTGTGGCTCAAGAGGTAGAACGCTAGCCTTGAGCTGAAGAGCTGAGGGACAGTGCCCAGGCCCAGAGTTTAGGCCTCATGACTGACCCAAAAACAAAAACAAAAAACAGAAAGATCCCCAAAGCATCCTTAGGTCTAGGTGCCTTATTGACCTGTGGTTGTCAAGGAGATGAGATGCCACAGCAGATAAAGGCTTTCCATGAAGTCAGCCTGACCATGTACAATTTACCTCCTGTACAGTGAAAACAAGAAGTCCTAGCTAGGCTCTAAGAGTCATACCTGTAATCCTAAATACACTCAGGAGGCTGAGCTCTGAGGATCACGGTTTGATGCTAGCCTGGGCAGGAAAGTCCATGAGACAGTTATCTCCAATTAACCAGCAAAAGTCTGGAAATGGAGTACTAGCCTTGAGTGAAAAAGCTCAGGGTCAGTTGCAGGGTCTTGAGTTCAAACCCCAGTGTTGGCACAAAAGAAACAGAATGAAAGCGAAAGAGAGAAAATGATAGCCCCTCTTCCTTGGGGTGAGGGTATCTCTTGGATAACCTGAAAATGGGGGATGAGCTGCTGGAACAGAGGGCCAGTGTAGGATTAGGCAGGCCAGCCCTGAGAAGATTCAGACCTGTGTCCTATCCCCAGGTGGAGGGAGAGGAGGAAGAACAGCCTCCAGAACCAGAGCCAGAGCCTGAACCAGAGAAAGCTGAGTGAGTGTCTCAGGGAAGAAGAGGGGGAACTGAGGCCCTATACACTGCCTTCCTTCTGGACTGGGAGACTCCTGAGGTCAAGCCACAAAGCTGTCCTGGTCACTCTACATTCCAGCCAGAGACACAAAGGAAAGAACTCATGCAAAGAAATAAATGCTTTTTTTTTCTTTTTTTTTTTTTTAATCATGGGGCTTGAACTCTCAGCCTGGGTGCTGTCCCTCAGCTCTTCAGCTCAAGGTGAACACTCTACCATTTGAGCCACAGCACCACTTCCAGTTTTCTGAGTGGTTTATTGGAGATAAGAGTCTCACAGACTTTCCTGCCCAGGCTGGCTTTGAACCATGATCCTCAGATCTCAGCCTCCTGAGTAGCTAGAATTATAGGTGTGAGCCACCAACACCCGGCTTAGGAATAAATTCTGTTCTCTTAACTCCAAGCTGTTCCCTCTTCCAGGAACACTTTCCCTCCAAGCTTCCTGAGTTTTCTAGTTCTTTCTGTTCAGGCTCATGTGTCTCCTCCATGATACCATTTATTTATTTGTTTGTTTGTTTGTTTGTTTGTTTGCAATACTGGAGTTTGAACTCAGGGTCTTGAACTTGCTAGGCAAGCAATTCTGCAACTTGAGCCAGCCCCCTAGTCCTTTAACTTTAGGTTTGTTTTGCACATAGGGTGTTGTGTTTTGTCCAGACCAAACTTGGGCTGTGTGATCCTCCTATCTCCACCTTCTTCTTTTTTTCTCTTTCTCTCCTTCCTTCCTTCCTTTCTTTTTTATTTTTGTCGGTTGTGGGGCTTGAACTCTGGGCCTAGGCTCTGTCCCTCAGCTCTTCAGCTCAAAGCTAGCACTCTACCATTTGAGCTACAATGCCACTTTGGGTTTTGTTTTGTTTTCCTGGTGGTTTATTGGAGACAAGAGTTTCACGGACTTTCCTGCCCGGGCTGACTTTGAACCTTGATCCTCAGATCTCAGCCTCCTGAGTAGCCAGGATTACAGGCGTGAGCCACTGGTGCCCGGCTCTTTTTTTCTTTCGTCATGGGGTTTAAATTTGGGTCCTGGGCACTGTCCCTGAGCTCTTTTGCTCAAGGCTAGCTCTCAGGTACTTTAAGTCACAGTGCCACTTCTAGTTTTCTGGTGGTTAATTGAAGATGAGAGTCTCACAGACTTTCCTGCTTGGGCTGGCTTTGAACCTTGATCCTCAGATCTCAGCCTCCTGAGTAGCTAGGATGACTGGCATGAGCCACCAGCACCTGGCTCCTGTCTCCACTTTTTGAGTAGTTGGGATTATGGGCACTCACTGTCTGTCTGTTATGCTATGTAGCTCCCTCCTAGGCTGACCAGATGTCTCACTTAGCTTCTTGCCTCCTTCGTTCCAGTTAGGACTGCTCCCCCTTAGTTACACTGGGCTGGAATCCCATGAAGGTGGAGCCAATGGATGTCTCATTACTCAGTGTTCCTAGCATCTCTAGATCTGAGCTAGGCCACAGGCAGGACCCTTTGTGAATGATTTTGAACAATGAATTGCCCAGGCACTTCATGACCTCTTCCTATATCCTGCCTTACAGTACTGAGAACGGGGAGAAGGAAGAAGTCCAAGAACCCCCACCGGAGGAGCCTCCCACGAAGACAGCACCCCCTCCACCCCCTCCAAAAAAGGAGGAAGCTGGAGGTGCAGGCTTGGAATTCTGGGGGGAGCTGGAAGTACAGAGGGTGAAGTTCTTGGTGAGGGTCCCCTAAAGACTCATGAAACTTCTTCTCACAGAGAAACCTATGTCCTACTCACCTGTCCTCCTCACACTGGTTTTAAACTCACCTATGAGGGGCTGGGAAGGTGGCTCAGTGGTAGAGCGCTTGCCTTGCATGCCTGAGACCCTGAGTTCGATTCCCAGCACCACATAAACAAAAAGAAAAAAGCCGGAAGTGGCGCTGTGGCTCAAGTGGTAGAGCGCTAACCTTGAGCTGAAGAGCTGAGGGACAGCGCCCAAGCCCAGAATTCAGGCCTCACGACCGGACCAAAAAAAAAAAAAAAAACATAAAACAAAACTCACCTATGACACATTCATGTCTGAGAAGAAGCCAGGCTGGCAAAGAAGGCAGAGCTGTCTCCAGACAAGGGCCAGGATCTGGGGCCCAGTAGGGCATTTTTTCAAGTGACCCTCACTTGACTCCCAATCCCTATTCCTACCTCCACATCTTTGCTCCTCCAGCATCACCTGCTTAGGCCCAACCCACCTAGCCAGCTGAGGCTCTAATCTCCCCTTTCTCCCCTGTGTATTCTATTGCATGACCTTCTGTTTCTAGACTAGGACCTGACCCCAGCTCCTGCAGGGGTCTAAGCTGTCAGGGATACCTATACAACAGCCCATCTTCTCATCCATCCTTGGAGAAAGCATGGTGACTATTCTTCCCTCCCACCAATCCTGATGTGGGGAGTGGGGGGTGAGAGACACAAGTTCAACAGAAGGCCATGTCATGAGGGTTTGTGCGAGGAATGAGAGACACAAGAGGAAGTAGAGAGACAAAGAAGAGATGGAGCCGGGCTCTGGTGGCTCACACTTTTAATCCTAGCTATTCTGGAGGCTGAGATCTGAGGATCATGGTTCAAAGCCACCCTGGGCAGAAAAGTCTGTGAGACTCTTATCTTTAGTTAACTCCCAAAAGCCAGAGGTGGAGATGTGGCTCAAGTAGTAGAATGCTAGCCTTGAGCACAAAAACTCAGAGACAATGCCCAGGTTGAGTTCAAGCCCTTTCCCTGCACCAAAACAATACAGGTAACGTCACCTGCAAGCCAGCATATGTGGTTGGGGTATAGACTCAGGTGCGTGACTACTAAGGTTTAATTCTCAGGTATGGGACTGGGGATATAGCTCAGAGAGGTTGCTTAGAGGTTGCAAGGCCCTGGGTTCCATACCTCATACAGACATCATCATCATCACCACAGTCATCATCATTCCAGGTCTGCTACTATGGGATGTTGAATACCATTCAAATACCACTTCCCTGATCCTGTTTTCTTTTTTCTTTTTCTTTTTCTTTTCTTCTTCTTTTTTTTTTTTTTTTTTTTTTTGGTGCTGATCGTAGAATTTGAACTCAGGGCCTGGCACTGTCCCTAAGCATCTTTTTCTTCTCAAGGCTAGTGTTGTACCACTAGCCACAGCTGAAGTGGTGCCAAAGCTCCACTTCTGGCCTTTTTGGTAGTTCATTGGAGATGAGTCTCATGGACTTCCCAGCCTGGGCTGGGAAGATCCTCTGATTTCAGCCTCCTGAGTAGCTAGGATTATAGGCATGAGCCATTGGCTCTGAGCCCGAAGCCCATTTTCTTGTCTAGAAAGCCTAGGGTTGTAGTAAGAATGAAACCGATTGGTGTATATAAAGTTCTCCACCCAGGTCTTGGTATACAGCAAGCACTCAATAAGTAGGAGTTAATAGGGTTGGCTGTTGAGGACCAGGAGCTCTGATGGTGGGTAAGTGATGGATGGGAGGGTTCTCCAGGGAAGAGACCAGACTGTGAGTGTTCTGTCTCTCTCCCTCTGTCTTTCCCTTCTCTCTCTCTCCTCTCTCTTTCTCTTTCTCTGTCTCTCTCTCACATACAGAATTACCTCTCCCGGAACTTTTACACTCTGCGGTTCCTTGCCCTCTTCTTGGCATTTGCCATCAACTTCATCCTGCTGTTTTATAAGGTACTGGTCACATGATCGGTCAGGCCCTTATCCAGGCTGTGGGGTGGGAAAGGGGGGATCTTCAGCTCTCCACAGGCCCCCAGGGATCCTGAACTGCAGATACAAGGTATGGGGCTTAGCATCCTTTGCATGGTTCAGGCTTGGTACTTGGGTCTGGGAACAGTGTGGGGTCCTTCTAGGACAGATATGTGAGTGGCCGTGGGAAGTAGAGGAGCAGGAGCTAGAGTTATTGTATGTGTGGCCCACCTCTGCCACATGTCAGGCTGTGCCATGTACAGGACACTTACCGAGTTGGCAAAGCTCCTTTGCTTTCCTGTCAGTTCAGAATAGAAATGTAGGGAGGAGGAAGTGAGCAGCTCACAGAATGGAGGGACAGTCAGCTTCTGGCCAGGGGACTAGCTCACAGGACACAGAGACAGGCTAGAGAGAGGTCAGAGCTTAATGTGTCTGGGAGATCAAGTCCTGGTTTTACCACTTTAAGGGTTGCATGACATCAGTAAGGTGTATTTTTTGTGACTTGATTTCTTTTTTCTTTTTTTTGTGTGTGCCAGTCCTGGGGCTTGAAATCAAGGCCATGGCACTGTCCCTGAGCTTTTTTACTCAAGGCTAGTGTTCTCAAGGCTAGTTTCAGCCACAGCTTCACTTCCAGCTTTTTGGTGGTTAATTGGAGATAAGTCTCGCAGACTTTCCTGTCTGGGCTAGGTTTGAACTGCGATCCTCAGAGTCTCAGCCTCTTAAGAAGCTTGGATTACAAGTGTGAACCACAGGCACCAGGCTCCATTCTAATTCTTTTTACTCCCCAGTCATCCCATCTTCCAGTTCGGGACAAATTCCCAGGGCAGAGTCTGATTTACTAGCTATTGTCCTAGGCCTACTCCTCAATCTTGAGCATAGTTCAGCTGAGTCTATATCTGTTAGAAGCCCAGTCTCACTGCTGAGCACATGCTAGTGATTTCAGGGTGGGACAGATAAGGTGCTGAGAATACCAGAATCCCCTTCACTAATGGATCTCTGTCCTGAATTTAGGTCTCAGATTCACCACCAGGAGAGGATGACATGGAGGGCTCAGCGGCTGGAGAGATGTCGGGAGCAGGGTCTGGCGGTGGCTCTGGCTGGGGCTCAGGGGCCGGTGAGGAGGTAGAAGGTGATGAGGATGAAAACATGGTATACTATTTCCTGGAAGAGAGTACAGGCTACATGGAACCTGCTCTGCGGTGCTTGAGTCTGTTACACACACTGGTGGCCTTCCTCTGCATCATTGGCTACAACTGCCTTAAGGTGGGCTATCACTGTGGTCCTGGGGACAGGGGCTTAGAAAGGGGCAAGATGCTGGGGCATTGATGGGGAGGATCTGGGGTAGAGCTTGGGGAGGGGGCAGAAGTTGAGCTCTCACAGTGGTTGAGACATGGAGAGAGGTTGAAGTTGAAGTAAGGGTGAGATACTGATAGAAAACTTGGGATGGGGCACTGGTGGCTCATGCCTGTAATCCAAGCTACTCAGGAAGCTGAAATGAGAGGAGCACAGTTCAAAGCCAGCCCAGGCAGGAAACTCTGTGAGACTCTTAACTCTAATAACCAGCAGAAAACCAGAAGTCGCGCTATGTTTTTAAATGGTAGAGCACTAGTCTTGACCTTTTGAAAGTGCTCTAGGACAGTGTCCAGGCCCTGAGTTCAAGCCCCATGACTGACAAAAAGAAAAGAAAAATCGGGGTCTGTAGCAAAGGTGCCAGTCAAATTGGAACAGGTACAGATGATGGCTGAGCTAGTCGAGGCCAAGACCTTGCAAGCCTCCAGGCCTGGATATCTGTCAATTTCTGCATCAGGACGCAACTGTGTCATTGGGAATACCCTGCATGTTTGTTGCTGGGTGAATTAAGATCTGTAGTGAGCCAGGTGTGGTAGCACAGACCTATAACCTCAGCACTTGGAAGGCTTGAGAGGTCCAAGCCAGCCTAGGGGAAGTGGTTCTATGGCTCAAGTGGTAGCGCACTCGCCTTCAGCTGAAGAGCTGAGGGACAGCGCTCAAGCCCAGAGTTCAAGCCCCACGACCAAAAAAAAAAAGGCACCAAGCCAGCCTAGGTTACATAAGAGAGACTCTTAGAGGTACTGGATATCAGGCATAACAAAAATACTTTAATAGGGTTGTAAATTCCACATCCCACTCTCCACCCTCTGCCTGTGCCTCCCCATTTCAATTCCCCCCTCTCCCGTGTCCATCTGTCTGTCTGTCTCTCTCTCTCTCTCTCTTTTGTTGGTTGCTTGTGGAGACCTTGCTCCTCTCTGAGGTCTTTTTGTTCAAGGTTAGTGCTCTAGCACTTTGAGCCACAGAGCCACTTCCAGTTTTCTGATGGTTTATTGGAGATATGAGTCTCATAGACTTTCCTGGCTTTGAACCGTGATCCTCAGATCTCACCGTCCTGAGTAGCTAGGATTACAGACATGAGTCACCAGCCCCTGGAGCCCATTTCTATCTTGACCACTGTGGGAAAGCTCCTCCAACAAGGAGGCTCCAGCCAGTTCTCAGGTGGTTGATCCTCCCAGGTGCCTGATCCTTTCCTTCCTTCCACAACCTAGGTGCCCCTGGTGATCTTTAAACGGGAAAAGGAGCTAGCCCGCAAGCTGGAGTTCGATGGCCTTTACATCACAGAACAGCCTGAAGATGACGATGTGAAGGGACAGTGGGACCGCCTGGTACTGAACACACCGTAAGTGTCTAGCATCACCTCATGGTGTGAGGGGGCGCTAGGAGGGGCAGTGTGTGCAGAGCTGAGTTTCCTCCCCAGTTGAGTCTCAGTGGACCAGAACCTCCAGATTGGCGTCCAAGAATTGTCATGTTAAATGCTGTCCCAATAGGTGATTCTCACTCAGGGCCCATAAATGAGACATAAGAATTCATTGAGCTGGGCATTGGTGGCCCCCACACCTACCATCCTAGCTACTCAAAAAGCTGAGAACTGAGGATCATAATTCAAAGCCAGCCTGGGCAAGAGAGTCCATAAGACTCTTATCTCTGGGGCTGGGAAGGTGGCTCAGTGATAGAGTGCTTGCCTTGCATGCATGAGGCCCTGGGTTCGATTCCTCAGCACCACATAAGCAAAAGGAAAAAAGCCGGAAGTGGTGCTGTGGCTCAAGTGGTAGAGTGCTAGCCTTGAGCTGAAGAGCTGAGGGACAGCGCCCAAGCCCAGAGTTCAGGCCCCACGACCGGACCCAAAAAAAAAAAAAAAAAGATTCGTATCTCCCATGAACCACCAAAAACCTTGGAAGTGGAGCTGTGGCTTAAGTGGTAGAGTGCCAGCCTTGAACAACAAAAAAAAAAGGTCAAGGACAGTGCCCAGGCCCTGAGTTCAAGCCCTGGGACCAGCACATAAAATAATAATAACAACAACAACAACAATAATAATAATTCATTGAAAGTTTTGTCAGCCTAGGCAACACAGGAGACCTGTCTTATTTCTGTGTGCCTGGCAGAGAGCTCCCATCTCTGCTTTCCACCAACTGAGATGTTCTCTCTTTCTCTTTCTCTGCAGGTCTTTCCCCAGCAACTACTGGGACAAGTTTGTCAAGCGGAAGGTAAGAAGATATGGTCAGGAGAAGATGGATTTCTAGCCTGGGTCTCCTGTGCCACCACCTGGCTCTCTCAACATTGCTGAGTGCTTTCTCTATGTGCAACCTTGGGCAAAATGCTTTTCCTATCTGAGGAGCACCTCAGTTTACCCATGGACACATAGGGTGATTCTCATACTTCCCCCTCTAATGGGGGTGACTCAAGTAAACTGTGCTTCCTGCCATCTGGCAGGGTGAAGACTCAGTATATAGTAGGGAATAGGGGAAGAGATGGGGATTTGAACTTAGAGCCTAGAGTGTTCTAGGCAGGTGTGCTCTACCACTTGAGCCACAGCTCTAGATATGGAGCAACACTTTTCAATTCAGTTAAAGACTGAACATAGCCAGGTGCTAGTACCTCGTGCCTGTAATCCTAGCTACTCAGGAAGCTGGGGATTGAGGCACATAGTTCAAAGCCAGCCAGTGCAGGAAAATCCATAAGACTTTTATTTAATCAACCAAAGGCCAGAAGGGGAGCTATGACTCAAGTGGTAGACTGCCAGCCTTGGGCAGTGCTCAGGCCCTGAGTTCAAGTGCCACTACCTATAGAGAAGGGGGGGGAGGAGAGAGAGAGAACCCCAAATGTGTAAGACCCTAGGTTTGATTTTTATCATACTAAATAAACAAATATATAACTAAAATGGGAGCCAAGCATGGTGCTGTTTTTAGTGTAGAGGGCTCAGAAACAATTACGCTAGGGCTAGGAATGTGGCTTAGGGTACCAGGCTTGCCTAGCATGCATGAAGCTCTGGGTTCGATTCCTCAGTACCACATAAACAGAAACAGCTAGAAGTGGTGCTGAGGCTGAAGTGGTAGAGTGCTAGCCTTGAGCAAAAGAAGCTCAGGGACAGTGCTTGGGCCCTGACTTCAGGCCCCAGGACTGGAGAAAGAAAGAGAAAGAGACAGAGACAGAGAGCCAGGGAGGGAGGGAGGGAGGAAAGAAAGAAAGAAAAAGAAAAGAAAAGGAACAGTTATACTAGTTTACAAAGAGGTGCCAAAGTGAACCTGGTAGAAAGCCAGAGGAAAAATATCCTAGACAAAGGTAATCCCTGGTCTGAACCATGAGGCTGGGGTGGCTGGAGCAGTGTGAGTGAAAAGTGAATGGAGAGAGCCAGGTTCATGAATGGAAAGAGGCCCAGATGCATAGGCTTTCTTACCTTTCTATCTAAAATAATGAATGATCCCTATTGGGCAACTGAGTCAGCTAGACCTTAACCTCTTTTGGACCTTTCCCCAAGAATCTGTAGAATGTTCTGACCCCCGCCCCATCCCCCAAAATACACCCCCAATTTCCCACACTAAGTCCAGAGTAACCTCACACCCTCCATGTAAGCCAGTCAAGTCTGGATGCTAACTAGTCAAGTCTGAGCTTTCCTGACCCTGTTCCCTAGGTTCTGGATAAACATGGGGACATCTTTGGGCGAGAGCGGATAGCAGAGCTGCTGGGCATGGACCTGGCCTCACTGGAGATCACTGCCCACAGTGGGCGCAAACCTGAGCCTCCCCCGGGGCTGCTCACCTGGTGAGTTGGGGCAGCACTCAGGTGGGAGTGGGGGAGGTGGTCAGGGTCTGATGTTCAACCATTGGCTGTCCCCTCCTCTTCGCCCTGCCCACAGGCTCATGTCCATCGATGTCAAATACCAGATATGGAAGTTTGGAGTCATATTCACGGACAACGTGAGGAGCACCAGAGGTGGGAGGGACCCAGAAGGAGGGGCCTCCCCCCTCCTCACAAATGTTTCTGACCCAAGAATGAATCCTGAACCCCTTCCTTTTATACCTTTGATCTTGGGATACCTTCTCACTCAGATTCCTTGTCCCCAGAATAACTGTTGATACCTTAGTGCTCCTAGATTTCAGTTTTTTGGTTTTTGTTTGTCCCCTGCCCCCCATACTATAGTTTGAACTTAAAATCTGGTGCTTTTTGAGGCACACAGATGCTGTGTGACTTTAGCCACACCCTCAGCCTTTTTTTGGGGGGGGGCTTCAGTTATTTTTTTAGGTAGGTTTTTAACTTGGGCCAGAAAATCCTCAGGCCTCAGATCACAATCCTACTTCCTAACTGTGGCTTCTTTACCCAGTTTGTTGGTTGAGATGTGGTGTGTGTGTGTGTGTGTGTGTGTGTGTGTGTGTGTGTGTGTGTGTGTGTGTGTGTGTGTGTGTGTGTGTGTGTGTGTGTGTGTGTGTGTGTGTGTGTGTGTGTGTGTAGAAGGTTTCACTAACTTTTTTGCTAGGGCTGGCCTCCAACCACAATCTCTGCCTCCTTAGTAGCTGGTACCACTCCTAGATATATCTCTCTCTGTCTCTCTGTCTCTGTCTGTCTGTCTGTCTGTCTGTCTGTCTGTCTGTCTGTCTGTCTCTCTCTCTCTCTCTCTCTATGTCTCTGTGGTGTGTGTGTTTTGACACATGATCTCCCTATTTAGCTCAGATTGACCCAGCAAATTATCAAATTTCCTATGTAGCTGAGGCTGGCTTTGAATTCATGATCCTCCTGACACCATTTCTCAAGTAACTGGGATTAGTTGTACCACCACACCAGCTCAGCCAGCTTCCTTCTGGAGAGGAAGAAGTTGCTCTCCACCTTCCCCTAGAGTGCTCCATGGCTTCCTAGTGCTCCCACACACACCTCCCCCAATCTGAGGTAGCACAGGATGCACAGTGCTCCCAAGTGTCCTTTACATGTTCCCTGACCCCAGCCCCTGTGTACCACATACAGTCTTTCCTATACCTCGGCTGGTACATGGTAATGTCTCTCCTGGGTCACTACAACAACTTCTTCTTTGCTGCCCACCTCCTGGACATCGCTATGGGGGTGAAGACGCTGCGAACCATCCTTTCCTCCGTTACCCACAACGGGAAGCAGGTGGGGCCAGGACCTGGCAAGGAGGAGCCTGGCAGTCTGGGGGAGGGGATGAGGCTGGACGGCTGTGCCAGGTTGTTGCATGGACAGGAGGTTGGGGTCATGGACAGGGAGGGGTTGGAGCTGACCTGCCCACCTCTGCCCCCAGCTGGTGATGACCGTAGGCCTCCTGGCTGTGGTAGTCTATCTGTACACCGTGGTGGCCTTCAACTTCTTCCGCAAGTTCTACAACAAGAGCGAGGATGAGGACGAACCGGACATGAAATGTGATGACATGATGACGGTGAGCCCCCTTCCTCCCCAGCAATTCATGACCTCAGTTTCCCTGTCCATACATGTACGTTCACAACAGTACCTGGAACTGGAGTTTTAGGCTCTGGTCCACATATCAGGTCTGGCTACTCATTGCTGTGCACCAAATAGAGAGACGTGGGGAAGGACAGAGCAAAAGAGATTGAGTGGAAGTGGCACTGTAGCTCAAGTGGTAGAGCGCTCGCCTTGAGCTGAAGAGCTGAGGGACAGCACCCAGGCCCAGAGTTCAAGCCCCACGACCGACAAAAAAAAGAAAGAAAAGAAAATATTTAGCCGGGCGCTGGTGGCTCACACCTGTAATCCTAGCTACTCAGGAGGCTGAGATCTGAGGATCGCAGTTCAAAGCCAGCCCGGGCAGGAGAGACCGTGAGACTCCTATCTCCAATAAACCACCAGAAAACCGGAAGTGGCGCTGTGGCTCAAGTAGTAGAGCGCTCGCCTTGAGCTGAAGAGCTGAGGGACGGTGCCCAGGCCCCGACAAAAAAAAAAAAAGAGATTTAGTACATGGCTTAGCTATGGGAAGACTGCTTCAGCCACCTTGAGAGTACAAACACGAGTGACAGGTTTAGATAAAGAAGGAAAAGGATGAGCTGACTCACACCTCTAATCCTAGCAACTCAAGCAGCTGATATCTGAGAATTGAGGTTCAAAACCAGCCCAGGCAGGGAAGTCTGTGAGGCTCTTATCTATACTGAACTACCAGAAAACCAGAAGTGGCAGAGGTTTAAGTGATAGAGTGCTCTACCATTGGGCACAAATGCTTAAGGGCAGTACTCCAGCCCAGTGTTCAAGCCCCAGAACCAGCACAAACAGAAGGGAAAGGAAAAGGAAAAGGAGGGGGAGGGAGGGAAGGGGAGAAAGAGAGCAGGAGACAGGGAGAGAGAAAGGGAGAGAGGGAAGAAAGGAGAGAGGGAGGGAAGAAGGGAGGAAAATGGAGGGGAATAAAGCATAAAGTATGCATAAACAATCCCAGTTGCAGGTTGGACCTTGTTGACCCATTGTCTCAGTTCTGGTTCTGCCAAGGATTCTGGAAAAGTCATTATGGCTGTGATTACTTGAGAGGAGCAATGTGGTTCCCATGAGATGAGTTTCCTCTGCTCCCAGACGCAACCTCATCTTTTATATATAACTGTCCTCCTCTGGGAGTGATATGCCCTACGAAGATGCAGTTCCTTAGGGGTAGTTGTAGTTCCTTGTCATAAAGCTATTATAATAAGTGTTGTCCTTCCTTGGATTCTCAGGGAAGGAAATGGATTAAAATGAAAGACATAGAGTTGGGAATGTGGCCTAGTGGTAGAGCACTTGCCTAGCATGCATGAAGCCTTGGGTTTGATTCCTCAGTACCACATAAATAGAAAAGGCCAGAAGTGGAGCTGTGGCTCAAGTGGTAGAGTGCTAGCCTTGAGCAAAAGAAGCTCAGGGACAGTGCCCAGGCCCTGAGTTCAAGCCCCAAGACTGGGAATAAATAAATAAATAGATAAATAAAATAAAAGACATAGATCAAAAGTGGAGGCAGGGTTGCCTAGCTTTCCACCTGCCTTTAGTTTATTTGTGAGCCCAAGTCAGGAGTCAGTGCTTTTTTGCCAAAGCAACTTTTTTTTTTTTTTTTTTGTCGGCCGTGGGGCTTGAACTCTGGGCCTGGGCGCTGTCCTTCAGCTCTTCAGCTCAAGGCGAGCGCTCTACCACTTGAGCTACAGTGCCACTTCCGGTTTTCTGGTGGTTTATTGGAGATAGGAGTCTCACGGTCTCTCCTGCCCGGTCTGGCTTTGAACTGCGATCCTCAGATCTCAGCCTCCTGAGTAGGATTACAGGCGTGAGCCACCAGCGCCCGGCTTTGCCAAAGCAACTTATAAGCATCTGTTATGAACTTCCCTTGTAGACCTGTTGAGAGACATATCATAAGCATTCCTTAAATAACAACCCTTGTTTCATTAGAGCTGTGCGGCTATGCAATATGGCCAGGCATAGTAGCACATGTTTGCAATCCTCAGAGGAGGCGACAAAAGGATTGAGAGTTTGAGACCAAATTAGACAATGTTTGGGAGACTCTATCTCAGAAAAAAGCAAACCAAGATAACAAACATGTCAGGACCATGTCCAGGTTCTCAGCCAGATGCTGGAGGCCTTGCTATCCCAGGCCTTGCTTCCATCACTGGAAACAAGGTGAGCCACCAGATTCTCAGTTCCTGGGACACAGCAAGAGCAAGTATGGAGTCTCCCCAGTGCCAAGTGGACCATGTCCTGCCACTCCTGTTACTCAAAACTTCTTAAGGAGCCAGACACTGGTGGCTCCACACCTGTAATCTTAGCTACTCCGCAGGCTAAGACCTGAGGCTCCAGGTTCAAAGCCAGCCTGGGCATGAAAGACCTTGAAACTCTTTTTTTTTTTTTTTTTTCTTTTGGTCCAGTCGTGGGGCCTGAACTCTGAGCCTGGGCACTGTCCTTCAGCTTTTTAGCTCAAGGCTAGTGCTCTACCACTTGAGCCACAACACCACTTCCAGCTTTTTTTCTTTTTGCTTATGTGGTACTGAGGAATCGAACCCAGGGCCTCAGGCATGCAAGGCAAGCGCTCTACCACTGAGCCACCTTCCCAGCCCCTTGAAACTCTTATCTCCAATTAATCATCAGAAAACTGGAAGTGTTAGCCTTGAACAAAAGAGCTCAGTGACAGTGCCCAGGCTCTGAGTTCAAGCCCCACGACCAGACTGACGGACAAACAACAACAAACTTCTTGAGGATCACACCTGGTAGATAAACTAGAATCACCCACCTTGATTTACAGAAGCAGGGAAGATCTGGTCCTACCTGAGTCTTACCTGCCTTAGTCTAACTACAATTTCTCTTGCTTTTTTGCTTCCTTACTTCCTCATCTCCTTTCAATTCCTCTAAGACCATGTGTTTCCTCCTGACTCAGGTCCTTCGCACCTGACCTTTCTCTATCTCATATTCCAGGGTTACCACAAAACACAGGCGCACGCGTGCGCGCACGCGCATACACACACACACACACACACACACACACACACACACACACACAAACACACTTCACCTGGTATCTCACCATTCAGCCTAAAGGCTGCCTCCTCCAGGAAGTCTTTCCTGACTGTTGTTTCAGCGAGGGCCTGCAGCAACCACATAACCACAGCCAGTCTCATCTCTTATCTTGCTCTTGATTACTTCAGCTCCATTCTGCAGTCTTATCAAACTTCTTTCAGTTCCTCATGGGAGCAAGAATTCCCCCATTCTTTCCCCCACCCTCCCTCCCGCCCCTGCCCACTGCAGTGCTGGGGATGGACCCGTGGCCTTTGCTTATGCTAGACAAGCACTCTGACACCCAACTATATCCCCAGAGCCACAACATTGAGTCTTTTCCTCCCTGAGAATAACATAGCCCGTGCTTTTTGCTTTTTTTTTTTTTTTTTTCTCTGCCTAGAACATTTGCTCTCACACCACCCAATCACCAAACACCTTCTAGTTCCAGCTAGGGGACAGAGCCTCTTCCAGGAAGCCTGCTTGTCACAGAGGCTAGCCTAGATGCCAACAGGCCTCTCAGTTTCCTACTGATCATACTGAGCCTCCCCCATCTACCCTCTATCTTGATCCACCATCCTTCCTCCCCCAGCTGGAGGGAAGCCCACCCCTGGGCTGTCATTGTCTGCCATCCTTACATGGGAACTGGGAACTTTGAATGTCAGGACCGGGGGTTGTCTGTTACCACCCTTTCCCCAGCTCTGCCTTGCCCAGAGCTGTGGCTGAGCTTCAAAGAAAGTTGAATGAAGCCGGGTGCTGGTGTCTCACACCTGTCATCCTAGTTACTCAAGAGGCTGAGGGCTGAGGATCATAGTTCAAAGCCTGCCTGGGCAGGAAAATCTATGAGACTCTTATTTCCAATTAACCAGCCAAAAGCCAGAAGTGGAGCTGTGGCTCACGTGGTAGAGCACCAGTCTTGAGCAAAAGGAGCTCAGGGACAGCACCCAGGCCCTGAGTGCAAGCCCCAGAACTGGCATAGAAAAAGGAAAGAAAAAAAAAAGACAGTGAGTGAGTCTATGTCCTCTCTGCAGTGTTATCTATTTCATATGTATGTGGGTGTCCGGGCCGGCGGAGGCATAGGGGACGAGATCGAGGACCCGGCAGGGGATGAGTACGAGCTCTATCGTGTGGTCTTCGACATCACCTTCTTCTTCTTCGTCATCGTCATCCTGCTGGCCATCATCCAGGGTCAGTGCTGGCTGGGCTCTCAGTGGGAGTTGGTGCCTAGGTACCCAGAGGCAGGCTAGCTGCATCAGAAAGCTGTAGGTCTTTTATTTCTACATTAGCACTGCCTCTTCCCTGCTTGGGTACTTAAATGACCTTTTCTGGGCCATCTGCACAATGGAGGTCAACCACAAGGTGTTAGAAGGATTAAGATAATCCATAGTTTTTAAAGTGTTTCTTGGGGCTGGGAATATGGCTTAGTGGTAGAGTGCTGGCCTAGCATTCATGAAGCCCCAGGTTCAATTTCTCAGTACCACATAAACAGGAAAAGCCGGAAGTGGCACTGTGGCTCAAGTGGTAGAGTGCTAGTCTTGAGCAAAAGAAGCTCAGGAACAGTGCTCAGGCCCTGAGTTCAAGCCCCAGCACTGGCAACAACAACAAAAAAAAGTCTCATAAAAGTGCTCCATGGCATTCTGGCTACTCAGGAGGCTGAGCTCTGAGCATCAAAGTTCAAAGCCAGCCCAAGAGAAAAGTCCTTGAGACATCTCCAATGAACCACACCAAAAAAGCTGGAAGTAGAGCTGTAGCTCAAGTGGTAAAATGCCAGCCTTGAGCAAATAAAGCTAAAGGACAGCATCCAGGCCCCACTGAGGTCAAGCCTCACTACAGGCAAACACACACAAAAGTGCTCGATCAACATCGGTTTTTTTTTGTTTGTTTTTGTCCATTGTGGGGGCTGAACTCTGAGCCTGGGCACTGTCCCTCAGCTCTTCAGCTCAAGGCAAGAAGCACCCTACCACTTGAGCCACAGCACCACTTTTTTCTGTTTGTGGTGTTGAGGAATCGAACCCAGGGCTTAATGCATGCAATGCAAGCACTCTACCACCGAGCCAACTTCCCAGCCCAACATCTAGTTTTAATCTGAAGAAGGGAGGTGAGATTCCTAAAGTGGGAGAAAGGCAAGGTCCTGAGATAAGTTGATAGGAATCTGTGGAGCTGAGTCTGGCACTGACCTGTGTCCTGCCACCCCAGGTCTGATTATTGACGCTTTTGGGGAGCTCCGAGACCAACAAGAACAAGTGAAGGAGGATATGGAGGTGGGTCCTGCGTGGGGCTAACTCAGAGGGATTATGGAATGCTGTGGGGGAGGGGAGTCAAATGGGCCTCAACCCTAATGTCTTTCACAACCTACAGACCAAGTGCTTCATCTGTGGAATAGGCAGTGACTACTTCGATACCACACCACACGGGTTTGAGACCCACACACTAGAGGAACACAACCTGGCCAATTACATGTGAGAGGGGGCAGATGCTGGCCAATCAGGAGGGAGGGGCGTGGTCACTGATGTCTAGGGGACTAAGTAACTAAGGTTTGGTCTTTTAGGGAAAGAGGCATAGTGTCCATGTGGGTGGGTCCTCAGCCAGCCAATCCGAAAGTAAGGTTTGGGTTGGGGTGTGGGGGGGTGGCTTAAAGGTAGAGATCTAGCCTGAGAACCTGGGTTCCACACCAGAATGAAACAAAAAATCAGAAGGTAGGGGTGGTTCTGAAGTTTCTCCATGGCCCTTTTTTCCAGGTTTTTCCTGATGTATTTGATAAACAAGGATGAGACTGAACACACAGGGCAGGTAAGACCAGTGTAATTAAAAAAAAAAAAAGGACTAGGATCAAAGGGAACTTTGGTATAAACCATTCAGCAGGTGGTAGTAGAAAGTTTCTGTCATTACCAACTAATTGAGGATGTCACCAAGGGACTCTTCCCTCCCTCCCCCTAGGAATCTTACGTCTGGAAGATGTACCAAGAGAGATGTTGGGACTTCTTCCCAGCTGGCGACTGTTTCCGCAAGCAGTATGAGGACCAGCTTAGCTGAGAGCCTTCTTCCCAGCTGGCCCCCACCCTGCCCCCAGCCTCCACTTCAAGTGCCTTATTCTCATTGCAAGTCCTTAGCCCCAAAGCCCCTACCCCCAGGCAGCTGGGGAGGAGGGGGAGAGGTGACCTTGTACTTGGAAATAAAGTCTGTGCTACACCCTTGGCATCATTACATTGAGTCGTTGGGAGTTTGGGGAAGTGAGCATCTAGAAATCTTGCCTCCCCTCCCCCAACAGAAAACCAAGATGATAGTAGAGGCTGAAGTCAGTTTATTGGAAGACAAGGCCTTCACATGATGAATAGTGTGTATTTGTTGGGGTGTGTGTATGCAGGGAATTCTTCCTAATAGCCCCTCCACCCCCACCCAGAACTTCATTCCTGGATGTAGAGGTTGCTGGGGGCAGTAGGGTCATCTGCTGGCCTTGTCTCCACCACTACAGGCCTAGAAAAGGAGAAGTCATTTGTTTTTTCATTTATTTACTCCTTCACAAAGTAGGTAATAGAAATTGCCAGCCCAATGGGACCCTGTCAAAATGAATGAGCAAGCTAGGTGTGGTAATGTATGCCATTAATTCTAGTACTTGAGAGGCTTTGGCAATAGGACCATGAGTTTAAGGCCATCCTAGGCTGTCTGAGACTGTCTGAAGACAACAATGAAAAAAACCTTCTGATCTTTTTGTGTGTGTGTTCCAGTCCTAGGGCTTGAACTCAAGGTCTGAGTGCTGTCTCTGAGGTTTCTTTGTTCAAGGCTAGAGCTCTACCACTTGAGCCACAGCCTCACTTCCAGCTTTTTTATTTTTTTTTAGGTTGGTTCTGGAGCTTGTCTCTGGGCCAGGGCATTGTCACTCAGCTCTTCAGCTCAAGGCTAGCACTCTACCATTAGAGCCACAGTGCCACTTCCAGTTTTCTGAATGGTTTATTGGAGATAAGAGTCTCACAGACTTTCTTGCCCAGGCTGGCTTTGAATCGTGATCCTCAGATCTCAGCCTCCTAAGTAACTAGTATTACAAATGTGAGCACCAGCGCCCAGCTTCTTCCAGCTTTTTTTTTTTTTGAGATAAGACTATCATGAACTTTTTACTTTAAAAAATAACTATTTTTTAAAAAATAACTTTAAGCCGGGCACTGGTGGCTCACGCCTGTAATCCTAGCTACTCAGGAGGCTGAGATCTGAGGATTGCGGTTCAAAGCCAGCCCGGGCAGGAGAGACCGTGAGACTCCTATCTCCAATAAACCACCAGAAAACCGGAAGTGGCGCTGTAGCTCAAGTGGTAGAGCGCTCGCCTTGAGCTGAAGAGCTAAGGGACAGCGTCCAGGCCCAGAGTTCAAGCCCCATGACCGACAAAAAAAAAAAATAACTTTAAGCCAGGTGCTGGTGGTTTACACTTGTAATCTTAGCTATTCAGAAAACTGAGATCAGGGGATGGTGGTTCAAAGCCAGCCCAGGCAGGAAAGGCCATGAGACTCTTATCTTCAATTAACAACCAGAAAACTGGAAGTGGTGCTGTAACTCAAAGTGGTAGAGTGCTAGCCTTGAGTGAACAAGCTTAGAGACAGTGCCCAGACCTTGAGTTCCAGCCCCACATCCGACAAAAATAAAAATAAAAATAAATAAATAAAAAGAAACATGGCAAACTGGAGATATGGCTCAAGTGGTAGAGCACTTACTTAGCAAACGTAAGGCCCTAAGTTCAAGTCCCAATCCAGTTAGAAAGGAAACTGTCTGGGGCTGGGAATGTGGCTTAGTAGTAGAGTGCTTGCGTAGCATGCATGAAGTCCTGAGTTTGATTCCTCAGTATCATATACACAGAAAAAGCTGGAAGTGGTGCTGTGGCTCAAGTGGTAGAGTGCTAACCTCGAGCAAAAGAAGCTCAGGGACAGTGCCCAGGCCCTGAGTTCAAGCCCCAGGACTGGCAAGAAAGAAAGAAAGAAACTGTCCCTTTGGTAGCCATGCATGCATAGACAATGAGGACAGGGAGATTGGAGAGGCTGTCCAGGCCAAAGATCCAGGTGGCTGCAGACACCTCTGGATGGCTTCTCTACTTCAGGGCCCATTCCCAGGTTCTTCTGCCCTCCCCCTTGCCACCACCATACCTGGAGGAGCCAAGCAAGCGGAAGGTGAGGGTGGGATCTCTTAACTCTTGCAGCATCTACAGAAAAATCAACTGTGTGAGTAATCAAGAAGCCCCCTCCCTTCCACACCAGCCTGTAGACGTTTCTGAATGTCTAAGTCCAGAACCAATCATTTCCAACAGTACACAACAGCTGTGAGACCTCCAGCAAGTTACTTAACCTCTCTGTGCTTCAGATGGCTAACCTGCAAACTCTTACTAAACACTTGATGGGTGATTGTAATCATCAGTAATTTGGCATGGTGCTCCATGACATGAGTCCCCATTTCCCTTCCATTGCCAATGCAGGACAGTGAAGCACAGAAAGACAATGTCATGTGGTCAGTCCAGAACAGATGGCTCACACCTAGCTACTCAGGAGATGAGATCTCAGGATCATGGTTCAAAGCCAGCCTGGGCAGAAAAATCTGAGACAAAAGTCTTCTCTCAAATTAACTACCAAAAAACCAGAAGTGAGCCGGGCACTGGTGGCTCACACCTGTTAATCCTAGCTACTCAGGAGGCTGAGATCTGAGGATCGCAGCTCAAAGCCAGCCTGGGCAAGAAAGTCCATGAGACTCTTATCTCCAATAAACCACTAGAAAACCAGAAGTGCACTGTAGCTCAAGTGGTAGAGCACTAGCCTAGTGCTGAAGAGCTGAGGGACAGTGCCCAGGCCCAGAGTTCAAGACCCAGGACCAACAACAACAACAAAAAAAGCCAGGGCTGGGAAGGTGGCTCAGTGGTAGAGTGCTTGCCTTGCATGTTTGAGGCCCTGGGTTCTATTCCTCAGCACCACATAAGCAAAAAAAAAAAAAGCCGGAAGTGGCGTTGTTGCTCAAGTGGTAGAGTGCTAGCCTTGAGCTGAAGAGCTGAGGGACAGCACCCAGGCCCAGAGTTCAGGCCCCACGACTGGACCCCCCCCCAATAAAAAGCCAGAAGTAGAAGTATGGCTCAAGTGGTAGAGCCTTGAGTAGAAAAAGCTAAGGGACAGTTCCAAGGCCCTGAGTACAAGCCCAATTCTAACCACACACACACACACACACACACACACACACACACACACACACACACCCACGTCATGTGCCCATGGGATTCTACTCCATGCTTTTAACCATCCACAGCTCTCTACATTGGCCCCCATATTGCAATTGGGAAACAAAGTCTCAGAACAAAATCCCTTGCAGAAGGTCACAAGGGCCCAGAATACTACTGGGGTTCCAGAGGCAGACAAGGGATCCAAATCTGAGCTGAAACAAAGGGAAAGCATCCCCAGTGGACTCCAAGACCTGACTTGGGTTTTCCAAGCTCACCTGATAATGAAATGACTTAGGGAGGGGGTGGGATGCTGAGTTTGGAGGGGAGAAACTCACCTGATCTGAGCCTGGAGCCCACACTTGCACCCCATGCTTCCAGAAGGCCTGAAGTTGGCCTCCAACCATAGCTGCAGAGAAAGCAGTATCCGTGACCCTTGGGATTGCTGGATCCCTGAAGCCTCTGCCCAACCCTGGGCCCTCCCATCCCCAACGCACCCACAGCCTCTACTGTTTCAGCCATAGAGATCTCAGTGGTGCGAAGTCCCCGGATTGGGGCCCCTTCTGGAGTTACCAGCTTCAGAGAGCCTGGAGAGAAGTAGAGTGAGGTTTTGTCTTATTTTGTTTTTGTGTCAGTCCTGGGGCTTGAACTCAGGGCTTGGGTTCTGTCTTCCCTGAGCTTTTGTTGTTGTTGTTGTTGTTCAAGGCTAGTGCTCTAACACTTGGGCCACAGCTCCACTTCTGGTTTTTCTGGTGATTACTTAGGGTAAGAGTCTCACAGACTTTCCTGCCTGGGCTGGCTTTGAACCGTGATCCTTAGATCCCAGCCTCCTTGAGTAATTAGGATTACCAGTGTGAGCCACCAACATTCAGCTGAGTGAGGTTTTTACCTAAGTCCCAGATATACCAGGGCCTGAAAGGCAGGCACCAGGTCCTGGGGTAGGGAAATGGAAGAATGTTTCTTACCATCCATCAACACCATCACCATGTCTTCTTTTACCTGGGTCACCTGTACAGGTCCCTTGTGCTCTGTTTGAGAGATTGTGGGGAGGGGTTAAGAACCAATTTCTCTCCCACACCACCCCTAGAAGACTAGAGCCTCTGCTAAGCACCAGATAAGTCCCAAGCAAGTAGTCCCCGCCCACCACACAAGCCCCACCCCCTCCTCAATCTTACCAATCACATAAAAGCCGCTATTCTTTCCCCTCCCAAGCCCTGCCCTTTTCCAGGATCGCCCAATCAGGTCCACCCTTCCAGGAGGGCTAAGCCCCAGCCTCTCCAGCTCCGCCCTCTGCCACACACCCCACTCACCCGTGCTCTCCTCGCCCAGCCAACAGGACAGCGCGCCGAAGCGCACGGTATGGAAGACCACCGACCTGGCGGGTTTCCCGGGGCTCACGCCGATGCACACGGACGGCAGCTCCGAGCCTGGCGTGCTCAGCAGCGCAAACACTGGCAGCGGCGTGGGCAACGGGAACAGCACCTGCTGCGGGGAGCAGGGGGGAGGGGGACAAACGAGGAGGGGCGGACTCAGGGGTGGGACCTATGGGACAGGGCTTTGCAGCAGGCCTGGGACTTCCCAAGAATTTCCTAGGGATGGAGGGGGATGGAAGAAGTCTTAAAAGAGTGAAGACTCAGGAATTAGGGGTGCCTCCTTAGGAACAAGGGTGCAGCTTCGTTTGGGGGTATACGAGCCTAACAATAGAAAGATAAGGATTTACACACACACACACACACACACACACACACACACACGCCCAAGATCCTTGCTGTCCCAAGGGCAACAAAATTTTTGCTTATAGACTCAAAGTGGACTCTGAGACCTTCAGATAGGACAAAGGGTCTGGAATAGAATTAGGAATAGGTTGTGGGGGCGGAGCTTAAGGATGAAAGGGGGAGTGGGTAGGGCCTCACGGAACTCTCTCCAGAAGCATAGAAGGTCCCCCAACACCCTGGCTCCTTCGGGGACCTTACCCGGACAAGCAAGAACTTGTTCATAGGTTGGTACCACTGAAGCAGGATCACTGATGTCTCCAATGCCCCACACAGGAACGGACCCCCAGAGCTCTCACCCTCT